ACCCATCTCTCTCAAAGAGCCATCCATCGCAAGTTCGAAACAAGGCGATAACATCCCCCTATAATTGAGTTTCTCTGCGTCTACTCCGTAATCCGTATTGCTCTGCTATTGGGCGGACAACCGTTCTCCTGCAGGCTTTCTTTTAAAACCATGTGCATGTCTCCGCACTGGCGGCCGATGGAGAAGCAAAACGGATGGAACAAGCGGACCCTCCTTCGCTAGCCCCTCCATCATTCATGTGTCTAGACGCAACAACCTATAGTTAATAATATTAAATATTCTATGCAATAACATAGTATGCAAGCAGGCGGTGGGACGGGCAAGCAGTCATTTCGGCTTGGGGTGGGAGGGATTTTGTCTTGCCGAGTATCTAGGCGTTTATCCTGGCTACTTAGCAAGCCGGATATAGCTGTCGAGGAAAGGAATTAAAAGTAAACGGCTGAAGATGTATGTACAGCATGTACACACACACACACACACACACACACACCACAAGGAGAGAGCTGTTCAATTATTTCCCCCGCAAATGATATCAGACCTTGGCTCAATCATGAGGTAGTTACGCTGTAGTTTGGAGGATCAACTTCCGTCCTCAGAGCCCCGCAAATCGTAAAAGTCGCGCAGAGTGAGTTCCGGGCATCTTGATTGGCAACCCAGTATCCAGTCGAAAAAGCACTGCAAAAAGGGCAGCTGTAGAGATATAATCTCTTAGCAGCAGCTCGAGATCTCTAACTCATCCTTGGGCCTTGGGACAGCCAGCTTTAACCACGGTAAAAAAGCAACCTTAAACCTGGAATCTCTTCCAAGCAAGTACGAGCCGAGTATGACGTTTTCAACAGACCATCTGTCAATTTTGACATCCAGCCTTTTTTTCCCTCCTTAGATCTTGTCAGGCTGCTTGCGAACAGGTACCAAAGCATCAACCAAACCCACCAGCCTCATTCTGGGCATTTATTATTAGCTTGTAAATGTAAGTAGTAGTTTACTCTGTGCAGTAGTAGGAAATGCATGAATGTACATGTACAAGGATGCAAAGATGACCTCGACCCCAAGAGGCATGTTCGGCCCAATAACGAGCCCATGCGACGATTGACCAGTAAGCTGTGGCGGAACTGCATGGGACGAGCGGGGAAGGGCAAGGGATGGGAATATGAATGGTTGTGTGGGCAGCTAGCTCCTCGTCTCGCGCCAGCCCAGCCCATCCCATCGTCGCATCCCAAATTTATGGGATAGAGTCTCCTTGCGGCCCCAGCTCAGAGCGGTCGTGGGGCGGCGGTGGCGGCCGCTTGGCTTGATCGGCATCACACGAAAACTTCGGCGTTTAAGAGGGCTTGTTTAACTAAACTTATAGGCGGTATAGGCGTCCGTGTTCCCTAAAACCCCAAACCCTTTTTCCCCATTCATTTCTAATAATTACAACCTCCGTTAAATTTGAACGAACCCGGTAAGTCCATGCAGCTAGGCCATATCACAACCCCCCCCCCCCCTGCGACGACTACCTACGCTGTAACGGACACTACAGCTACAAGCAGCAGCAACACATGGCAAAACATACACAGGAAGGGGGGGGGGAAGATACAAAATACAAAAGAATGGAGTAGAAAACCAAGATATGTATGTAATAACAGACGGACCCAAGATGAAGGTATGAATGATCCTCGAAGCTCCGAGTCCCAGGGCTTCCTTCTTCCCTCTTCCTCCATGGCCTCCAGTCTGACTGAATGGACAGGTAAATTGACCTCTCCTGGGGTTTGATGGAACCCTGGCCAAGTCAAAATCCCACTTATTATACTACTCACTCACTCGTCCGCCCAACCCGTTTGGATGCGTGAGGGTTTTCAAGGCGTCGATGTGCTGCCACCAAGCCCTACGCTGTAACTACTACTACTACTACCACTTCGGAAAATTATACTGGAGATTGCTTCGAATAATCCTACGGAATAGTATTTCGGCCTTTACCTACCTGAAGTTCATCCGCTGCTTTGTAGGGGAACCGGTACTGAAGTTCATTAAATGAGGACGACCATGCTCCAGAGAAGAGAAAAGAGACCATGCAGTCGTCTCTACATTTACAGCCCACTTTCAGCGAAGAAAAAAGACGAATGAATAACCTACAAAATTGGATGAAACTAACATCAAAAAATCTAGATTTCTTGTGAAAGTTTTTAGCTCATCACCCCTAGCACTAACAAATAAAATCCTCCGCCAATCATTTGCACAAAAGCAAAGGATGAGCGCAGGGTGGAAAACAAAAAGCCAATAATAAATAATGTTCAATATGTGAGAACGAACAAAGATAACTAGTTAGCTAAACCACGTTTACGACCTATCAAGAGACAGGAAAAGAAATTCAGAAGAAACTCATCAAGAAGTAGGGGGAAAATATCAAATCTCCTGCACCCCGCATCTCCGTCTTATGCCAAAATAGGGCCAATTCCAGGACTTCCCAATGGTTGATCAATAACTAACTACTGAGCCAGAGCTATTCCTCGATCTCCCATTTTCTCCCATGCACACTACTACATTCTTCGCCTTCAAAAAGGCGCAAGCCAGCAGACAAGGCCAGGGTTCCCCTTGCATTCCTCTTGCTTTGTGATAGGCCCTAATGCTGCAGCGCATGCTCTTGAGGAACGTCGGCGGGCTAGCCAGATGGCCCCCCGGAGGGAGTTGTGGGTTATAGTTGTGCTCCTCTATTATATATGAATCTATGATACACGCTATCGAGGGCGTACCCCCCCCCGGTTCATGGAATCATCGCTCGCCCCCCCTCATCCCCTCATCTCTCGCTTGACTTTTGTTGTACTTTGCCTGGGATGATTCCGGGGACGGAACCTTCGATTGGACTCGGTCTTTTTTGCGGTGATATTTTTACTTTTCCTTATTTTGTTTATCTTCTTTCTTCTCCTTGCATCCTTTGCTGGTAGCTGAGAGAGGAAAGGAAGAGTGAAAAGAAAATAAGTCGCTACGTAGCTCCTTGAACAGGGCCAACAACGAAACGAAACGACTTTGCATCCCGCTGGCACCCCATGCAGAAGATGACATCCATACAAGGCAAAAGGGCAAAGAGTGACGATAAACAAAACCTTAGAAAAAAATTTCCGTCAATTCATGTCCAGGACGCGCAACCGCTTGCGCAACAGTAGTAAAAAGAAGAAAGCAAGAAAAAAAACTGCCAACACATTTAACTAACTAGCTTTCAGGGATTCTCTTCAACCATGAATATCTTCTCAAGGTTAAGTTACCGCCGTGTCCTCCTTCTGTCTGCCACCCCCATCGGTATCAAAAACACCGGAGTAAACATCGGCAACGAAGCGATCCCCGTTAAATCTTCTTCCTAACCTCGAACTCTCGTGTAAGCTTTGGCTACCTGAGTCAACCCCCCCGCCATCGGCAGCTCGGCACTGGGTCTTAAGTCATGATGGGTCTCGGCGGGTCCGCCATGCTCCTGCTCCTGCTGACATCCCGCTCCGCTTCCGCCACCGCCGCTGCTGCCGGACGACCTACTATTCTGTAGGAAGTTTCGATCACTTTTGTCTCAAGATTTGTCTCTTCCTGCAAGCCTGATTCGATAAGCTGGCCATTTTCTCTTTCTTTCTCGTCGCTTTGCTTGTTCTTCTTCTTCTTTTTTTCTTTTTTATGTATGTTTTCCTTTTTCAAGTTCGCTTTTGTTTGCCATACCGCGCTAGCTATACGTAACGGGCAGGATTTTTTTCAACTGCATTTTTTGCAAGGAAATGATTTAAAGCGTGTTGTTCCATGCTTTCGTGTGCCCCGGCGGGTATCTTTGCGTTCGTTGTTCCAGGATTATAGAGGTTGTTACTTTTATACCGTTTTTCATCTTTCTTTTCAGTCCAGTGGAGAGGGGCGCTTCAGCGGAGGAAGCCGCGGCGGCGGAACTAGGCCGGAAAGGAGTTGTGCATGGTTCTCGACGTTATTCCGCGGGGCAAGGTGATGAGAATACGTGCTGGCATATAGACTATATATCTAACTAACTACATATACAATGGGCTCTCAATGAGGGACCATCATCTTTTGACTGCTGATGCTGGTGTTTGTCTCGTCGCCGTTTGTCTAATCATCATGATACAGTATGACCCCCTTTCCAAGATTCTTTTTGAATTTTGTTTTCATGGGCATGTTTCACAGAAAGAATGCCCCAGCAAAGTATTGTGTCTGCTGGAACTCTTGCGCTGTTCCATTATTATGAAGTAGCTTCTCTAGCTTTGAACGGTACATGTTATTTATTTACGAACAAAACATGCATATTGAGCCGGATAGAGATGCCCCATCCAACTACAAGCCAAAACGCCTCTATTGATACCTATGGAATGGGTCAAGCCATCGCCATCTCAGAATGTAGCATCTTCCGGATAGATTGGCAGATAATACATACATACAGCACAGAAAGCCGACTATCTTTGGGGGGGAGGGGAGAGGGATGAGCTGCGAATGAATGAATCAATACCGCTCGCATCCCACCTCTTCATTCTCAAGTGATATTAAAGAACAAGGCTTGTGTGTTTGGTAAAGGCCCCGGTTCAGTGGGCAAGCTTAGAGCGCCAGTTGGTAGCATATTGGATGGTTTTGGATAAAGTCCCCAGAATCAAGAAATAATCATAATAATAATAGTAAATATCTAACAGAGATAGATCTCTTCAAAATCCAGCATTGACGAGCAAAATAACTCACTTATTGTACACAACAGCAGATGGTGAAAGTAAAAATAACACAATCATAAAGGGTAAAACAGAGCCAGGTGAAGAAAACATGCAGAACCTAAGGGCAGTAAGATATATAGATATGTAAATATCTATATAAATATACCAGGGTATGTGTGGACGGAAAGCAAGACCTCGAATGAGTAGAGGGGTGCATGAGAAATCGATCTAAAGGAAGACTTTTTAGATAGCAAAGGGTAGGCCATGAGGTATACGTAAGGTTAGAGGGAGGCAAAAACAGACAAAGAGGGACCCAAAACGAAGCGTTGCTTGTCATGTCGACTACTCAGCCACGTCCAGGCTGCTCGATGCAGCCGTCGCCTGGGGACCTTTCTGCTGCCGTAATTTCTCCTCGAATTTTGCAAATTCGTGCAAGCCAACCTCTTCCTCCTGATCCAGGACGTGGTTGACCTCTTTTACTTCCTCGATCTATAAAGACGGGTCAGCTTCAATTCCCAACAACAAAAAAGGAGACCTTCAAATATCATGGTCGGTAAGTCCGCGTAGGAGCGGGACTATGGAAAAATGAAGGGAAGAATAAAAACAAAGCCAATCCACTCACATAATGCATCAACATAGACTCAATCCCATTCTTCAGAGTCACCGTACTCGAATCGCACGTCCGACACGCACCCCGCAGCTTCAAAGAAACAATCCCATCCTCAAAGCCCCGGAACTCGATATCGCCTCCGTCCTCCTGGATCGCAGGGCGGATCCTCGTCTCCAGCAGCTCCTTAATCATGCTAACAACCTCATCATCATCCTCATTATAGCTCAGCGAGTCTTCTTCGGGCGGCGGGCCTCCAGCCCCAGCCTCTGCGACATTGATAATCGGCTCGCCCGTGGTTACCGCCTCGGTGATCAGGCTGAAGACCTCGGGTTTGATATGTGCCCAGTTTGCATCGCCGGCTTTGGTGATGGTGATGAAATCAGGACCGTAGAAGACGGCCGATACGCCGTCGACGTTGAGGAGCTTTGCGGCTAGCGGAGAGGGGTATGGGGGTGTCAGGGTCGAGCGTGGCGAGAGGTATTCTACGAAGCTGGTTGGGAAGTTTTCGGGGAGGACAGGGTGGTTAGGGTTAAATTTTAGGGCCTACAGGAACAAAATACCAATGGAGTTAGCTGATTGTTTCATTTGCTTTTGCTTCCCTTCATTGTTCGATGCTTGCATTCCCTCATACATCTCCTCATCCACAATACACATTGCACATGAATTCATGTTCATTATCAAAAAAAGGATTGCGCAGCGCCCACTTACATCAGCATTCGGGGTAGTTTCCGTCTGAATAAAAATCGACCGGCTCCCCGTGGCCCCATTTATCTGCGTCCCGCGCCTGGTGGGCTGATGTCGCGGATCCAGAGTTGGTCTATGGCGTGAGGTCGACGAGGTGAGGACCGGGATTTTCGCCGCTTGGGTATGCACGCGCGAGATACAAGCGGGCCCACAGCCGCCCAGGGCAGGCGTCAGAACCCGACTGGCGGGCCGTGATAGTAAGATCGACCGTGTGAATGATCTAGAGAGAGTATGTGCCGCCATTGTGTATGTATAATTCGTACACAAGCAGTTAAATCACGACGTATGGGATGCAGCAGGGTTGAGTCGATGCGAGGATGAAAGCTTTTGAGTTTATTTTTAATTTTGGTCTCGTGAAAGCCGAGTTCCGGATGACGTAATTTGACATTAGTAATCTGGAGTTGATCCAGTGGGTCTTGGCAATAGCACGTGACCGTGATTGTCTGCGAACTCTAACCTCGGGTGGCAAATAGTCCTTCCTCACTGAAGGGAGAACAAAGGCGGGTGAGTGCGTAGTAGGGAGGGAAATGAAATGCTAGAGGGTGCTCACCATGATACTTGACACTACAAATTTTTAGTGTGATTAAGGATGAAGATATGGGATACGCAAGTCAGGTTGAATGCGGGGTTGACCAGGGAGAGGAAGCTGTCGTCTCCTTCTTTTCCCTTTGTTCGAAACTTGATTAAGAACCCTCTCCAATGGATTTTTCGAACTTAGTCATATACTATGATGAATCAAATTAATCAAATAGGTCGAAATAAGAGATATATATGAATATAAAAGGAACAAATTCTATCCTGCTCGTAGTTAAAAAGAGCTTATGATAAATAAATCCAAATCAGGAAAATGGGGAGGTGTGGAGAAAGAAAGAGAAAATGGAGAAGGAAATTGAAAGTAGAGTCACAGAAAGAGTTCCCTCCCCATAGAAGGGAATCAGAATCAAAAAAAGCCAAAGGAGCAAGAAGAGAAGTAAAATTAACAAGAAAAACGTCCGTAACATCATAGTCGTGCCTTCGCTTCCAACACCTCTGTCCGTGGTTTGTCGCAGATACGATTAGTAAAAGCTCTTTTATTTTTATTTTTGAAGAATAATAATTCCACTAATATTCTGAAAAGAAATAAACGCGAAAAAGAGGTCCTATCTCATACCCATATCCTGGTCACTGTAGTGACAAAGTCCCGAGCAACCCCAGCCAGCCAGTCAGCCGACTATCAACACCTGACAAATATGGGCATTGCAATATGCATATGTATAAGAGAGTGGGAGGGAGGGAGGGGAGAGGTATAGTAACCCTGCACCCATCCTTTGAGGAAATAGAAAGGAATCCAGAAAGAAAATCAAGACAACTAGAGAGACGATAACGCGACAAACATAAAGAAGTCGGCTTCAGTTTATACCTATGCGGGTATATACGGATTGAAAAAAGAAAAAAGAGAGAAGCGTTAAATACGGGGCAGTATAAATATATACGTCACAGGTACAACAAGTATAAATGAATATATATGTTTTGACACAATATGAGACGTTGGGAATCAATTATTTCCTATCTCTTTCTTTCTTACTTTGTTCAAATAGATCTCAAATCAGATTCTTCCCCAAGTCTAGTGTGGCGAGTTCCTGAGATGGAGCCGAGCGAAGAGAAGAGGCGAGAGGAATATGAAGCAGGGTTTTTGGCCATATCCGCTCACTTTCTGGTTTCGCTCGATATCAAATCGTATATGGATAAGAATTCAACCCCAAGGGGAAAATTCGGATAAGGCGGAGGGGTTTGCATTCGTACGTAGGTGTAGAAGAGGAGATAAAACTTAAAAAGTTGAGATCTGGTGGGTTTTCCGTTTCCATTCTTCGATTTCGATCTTTGCTCTTCATAAGTTTTGAGTTTCGCCGCAGGCGGCATCGGTTGTATTTGTTTTGGGGGGAGGGGTATTTTCAACATGTCGCATCGAAATATTCAAGTCTGCTGAATACTTTTCAAGCGCGACGCCACCCGAATCTTTTACGGGGTGGCTCGACTCCTGAGGATGGCTCAACTTGCATGCTGCGGTTGTAAAGCTCCTATGAGGGTATCAAGTTAGCTTTAGGTATATGCTATGGAGGGAAGAAGACTGGTGACGGTTATATGCATGGAAGGTTAAAAGCAGAAAGCAAGCCTTACATCCTGATCTCCAGAAAATTTAGTGTCGAGAATAAGACGCTGAACATCTTCGCTTTTCGGGTAACAAGGGAAAGGTGTTCTTTGGCTATTGTGTATGCCCAAAACAACCTCGCCCATGATCTCAAATTTGCGCCAGTTGATGCGATCATTATTCGGGCCGATAAAGGTCTTGTTGCCTTCCTCCGCCGACACAAGATCACGTCGATGAAGGGGCAGAAACGGGATCTTTTCTGCAAACGAGTTCTCCCAAGCCAGGCGGTAGGCGAAGTGGCTCTTTTGTGTGCCCATGAGGATAACTAGACTCATGAATTGTTTCTGAACCCCTGGGGATACTAGCTCCCTAGTTTGTGACAGTCGGAAGACAGGGGTTCCGTTGAGTCCTGCGATAACGGCTCCAAGTGAGTTGTAATTATTCAATTGACGCAATTTCTAAACGACGGGAAGTGGGTCAGCTAATTGCAATCGAATGCCCAAAAAGACTTGTTCGGAAGGGGATACTAAAAATACTAACCATTGCGATATTCATGAATTTTTCTAATGCCTCTGCCCGATGTTTAGGTTTGTCTCGCAACAAGACCATGCTTGCGACGAATAACGCCAAGTGATTGAACTGGTCAATCATCCTGTTGACGTTACACAAACCCTTCGCTGAAGCCCTGTCGTCTGCAGATATGCTCACGTGGCGGACGAGTTCCCGTGGCCTAAACGAGCTAAACATGACCCAGTCGATGCGCGTCACCTCGCGCGCGAATTCATCTTCAGGTATCTCCATGAAAGCTTTCCATTGTTCCTTCGAGAGAAGATTTTTCGGGTTTAATTCCAACCGTTGGGCTTCTTGTTGGGCAGACTCCACACTTAGTAAGGTCAAGAATGATTGACTGGATATGCTGCCAGATCTATAAACGCTCGATGTAGTTGAAAGATTGGAAAAGTTTGAGGCAAGTTCCTGATTTTCATCATTTAAGTCCAACGCGCTCATGCTGCTCATGTTCTCGTCGGAGGATCGCGCAACGAAAGTTGCTGGCGAGCTTTGCACAGATGTGTCTAGAAATGTTTCGACGCTTTCAGAAGCGTTATCATCATCTTCATACGCCCACCCTAAATCATCATCCTCCACAAACTTTTCGAGAAAAGAGTTCATCTCCTTTGCCGCAAAGGCAAAAACAAAGTGTTTCTCCAGCGAGACTATGAAATCTGTCAAGCGCTTTCGGGTTTTCGAGCCAGCAAAATCGCCAGGGTATTCTGATACCCATTGAGACATGATATTGAGCAGTCTTAAGTGGTCTGCATGCCGCATCAACAACGGAGACGGTCCTGATCCAATATTTTCGAAACGAGTGAGTAAAGCGGAGAGGAGCTTAGCTGGAGTGGCGAATTTTCGATAGAGGCACAGGAAGATGCTGGCAAATTTGGCGTCTTGCTTTGACATGGGTGGTGCTAAAAGACGATCCACAAGCTCATCGAAAGTCAAGCCTGGGTCGATTGGTTTGTCTTTGCCAGTAGTATCAGGGCTGGAAGGAGGATTAGACCCTTTCGAATCGTCACCGTCGTCCTCCATATCCAAGAAGCTGCTGAAAGCGTCCGAGCTACCACTATGCCGCCACGAATTCTGCAATCGTTGATATGGGCCCTTATTGGATGCAATTTCCTCGGGGACGGTGCTTGAGCCTAGAGTTTCCCCTCGGTTCAACCGGTTTCCAGGAGGAGTTCTAGGAGGCACAGGCTGCGAATTACTTCGGACATTTCTCGATCCTTGAGCATTGGACGCCAGGTTTGAATCGGGTATGGGGTTCTGTGTTCGAAAGTTGTTATACTCAGCGGAGGTCGGATTGGCCAAGTTGGATTTTGGATTTTCAGAGCTAGCGCGAATATGCTGTCGGCTTTGGGAAGGAACCGGATGCCGCGAGGAGGTTCGAGTGGATGAGGTAGGGTGTGTTAGAGGAATTGGGGAGGGTTGTAGACTAGCTGCATCTATAGAGTGGGTGTTAGCAATCAGCAGTTGGCAGAGATGGTTTGAGCCGGAATTAGGACTCGATTGGGTGGTCTGAAAATTAGCCAAAAAGCAGAGATGGCGAAAATAATAATAATAATAGTAATAATAATAACAGTATAAGCAAGGTTAGGCCTGATTCAGCGACGAGCACCCGGCAGGCCCATCGGTGGCGGTGGATGGGCTGATAGCGGAAGCAGTGTGTGTTGGAAGAAGGGTTTCCAGCTGACGGAAAGCATACGCGAGTGCGAGGTCATTAAAAATAATAGGAGAAGAAACTAAGAAAGAACAGTGGGGAAAAAGCGGGAGGGACACTAGCGTCACAGAACAGGGAAAATAGCCTTGGGTGCCGAACTTATAAATAACACGACCAACCAGTTTGCGTGTTTGGCTTTTTCGACAAGGAAAATAAATCATGCGGGTGCTCACGGGGTATTTTATGGGTGAGGAAAAATCGAGGATGAGGAAGAAGAAATACTGAAAACAAGAAGAACAAAATAAAGAGAAAAAAGAAAACATGATAAAACGGCGGAAACGGTCGGGATTAAAAAAAAAGGTGAAAAAAAATACAAAAATATAGAAAAAAAAAAAAAAAAAAAAAAAAAAGAGTGGGCATGGAGGTCGCGTAGCAGGGTCAGAAACTGCTGCGATGTGGATTTGCGGCTATCACAAGGTGGGGAATGCAGCCACCAACAGAAAAATCCTTACCAGCCGTTCGAGCTATTATAGCCCTGAGGATGTTGGAAATGCATTTCTTCTGTGAGTCTGGAGCCTCAGAATACGTTTGATGAATCTCGATGCCGCCGAGCACTCGGCGCGCCTGGTCGTAAGTTGCAGGGTCTATCCGGGAAGATGGAACTTGGCCCTCGCATCTACACGCCACGACAATCAATGGGATTGTAGCTTTGGGCAGTGCACCTAATCAAGAGTGATTCACAATTGTTAGGTGTTAGCTCCCCTCGTGATAGTCCACACCTGCCTAGTCGGAGAAGAAGGGAGCCACATAAGAAAAAAAGATATTGCGGGTCTGAATGGCATATATATACGCGATTTCCGCTGGCATCTGGCACTAGATGTATAGCAGGATGGGGCGGGATGGTTTGATATTATTAAATTTCCCACTTACTAAATATTCGAGGAAACTGGGCTACGCTCCTCGGATCATATGAATCAAACAGAACGAGGACACCGTCAATGATGGGCAATTCCTGTTCTCCAATAAATTTGGGCCAAACGATCTGACCGTTTTCGTCAAACGAGAGTTTGTGGCTCGCGATTTCCAGCAGTCGTACAAGATAGATGGTTCCGTCCAGGGACATCTTCTTCACTGAGGAGCGTGATATGGGAGGCTGTTTGAGGTCCAATGCGCGCTGCACAAACGTGGACTTGCCCACGCCTTGTGCACCCACAATGGCCAAATTGACTTGGGGAAGTCGAGGTTTTGGTGTAGCAGTAGGCTTTTGTTTATCGTCATCATCCCATACCAATTGTCAGCCTATAAAAGGAATTGACCTGTCCGCAATTTCCCCCAGTATCCTGTTTTTTTGTTTATGGGAGGGGGGAGGGAAAAGGGGGAGGTGGAAATCAAGGTACAGTTCATACCTCACTTAAGCCGTTTGTTGAACCATTATTGTTTTCTGCCTTGGCTACACTGGCCGGCGCCATCTCGTTCTCTTCAATAACAGGTGCTTCTACTAGGCCATGGCCTTGGGGTCGAATGCCGGGATAAGAGTCCCACGAGGGTGCCGAATAGGATCGATTTTGTAGAGGCGGGCGGCGAGGAGGCTGCTGAGGGAGAGCTGGTGGTTCCTGGGCGACTTCGCTTGTCGAGCGCGTTCTCGGAGGGCGTGGAGCGGACATGATATATATATACATATATCTAGGAACGCGGGGTTTAAGAGCTCAGGGGCCCAACAGGTCTGGCAGAGGGGACGAATTGTTTGGGAGGGAGCCTGGGGGAGGAAAAGGAGGGCAGATCATATCCGAAATCCTGATACTATACCACAATCCGCCAGGAAGGCTCTGCCATTGCCATCTGCTCCAGGGAAGAAAGGGCGTGCGTGTAGTATTGATCAAGGAGTTAAAGGAACGGAGCAGCGCGATGTGTGGGGATCCGTCCACACTGCTACGCGAAACTGCGTGGAATATCCGGAGGCGCAACACTGTTCTTTCTAGGTGGATTTGTTTCTTTTTTTTTTTTTTTTGGTTTCTTTTCTTTTTTTTTTCTACCTTCTTTGTGCGCCAAGGGAGGAACTGGTCTCTCAAAGCATGGCCGGTGACGAGGAGAGCAGTCCTACAGCAAGGCAGGGACGCATATTTTAGCCGTCGCAAGAGATGGTGGACGAAGTATGTACCTGTATAGAATGGAGATATGCAGGGCGGAGGGGGTGTGTGGGTGTGTGGGTGTGGGTGTATGTGTATGTGTATGTGTGTGTGTGTGTGTGTGTGGGTGGGTGTAGGTGGGTGTGGGTGTGTGGGTGTGTGTGTCTGTGTGTGTTCTGGATGGCAAAATGCAGGCAGCCTAGGGACCTACACAGGTAGGCAAAGGCCAGAGCAAGCAGTGGATGGTGACTGGAGGATGTTAAAAAAAAGAGCTCACGATGTCTCACTGCCGTCGAATGCACGGTTTGGCGAGGAAGACAGAGGCTCATGGTTGGGCGCTGGCTTGGGCGATGGCTGCCGTGGGATCCTAGCGTCCTCTGGGCAATGCATCCCCTCCGACCTCAATATCAACAGTGGCCTGGCCCTCTCTCTATCTCTCTCTCTCTGTCTCTCTCTCTCTCTCTCTCTCTCTCTCTCTCTCTCTCTCTCTCTATATATATATATATATATATATATATATACATATCTATCTATCTATCTATCTATCTGTGAAATCTGTGAATTACAGACACACTATTTCCTAGGCCAGGGCGATGACGATAATGAGGACGGCCATGATGAGGATATACGGCAAAATGCCCCAATCCAACCCCTCTACAGATTGAGCTGTTTACTTGACTCGCGCGACCACTCATATCACCGCCCCCCCAAAGCTCCCCTTTGACAGCTCCGCGCCTGGATTGAACCGCTCTGGACGCGATGGGTCTGACAAGGATTCGTCTGTCTCGACTGATCCTGGGTGTGCTCACCTGCCTGTCCATCAGACCAGCTAGCAGATCTAGAGCCGGCATCAGCACTGGGTGGCGATCCAATCGCTGCCAAACAAAACCTCCAGTCGATCAAATCAAGCGTTCAAACTAGGGTTGAGACGATATGGGATGTCCTTCGTGTATCATGTGGGGGGCCTTCTTTCAACAGACAAGGCAGGTATCATACAGATCCTGTTTCCGCCCAGCCCAGCTCGATTTTTACAAGGATACAAGGGAATCAGAAAGTCAGTAAGCCGTTTGCTACCGGAGTTGGAGGAAGTGGATTTACTAAATGTTCTGGTAGAAGCTATACTTAATATACTGCATATTCAAAGAGACAATTCAAGGTCCTTCCAACACGCCGCCGATCCTACATGCATAAAACCTCTCCGTACCTAGGCATAAACATACCCCTGTTTTACTCTTCGCGTGGAGTCCCAGGGTACACAGATCGGTATCCTGCAACAGTGCACTTTTCGCAACGTTTACAACCTGCTGTGTCACAAAACATGTCGGTCGATATCCAATCGGGATGCGAGCTACAATTTAAACCGAGGTTTATTGTTGGGCAAAGCTGAAATGTTTTCCTAAAGATGGATCCTGGGCTGGTCATTCTCGCTGAAAAGATGCTCGTCCTGTCGGGGAGAATAATTGAAAGCACGACCAAGTGTTTTACTAAAGCCTTTCAAATGTGATAAACCCTGTACCTAGGTAAACCCATTGTGCTTCCGCTCTCCCAGGCTGTGATTGCTTAACCTAGTCTTCGAATCTCTAGGTGAAACTAGGATAACAGCCCATACCACAGGATGGTGCCTAGGCACGTTTAGCAGCATCGTACAGAATCCTAGGACGAGTCAGGAATTATCGTTGCATAATGCATCCGCTAGCCCGAGGACGTATCAAAGTTATTCAAGTAGGCGGTATCCTGCACTCGAAGCCGCCGCATGTGGGCGCCGAGGAACATGCAGTATGCGGGTATATCTATCCGACTATTTTGTGAAGAAAGATAAGGCAGCTAGCCAGCATGCACAAATTGTATCTTAAAGGCACCGCGGCAGAGAGTGAAAATAATCCCACTTGTCGTTCCGTTCCGTACCGTGGGGCAGGAAAAGAAAGATCCACATCCCAAACACCAATGACCAATCCCAAGAGGAAGTTATCATTTCCCTGGAAAGGGGTACCTCCCGTATCATTGAATCGATGATGTTGATATTCAACCTTCTGACTGTAACTGCATAATATCCCTCGGCGCGTCGTTGTCCCCTAGAACCAAAGCAGCGAACCGCCCAAACCCTTCAATATCATTGCTGTTGGCAGCCCCGTTATTACTCTCCAATGTTTCGCGCAACCGCCTAACTTTTCCCAATCCTCGGTTGAATCCTTTCTCCTCTTTCCAGGGCCCTCTACTCCTCCCTCCTCTCCCGGAGAATCCTCCGCGCCCACGCCCCCGCCCGCGCCCGTAATTGTTATGTTTCGTCTCCACCCACTCTTCCTCGAGAGTAAGTTTGTATATATCTCGTAGCTGCGATCGGAGAGCGGGATATTGGGCAAATAGGTCCTTGAGTGCGCGGGACGACTCTAGATCTTTGAAATCAAGGGGAGCTTTGGGTATATCAGTGTCGAGGATCATCGTTCCAGGATGGTCGGGAATCTGTAGGTGTGGATCTGCTGTGGCTCCACAAGCATCACCGGGCGCAGCTCCAGATGTGCCATTTTGAACACTATCAGGCGGTGCTGTTTGCTTCTCCGGCTCATGATTTTGTTTAGGGGCTTTGGGCGAACAGGATGTCTTATGTGCCTGGGTGCAGGCAAGGGAACAGCTGCGTAAGAGATTCAATCTGGTCAGTATTTTTTTTTGGGGGGGGGAAGGAAAAAGAAAAAGAACAAAATAAAAACCCTAAATGAAGAATAAGAAAAATCATATGCCCCTTACCTCTGCACATTACATGTAGGACATCGATACTTCGACGGTTCAGTTGAGCAAACTTCGCAGAGCGCCATGACTAGCAATCGAATAATGCAATTTTCGACGTGTTCAGAATAGGGACGTTAAGTGGCATGGGCGGATGAACTCGACGGTTGCTCTCCCAAGCAAGCTAGCCAGCTAGCTTCTCAGTCAAAATATTTTAAAACCCTAGGCTTCATTCTTTGTCGTGTTGAGGAAGAATAGTTATCGATAGTTATGGATGGGATTGGACAAAATAGCGCTTATATAATCACAAATTTCCGGGAGCTTCAAAAGCATTTCCCAAGTTCCACATCAGAGCCCATTTAAGTACTCCCTCAAGCAATTGATCCCCCCCTCATACAATATCGAATCTACCCACCAAAGCACACAACGATGACATCCCACTTTCCCTCCCAAGCCCGCGCTCTCTACCGATCTATCATCCGCGAACTGCCCCGCCGCCCTCTTTCGTCCCCATCGCCGCTCGCAATCCGGATCCGCACCCATCTCTCCTCACAACAATCACCAGAGAGCAACAACAGCAACGGCAAGCAATTCCAAATCGCACAAGCGCAGATGGACGAGGCGGAGCAATTCACGCAGTATCTGAGGGCGCAGAGGGAATATGTCACCTTGCTGGAGCGGTATAACCCCGGGGCGAATATGGATGAGGAAGAGCGCGTGCGGCTGACGGCGAGGAGGGTGGGGATGGAATTACCTATTGAGGCGGAGGGGTATGAGAAGGAGGAGTAGAGTGACCGGAAGGCATGACAAAGCAATTTGGGGTTTTTTTTTTTTTGGGGGGGGGGGGGGTGGGGTTAGAGCCCGATAGGGCTTTATACGAACAATGAACCGTTGCTATATTATACCCGATTGTCAGCGATCTGTTCCAAACGGGCTTTTCCCTTAGCCATGTTAAGTCTGAAAACGCTCAGCATTCTCCAGCATGGCAAATTTCCACCTCTACAACCAGCTGTTTTAGATTGGAGATGGTTTTGTCACCTGGAAATGAGAATCCCTTGCTGTTTGGAAGAAGGAAAGCAAGAAGCGGTATTATGAGGTGGTCCTTCGGGGCAGATAGAGGATGCGCCTGTTTACTCCCCTGCGCCAGGTCCTGAGGAACTAAAATTGGCGATTTTGGGTTTACAGATACCATTGTTCAGTATGGCGATGGTGACCATGTTAGATAAGATTGGAGGGTTTGCCATTACTTGTTATTTGTCAAGTTTATGTCTAGGGTTTGTTACGGCACATATACCAGGGATCAGTTTTTTCCAAGTCAGAGGGTGTTTGTTGGAAAGGGTTTTATTGAACTATTGTATTTTTACATGGAGGAATGATTGTATATATAGCCCTTTGTTTGTGTGTATTATATGGAATAGAATATAAATGACTACAAGATGCGAGATATTTGCTCGGCAGCATGGGTTTGGTGTTTATAAATCTCTCTCTTTCTGGGCAAATATGTATAGGCCTACAATTTACATAAATGCACTACCTGAGCTCCTTTTAAGGCATCTACCGCAAATGAAGTAACAAATAAATATATAGGGGAAAGAATACTAACATACAATGAATTAGAGTTATGAAGTATGTATCTCTTTTCTCATTTCTCTTCAATATTTGAATGTATAGTTACGATTTTTCAAAGATTATTACTCCCACAAACGCCCTTAACAATGCTATGCTGTGTTAAAAAGGGAAATAATGACAATAATTAAGAAAAAAAAAACAAAAAGGCATGTCCAATAAGGACAAATAGCAGTAGAGATAACAATGCAATCATTGTACATCGAAAACAAAGGGGTAGATATGAATATATGACTAGGATACCGCCAGCATATTGGTGCGTTTGTGGGGTGGAAAAATATCATCGGATATTATTCAATGAGAGTAAAATTTTTGTTTCGGACATTAGAGAGACGGAGAAAGAGAACGCGCCACGAGAACCGGGTATTGGAGGCCTGCTCATTGTTCGCTGCGCTATTCGGCCATCAAAGGACAGAGGAAGGGAGTGTGAAATCGTTAAGATAATCATCAGAGATCTTTTTTTTGGGGGGGGGGCGAGTTGGAAAGGAAACGGAGAGTACATTAAGAAAAAAAAAAGGAGTGAATTTCCCCATGGATGCTAAGTACGGGACAGGGCGAATTACTTTCCACGCCTCAAACTTTCTAGGTCCGCCCAGAAGTTCGTGACATCCGGCCGCCCATATAGCTGCTCGCGGCTGAGTTGAAGAATCTCGATATTAAGCCGCCGCCGCTGCCGCTTCCGCCAGCCGTTTTCAGTTTTTTCACAGGCAGGTGTTGGCTTGACATCGAAGTGAGAGGTTGTCGCTGTCGCTGCTGGTGCGGCTTTGGTTTCTGGTGAACGGCATGTATGTTAACGTAACTGTATGCCATCGACGCTGGGCTGGCATGGGCCTCTGCTACTATGACGTCGTCTGTAGCGTAAGAGAGCTGGCCGATGCTGGCAGGTGTGCCTCGAGAGCTAGGAGCCAGGCTAGACGAGCGAGACGATGAACTTGGAGCCCTAGATTCGCCACGGGTGAGCGGGGGCAGGTCTTTGACTGACGGAGGAGAGATTGATCGTCCTGATCGGCCGGATCGGTAGGGTGATGGATGTCTCTTTTGGCCTGCGCGATGGCCCTCGAGCGTCGAAGTGTTCAGTCGCGCCATCATCAGGACTTCGCTGGGGTCGGCGGAGAAGTCGTCACCTTGTTCCTCCATTTCGAATTCATTTAGTTGAACCACTTCCTTTTCACCTTCGAGCTGAAGATGCTCACGGATCGGCGCGAGGAACGGCTCGAAATATTCAAAGAGGTCCTGCTCATTGACTCGGGTTTCCCAATTCAGCAAATAGAGCATCTGGCGCTCCATCAAATTGACTTCGGCGAGAGAGAATCCAAAGTCAGCGCAGTCCTTTACGACCGAATAGCGAGCCCAGTGCTTATTCTTCGGGCTTGAATCGTTCAGGTTCTTAGCTGCGAGGATCAGGGATGCAAGGAAGATGCGATGAGCTGTACATCGCATCCCTTTGGACATGGCGGGAAGCTTAGCTCGAAGACGACCTAGATACACCAGGGATGACATCAGGGTCGGAACCTCGACGTGGGATCGGTTCACGATCGAGCAGATGAACTCGGCCAAAGAAGGGAGCGAAGGGGACTGATGCGCCGGCTTCTCTGAAGCATTGAGCGGAGGAGTTGTCGGAGGGGTTAGAGGGTTAGGTTGGCTCAAGGAGGTCGGGGTAACGTGTTCCTCGCATCTTATGACCAGCGCAGCTTGTTGGGCGAGGTATATAACCATCTCACGGGAGACTGGAAGTGTCACAAACTCATTCAGAGCGGCTCGGTTGTAATAAGTTGCTGATTGCGCCATGTCCGTTCTATAAAAACGAATTTGTCGTGTTTTGACTATGTGAGTTTCCGGCGAGTCTAGCAGCGTTGTAAAATGGAGTGGCCCGGAAACTTATTGAGCCAAAAGTCCGAAAAAGAATGATTGCGGAGGTAAAAAGGTCTCCGCTGGGCAAGTCTCGTGCAAAAGCAGAATTATTTAAACAAATTTTGAAGTGTGATTTGTGCAAAAAATTAAGGCGTTAATATAAATTTCGTTGGCAAGATTATGTGTAAAACACAAAGGGAGTGAGTGAATCAATCGCAGACACGCTCAATGAATGGAATATAAACAAATCGACAGTATTTTCAAGTCTCTGTCCAGCAGAGGATTTCGAAGGGATAAGGAGCAGCTGTCGTCCCCAGTTGACACTCTTTTGGACTTCCAGACCTGTCTGGGAGCTGCAGATGCTTCAGGAGGAGGGAATAGAGTGGAAGAGCTAGATACATGAAGAGAAGATGTCAGCCACAAAGTAAACTATCAGGTCTCTCTACCCAGGTTCAAACAAGGGGCCCACGCAGAACTGTTATACTAACAGGGATTTTCCAACAATTCCTTGCTTGTGCAGAGGAAGAACCAAGCTAAAGTTGGGAGACGCTATTGATGAAACGACAAGGCACAGCAATGAACATGCGGATCGTATCCCCCAAGTGGATCGAAGAAGTTGTTCGTCGCAGCTTTTCGCGTTGAGGGTATATAGAGGAGTCAAGTAAAAACAAAAAGAAAAGAGAAGAAAAGAAAACCCAAAACGAAATCTAATAAATCAAGAAATTCTGCAGGATAATAGCCTCTAATTATATTAAAGAGACAGAAAAAGAAAAGCGACTAATAGAACAACGAAACAGAATGAGAAAAGGCCGTGAACATGTGGCTAAGTCTTGTGAAAGGAATGGAGAACCGGACGACAATATTCAAATATATACACAGACGTGTCGGCTCGATCCGAAGGGAACGAGAGAAAAAATAGTCACGGAGGCGTCCAGATTTAGCAAGCCCTGACATCGTACAGAACAGGCGTCTCGGGGGCGGGCGGCTGGTAGCTGTCGAATGGTCCATAGGATCATTCATGTTGGCCAAACGCACGAGCGCTGGCGTTTGACATAATCTGCCACAGTTGGATATGAAGCGGAGCGGAGACAACAGACAGCGTTAGAGCTTAGCACAAACATGACCAACGCAGGAGGCCGCAGAACCCTTGAATGCAACAGGATCCACGGTGGGAAAGGCTAGGCGTGTTTGAAAATCAGAACGTCGAGTCTCGTGAGCGAGTCAAACCCTGTGTTCCCACGCAGGCGTGACGAGCCTCTTGATGCGAAAGGGACAGAACTCGACATGTGGGCGACTCCTCCATCGTCAGGAGGTAGAACCAGTTTCAGTCAGACGTGCCCTATTTTGTCTCGAGTTTACCGCTGGGCTCTTGGAACGCCGGGGCCTTGAAGATCACGCTTGGGGCTTCGAAGCATGTAAGTCGCTCGTTGCTCGCTGCCGAACCAGGGCTCTTGATTGCAGCCGGGATGCCGGTTAAGGCTGCACCAGGCGCAACGACCAGCTTCCAACTTCCAAGGTTGGGAGAGAATGATCGAGATCCCTGCGGGACACGCTAAGGCACAGCCAATGATCGCGTGTGTTCTTGAAAAAGAATCATGCTCATGCAACAAAACTGTCCGCTTATCCTGTTGCGCCCAGCACGCATGATTGGTGGAGGTGAAACTTTCTTCATATTGGCCTCGTATCACCAGAGTTCAGCGACGGGCAGGAATTCGTGCCGTGTGGTTGACATTATTCTCATTCTGATAATTGTTTGCGTATATAATTAACATCCCCTTCCCTTAACTACCCATCTATTCTTAGACAGAGGTTTATGTGTGTTGGGGATACCAAAGTTGCCCGGCGGCTTGGGTCCAAGCGTCTAGGTGGGACTTATTTAGGGCTAGGGCTGCAGGGGATTTCCTGAATGGGCGGTAAACCCTAATTAATTGACTAACTTAAATAATATTGATTTTTTTTTTTTTTTTGCCCCTAATACACACCACCGTACTACATTCATTTCATTTCATATGCAGAAAGAAAGGGTCAATTGATGTTGTCGTTTGCGTCCCTTTGGGTATATCCTGGCAGGTCAAAGGGTAACTAATAATCATCATCATCATCATCATCATCATCGGCGTTGGCGCTGGTGGTTCGCTGAGGCCTTGCGTTGGCTAATTTTAGGGGCATGCACTCCGCCAGCAGTCGCTTGGTCCTATTGATTCAAGCGCCCTGTTCGTAAATCGGTTCTCTAATTTCCATCTGGATCTCGCTGGCCAGTCAACATTCACGGAGCTCGGGATGAGTTGGCATTTGAGGCAGCAAGAAATTTTTCATGTCTGGCCATCGAAATTTTGCAGCCCTTCTCTCACTTGTTTCAAACTTTTGTTGTTTTGTTTTCATTCTGATTCCTCACCTATCATTAGGATGATCGCTTTGATTGGGAATTATGGAACCCACGCCGCCTGCCTTACGAGACTAAGTCGCGGAGAGGTAAAGCAGCTTATTTCGCGGTCAAGGGTTGGACTCATTCGGCTTCACCCTGTCATGGCCTTTTTTTTGTTTTTCTTTTCTTTTTCCCATCCAGAGAGTGAGGCATGATTGCCAAAGCTTCCAAAACAATCCATAATGAAGGCGTTTCCTTGTCTGCGGCTGGAAACCAACAATATAAAAAACTCGGGACGTCTTTGATATCGGCATGGCAACCCAAACCAGGATCGCAAAACCAACCTGCCCAAAGCCAATAACAATGGAACAGACCCAATAGGGTCAAACGAGAATATGCCGTTTTCCAGCAGCACAAGCGCCCGTCCCAAAACTTCTCTTTCCTAGCCGCCACGCGATATTTTTGGATTTTGGCCATGAAACATGGGTTTCTTCCGCTCCCTGTCCGCACCCTGGGTTGGGATGTTCGATATAACACTTCCTCCTCACAATATCCTTTCTGTATACATAGAATTATATGCATTGTTCAACCCCATTATTGATGCAACAATGCGCGAACTATAAGTGTGGCTTATATCCCTGAACGGCGGCTGGAAACCCAAGAAGGGAACTAAATTTACCCTTAGGAGCCTTATTGTTGTCTTTGCTCCATTATCCACCTCTGTTTGGCCCCATTAACAAACTCTTGTTACTTTTTGTTTCTAGAACTGTGCCCGTGTTATCATATTCTTGGGTGCTCAGCTCATGTCAGGCTCCAGCAGATGCATACTCTTGTCGCCATCTTAACCCGATGCCAGGCCACCAACATCCATTCTTACAAGATGCAGCTACTATGTAGCCCAAAGGACATGTTCGGATATTTTTTTAACGTAACAATCATATTATTTCTGAAAACAGAGCACGATTTCTTCAAATATCCCCGGCCATCACTGAGAACAGCAAGCGTACATGCTATTTCGACCTCAGTCCATTCCCAGAAGCTTCGGTTTTCCCTTATGCCCTCCTTTTACTGAGGAAATATTACCTATATCTGCTCCCTCTATTCAAGTTCTAAGGGCGTGCCATCGTTCTTCTTAGCTATGTTGCCGTTCTGAATATTTCCACCTCCTACGTCTACTTTGACAGGCTCCCACTTCACGGCGATCGGATCATGCCCACTGGTCCGTATCCTGCATCCGTTTGTATCCCAAAGCTGGAACTGAAGATTAGCCGGTCCGATAACCGCTCTAATCTCCAGCTTAACGAAATAGTAAGAAGGTCGATAATGGTACCAGCGGTGATTTTTTTGTTTCTTTCCCACGTCGTCTGTAAAGATGCTGATTTCGCATAACCGCTCCGCGCCATCATCGGCCATGTTCTGTGGGAGTCGCTCGGGGGCCAATGTCGACATGACTATTTCGACCTTCCATGGTTCTTGTATCCGTTTTGGATCGACCTTTTTGTTAAATCTTTTGGATATCCCAGTGGGTGGAGTTGCGCCGCCCTATGACCGAGAAAGAAAAGTTGAGTTTCTGGTCAGCAATTCCCACTCCGGTACCCGTGACGCTCGCTTCCCACTTCCCACTTTCAAACGGGATTCAGTAGAACAGAGGCTATACCTGAATAATAATCCAATCAATCTGGTCTACAGCGTATATCTTCTTATCGCGGGCATCATATCTCACAGGCTGTCCTAAATGGATACGCGGTTTGTATGCTTTGTCACACAGGATCCCATAGCTCACTGGGCTACAACGAGATCCAAAAGGAATGACTCCTCGGTGCAAGTGCTGTATACGGTTCATAACCAATCCTTCGACGACTGCGAGCTGACTACGTGGCAGTGGAAACGTCAGTATCCACAACATATATTATCAGTCAACGTGTGTCCGGCTCTAAGATGGCAACCTAGCAACCAATTCCACATACGGTTCTTCTGCGATAAGGACCTTCATGGCTCCAGAACTGCATGACGCATTTTCGCTTTCATACCTCTCCAAAAGGCGTCGTTTTACATATGGTGAGCTACCAAATCCACCGGAGAGTACAAGATATGACTTCATGCAACGCATGTTAGATAAATGAACCATAGCCAAACTCTTGAGAACGGACGGGATACGAACTATTTTTTCCTCGGGGTGTTTCTTTTGAACCCTGCCAAGTTGATCTTCAATAAGAGCATACATCTCTTCGATTTTTACGTCGAAGAGCTGTTTAATTTCATCACTACCACAATTATTTAGTAAGCGCGTGTTGCTACATCATGGGAGAAGAAGCTCTGGGAAAGGAAGGGCGGGCATTAGAACCTGGTAATCGCAATCTGGCCATTGTATACTTCGGCTTCAGGGAAATTCATTCCAGTTAGGAAAGGAACCTTGAGCCTTAACGATGAAGTTGTCCAGTTCGTATTTGTGCCGAACGAACATTTAAAACGTTCAAAGCCTCCACTCATCATTTCCCATGCAATATCTTTTGGAGAAGCCGGCAAATGGTCGCGAACATTTTCAAGTCTCTGAAAAATCAACTGGTGTGCGGAGAAATCGATGAACACTGAACCAATCGGTTGTCCTAGTTTGCCTGGTCAGCGCTGTTGGCTATCGAACGTATACTTTTCCCTGGTTCATTTTGGTCAAGTATTACTATCTCCCTCACCTTCAACATGACTAAGGGGCTCAAGTTTAGAGGGTTCCCCTTTTGACGACAGTATTTTGAGAACGTTGACATCCTACTTTCATTATTATACGCCCTGTAGTGTTTATATTGGGGGAGGTTATTCACTCACCGTGGTACCTCCTCCTGCATCGCAAACGAGAATCACATCCCCTTTCTGGATAACCAAATGTTTGCTATTAGAAAGCTATCCTGTACATAGCAGAGGAATGCCTCGACGCTGCTTAACTTACTTGATAGTGCTGCTTACATGCATACACCGCCGCAGCCTCCGCCTCTGTGAGCCCAATGGTGGCTTTATGATTCTTGGAATCCAAATAGATATACTGTTGGAGTTCAGCACGCACGCGTGGGTCCCTCCAAGTGGTAGGGATGCTGTAAACGAACTCAACCCGAAGCGAAGGAAAATCCGGTATGGTGCCTGCGAAGTGCGAGATTATATGCTCATTAACACAGCGGGTATAGTCGCGGAACCATTTCAGCGCGTCCTTGCGAGTGGGTGAGCCAGGCTGGGGATCTTTGTAGTCGGGGGAGAGAAAGAGCTTGAAGTATTCTTTGATATCAGCCTCGCTTCCTTCGTTGGAACACTGGAATCCCCAGCTCTTGAGGACGTTCGACTTGTCGTATTCTAGCTGGGTCGGGACTTTATTCGCGAGTTCATGAATCATCTTTCCTGGCCAGTGTTGGAGAGTCTTTGGCGCCGGCCATTCCGGTGCATAGGAATAAGAGACTCCTTTAAAACGGTCAGAAACACCTTTTTTTTGGTTTACATTTGGCTGGAGGAAAAGTCCTACCTGTGCCGGTCAATCCAAAGTCCACACCCACAACCACATCTGGTTGCCACTCATCATCCAACTCCATCGAGCGAGTGTCGTCGGGCATTGATCAAATGTTTTCTCCCTTGCGATACTCTTGTATCCACCGTTATGTCTAAAGGAGGGAAGAACGAGAACTGCTTGTTCTGTTCATTTTTCTACGAGAACCCAGGCTTTTGGTTAAATTCAATTATGAGATGGAGTTTCCTGGCTGAAATGTGCCAGCGCGTGCAGCTTGGTTGCTCGACATGCCACCAAATTAAATTCTATGGAACATATCTGCATCAAATCCCGAGTCTGCCAATCATTTTGCTCCCCTTCAATGGATTCACGGTGATAAGATGCACCTTGCATTGTCCCTGGTGGTCTTCAGCTTTGAACCATGAGTTATTGAAGATCTGCTCCCCCCTAATGTGCCTTGAGATCCTCGCAAAAGGTCTGGGGTGGCTGAAAGTATCACTGCCCCGCAGGATTCAAGTAATCAATCAGGGGAGATGTGTTTGTCTTTCTTGATTCTCCTAAGCCAGGTCAGATATATTATTGTAAATATTGCGTTGAATTGCGATTGGGGAGAATATAAAAATTATTATTAAATACAGTACAACGGGAAATTCGCACACTTGAAAAGGCCGGTTTGGAAAGCCACCTGCTAGAAATATTCTTAACAACAGAACGATGGTGAAAGATCTGACATATAGAATGGTTTTAACACCCACAGTACAAGCCTCTGGTGTAATAAATTAATAGATAAGAAAGAAAAATAAATAAAAAAGTAACACAAAAAAGAGCGATTAAACAATACAAGCGGTTGTCGGTTTCGACCTAGAGCTATTTTTCATACACTTCGGCTTCCATATTCCTCGATCGTAGGAATTGGGCCTGCTGGTACCGGTTTCCGTTTTATTTGCATTGTTGCCTTTCCTATCCTCGTTTCGGTCAGGGCCAGTGGGAAGCGGGAATTCGTCGTAGAATGCGTCGAAAAATAAGAGGGAGAAGAAGTAGAATCCACCGCAGTAAAACCTGTGAGCTCATGGTTAGAAATTGACCATGCGCCCTTAGTCCGTCTCCACGCCAATATCTCATTCAGCTCATCGCTGAGTGATGAACCCCTCTTGACCTTGACCTCACATCCCTCTTTCCTACTGGCAGCGAAAATTGATAGCGAGTCCAGTTCGGCGGGCGACGTAATCGTAGTGATAGACGGAGGTTTGGGGGTGGAAGGTTTGGAAGCTGGCGAAAAAGTAGAGCCACGCATATGAAGATTTCCGAGCACTACCATGAGGCTATTGCGAGAAAGCACCAACTGAGAAGTTTTCTCTTTCGCTCTATGCGAATCTCTCAAGGCCCACCTTAGCCGGTTTCTGAGTCCTATCTTGCCGCCCTGCCCAATTTCGCGCGCGACTCGCCGCGGTTCAAGGAGGACTGCTATCTCGTTGGCTGTGGTGTCGGTTTCGGCGATAGTGGTGTCTATCCATTGTCGCTCATTTGGGTGGAGGAGCGAGTCGACTTGTTGTTTGAGTCGCCTGGCCTCCTGGACCTCGCTGAGCACTTGTTGGACTGTTGAAAAAAGGTCTGTTGGTAGTCGATTGGGCAAAGTCCAGCTAAAGGTTGATTTTGGCTTGTAGTTTGTTGTCGGCGTGAATAAGCTCCTGCTCTCATTCTCCTTTTCTATTATTTGTTTCGTTATCACTCGCCCCGTTTCGCTGGATGGTCGTGGATATGCAGATGGCTTACTGTTCCCTATCCTCACAAAAGGATAAATATACATGATGCGAAATTTGATGCTCACAACAAGAACTCCGTGACTGATTTGCACTTCAGGCCCTTACATCGAAACCCTCCCATGCATGACAGATAACTACTGATGAGGTTGAATGAAGAGGGGACCGTTCACTTCTTCTCTGTGTACGGAGTAATTATGCTGCCATCTGACAGCCTAACAGCAACGCAGTCAAATGCACCATACTTCTGAAAACGGCTTACGCGGTCGGGCACTGGTGAACATCAACTTCAGTTTTTGAAAGCTGCAAGAAAGTGGTACAGCCATTCAGGACACGAGAGAAAGAAGAGAAGCCTGTGGGACAGATGTTCCACCTGTTGCAGTAGTGGAACCAAAACAATCAGCCCACAGACAACACCCGTCTTGATTTTGTACCATGTTTATCATCCCCCTGGGAAGGGGATCTTTGGCAGATCATTAGCTATAGACCAACCAGACAAACATATTCTTCGTCTCGCATTCATGGTCCGTACACCCCAGGTGGAAGTTTGCCATGGACGAATGGTGTTGCCTTGAGGAACATGGTCTGAGATACTCTGTACTCCGTATACAGTACGGAGTTAAGTAAGGTTGGGTTCGGAGTTCGGATGGAGAGCATAGATCACATGACTTAACTAGCCTCCCCATCCATCCGCTTCTTTGTCAATTTGCCTCAGAATTCCAATAACTATAACTATCTCACATACTTCAGACGAACGTTTGCATCCAAAAGCCACAGCACAGCCATCTATCCAGAACTCGAGGAATCATCGCCCTTAAATTGAACGACCTCGCTATCACAGTATTTCACACGATATCGCACATTCCAGACTTCCACCACCAGATTCCGCTGTCAAGCGCCTCTTTAAACCCAACTTATACATCATTTCTCCCCAAAGAACCAGCAGCAACGCCAGTCATCATGGCGGGAATCTCTAGTAGTAGTCAAAATAATAATTCAAATCGTCAGCAGGTGTTCGAATGGAACCCGCAAACCAAAGTTCTTGCCAGCTGCTACTCCGTCAACACTAGGACCACGAGCCTCAGCAGTTTCCATTATTGCACTACGGTTGGCACCGGTGAGTTTCTTCATACTCTTCCATATCCGTTGGATTTTTGCAATAGGTGACCGTCTGTGGCTAACGAATGCTTATCATTCAAACACCTAGGAGCCCAGTGGTATCCCTGAGGTCCCTACTGGGCATAAATTTCCCCCAATAAGTCCTCCCGCAATAGCCTCGGCCACTGCAGCAGCAGCCGTGGCCGATCAATTCCGGTCGTCGCAGAAAGCGCCGGGATGCGATGGGGAGGCAGTGCAAACTATCACGGAAGAGTGTGAGAGGCTCTTCTGCGACACATTGTGGGCAGTGTTCCTTGGTGAGAGGCAACTTGCTCCACAACAGTCGCTGGTGGTAGGTGCGGCTCGCAACAGTAACAATAACAACAAAATCATAAACCTATCGGGCATGCCAACGAAACGGGTGCCTGGCCGAATCCAGAACTGTATTGAAGTGTGGGATTATGCTGGAGACACAATTTACAGGGGGTTTGTTGCTGCTGATGGCAACCAACGGACCTTGTTTGTGTTTTTTGATCGCCATACTTGTGCTGGGCAAGGGTTCAAGTCTGGGTTCGTCCATGTCTCTTCTTTCTCCTATATTTCCTATACCACTTTTCATATCTTTGTCCAATGTCTTTTTGATATTCGTGACTAACCGGCGTCCTCTGGTATTAGGTTGATGGCATTGTTTGAAATTGCCAGCATTTCCGAACTCGGCTGCTCAGAAATGGTTGCATGTGTTGATCGATCGATGGGCGCGACAGAACTTGATGCTGTAATACGAAATCTAGGCTGGGTTGGGTTTGAATTGAGCAGTTTACGTGACTGGGTACCCCCGTCCGCGAAGGGGCCATTTATCAGTAACAGATGGCTGTTTATGACGGTTGAAATTTGATGTCTTATTTCCTTGAACTGTAGCTGTTTTTGGTTTTGGTTTTTTTTTTTTTTTTTTTTTTTTCCCTGCTAAATATCATGCCAGCGTTACACAATGTTAGCCAATGCTATGGGTTAAATTGCTCCTTTTTGCTCCTGTTCGCCTATCCTATCCTTGCTCTAAATCACGTGTCTTAAGCGTGCTGACTCACCCGCGGCTCGTTCCAGCCCAACTGCGGGGATTGAGTTCGCCCTCAGTCCTTATCGGGGAGCTTGATCCTCCATTTATCCATTTATCCATTTATCCAGGTTTGTGTAGTAGTAAGAAACAGCTCTACTCACAATCGTGACCGGTAAAGCCTCCTCGACCTCTGGATGACCACGGGCCGTCTTTCTCTCCTGCGCCATCTCCATGGTCAGGCAGTACATGGATCTACAGAGCTACAGGATCGCTTGAAGAAAACCATCCTCACAGACACATGATGTCATCATCATCCATCTTCCCAACGTACCTCCTCCCCTCCATCCCTTTCGGCAGACGCCTTTGGAAATCAAATGAAACCACCGTATCCACCCCAAAAGGCTCGCTTTCAGAGTCATCAAATCCATCTTCTCAATGCAATGAGCATGAGCCAGAGCATGACGGCGATCATGCCGCCGTCAATAATAATAATAATAATACACCAGGCTTCCTGCAGGGCCATAAATCCTACATCCGCTGCTCCCGCTGCTCAGCAGATCTATGTCTGACATCCCAGATCATCAGCAAGGGGTTTACGGGCCGGCACGGACGGGCCTATCTCGTCTCTGCCAACCCATCGGCAGACGGAATCTCCACAGCCCCCACCCCCTCGCAGCACCGAACCTCGCTCCCCAACACAGCGACGCAGCAACCGATGCCGAGACAGCTCGTCACGGGCGCGCATACGGTTAGTGACATCACCTGCCGTTTCTGCGGGAGTCTGCTGGGCTGGAAGTATGTGACTGCGGAGGAGGAGTCGCAGAAATACAAGGTTGGGAAATTCATTTTGGAGACGAAGAGGATTAGTGTCTGTTCTTCATGGGAGAATAATGATACAACTGGTCGTGGTGATGATGGTAGTAATGTTTGTTATTATCCGCAAAAGTCGCCGTCGGGGGATGGGAATAATGATGTGGAGTTTGATAGCCAGGATGAAGAGGAGTGTGAGGATTTGTTTTCGGGAATGTGGAACCCCTGGTTGGCGGCGCGGAGGAGGAGGGATCGAGATTTGGGCCGGCGTCCGTTTTATTAGGTCAAGGGTGCAAAGGTGATGGATGGGGGAGTTCATGGTTTGCATGTGTCCTTTCAGGTTTGCTGGAACTGTTATCTGCGTCACTTTGGTTTTCCTTCTGTCCTACTGCCATGTTCTGTATCTGTTTCTGTTCTTGTTGGAGTTCCCGGCGCCCCCGAAGCTATCCCCTCTCTTATTCAGCTTCCACAATGCTGGAGTTAACCGAACGATACCCATACTCTTGATTTCTTAACTAACTTAATTAACGGAGTGACTGGCTCGCTGATGATTTTTCTCACAATGTTGTTGTTTCCATTTTTGAATTGAAAAACTTCTCCTATCCGCATGCGCCTTAAGTATCATCAAAAAGAGAATTAATACATACATCTTAATTAATAAAAATACATTGTTTCCTTACGAACAGATAGTATCAATTGCCACATAAATATTTATCGGTCAGAATTTCCGGGTATCGTATAACGGTTTATTCATTTCATCAAGCGTTCGAAATTAAGTCGATAATAATATATCGAGAGACACGTCGAAATTTTGATGGTATAGGGGCCCGCGGCCGTAAATGAAAAGAAACAACAAAACCCATTTACTTCTCCGGACTCTCACCATCTAGCCTAACTCTTTTCCCAGGGCTCGGCTCGTCCGCAGTCTCGGCCTCTGGGTCCAACTGGCGCTTACCGGAGGCCTCTGCCGTATCTGAAGTTTCCGCTGTTGTTGTTGGAGTTCTTTTTTTCTTCCTGACTAATGACGAAAGGTCGGTGGCACCCTTCATGGCCTCCTGCAACATGGAGGTTTTATCAGTAGCTGAAGATTGGCCTAGTACTTGGCTTAAGATTCCATTAAGGGCATTAGAATCTTCGCTAGGTTCATTTATTGACACTGGAGGTCGACGAAGTTCAATAAGCTGCGCAAAAGATGGTCATGTCAGTACGTGCGCTTAGTCCAAAAGATCCCGCAAGGGTGTGATATATATATAACTCACACGTTGCTCCATATCCGAAACGATATCTTTAACATCATCAATGCTCCGTTTCATCTTGTCAGTAGTATCGTCGTCCGTCACGTCTTCAAGTTTCTGTCGCTCCTTTGATATTCTTAATTTGCAACTCTGAATCGCGGTCTCCATATGTTTCGCTGCTTCGTCCCTCTTTTCCTTGTCAACTTTTGTGACCTTCTCCCCGGTAGTATTTTGGCCATCCTCCTCGTCAGGAGCGATTGACGAGAACTCCAAAGCCAGGGAGAGTTTGTAATGACACTCGGCAACGCTAGCGTCCTCCAATGGGAAAAGTTTCGTTTTCAAATCCAAAGCAGCTCTTAAATCGGTAACAGCGTCTTCAAACCTCTCACCCTCCAAACATATTTCAGCCTGCAAATCATATATATCCGCAAGTCGCTCCTTGATATTGCGCTCCTCTTCCTGATTATCTGAGTCCAGATTTTCCAGTTTCCGGAGCAGAAGTATGCGCGACAGGTCTAACAATTCGAACGCATTCGCAAATTCATCCTCCTCTTCCTCCGGTTGAGCTCTGTCGCCAGCATCATCGTCGTTCTCATCATCTGAATCCGAATCAAAGTCTCCATCCCCTGTAAACTGAAACAATGACGATGATGGCGGTTTGGCACCTTCAGTTATTCTTTCTGCAGCTTTCTCATTGGCTGTAGAACCCTCCGCAATCGCACGGCCGATGATTGACTCGTTAGGCGGCCCAATCCCAGTTTTCGGTACAGTATCCCCAGGCGTCCCGTCCCTAGGCGTACTGGATGCTTGTCCGGCGACTTTTGAACCAAGGACGTCACTTTTTCTCACGGCAAGATTGTATAATGATTTCCCGTAGGAGTATAGCAAGTCGGCGTTCTCGACAGACATTTCGCCATTCAGCTCCGCTTGGAGCTCCGTCGCCCGGGAGTAAAGCTCTGCTGCCGCATCGTAGTCTTTAATGGCGTCTTTAGCAGAAGCCCTTTCAATAAGATCTGTCAACTGGGCCTGTTTCGATTCGGGAGGTTGATTTGAAGTTGATGGTTTGTCTATGAGGGAGGCCTGGTGCGAGGTAGCTTCTGTCATGATGGATGGGTCAGTGGGAGATTGGATATTCGGGGTGCAGGCTTTCAGCTGAGTGATCACAAGTAGATGGTTAAATTGTAGTGTAATTAGTTTCTAGGATGGATAAGTTATTTAAAAAATCAATGAATCTTATGCGCGACCTAAGTTGGTCATTTCATTTTCAACTTTAATGACTTTTGACATCACGTGCCAAAAACCGCGCTGTAACACGTCCTAGGCGCGTCTTCCCTCCGCGGGGAGGATTTAGACAGCACAACGGAATTCAACAATATACGAAAGATTGCCGCATTATCTCAGTTCAAACTCAATATTCTCATGTGAAACGGCCACTAGATGATTAGTATCGAATGCAGAATGCGATGATAGCAGGAAATTGCAAATAAATCGTCTTCGGCAGAACGCTCCAGCGGGATGTCGGAACCAGCCCCTACCACCGCCTCTATTCTCCCCATCCTGTTACCTCCACCCACGCTACGTCCTCTTGCTTTCAGAATATTTACGAAAAAGCATAGCTTGACTATTACAGCATCGAGCTTACAGTTGCTGGCTACGTTTGTAGGGAGGAACTGCGGTTCAGGATGGCGGGAAGAAGGCCTCGCCGAGCTCGTCCTCGACGAAATCGCGAAAGGATGGAAGAAGCGTGGAGGCGGAGTAATCCTCGAAGATAGCAAAAGTGGCAATGCCTTGTTGAAATCGATATTACGGACTATGGAAGCCAATATGAGCGGTGGGAGGGTTATTATTCGCGATCACACCAGGAGTACAAGCGGTTCAACATTAACATTAGGCCATGAAACGGCGGACGGTGAGCCAGGTAGACCTAGCAATGCAAATGAAAGGGGGCAAAATCCCAACGAAGAATCGTTGGAAATAGGAGATGATGGCGCCCTGAGTGATACTAGAAGGTGGATTAAGATTCTCAGCGCATTCGAACAAAATCGCCCGGTCTATAATATAAGCAAGAAGAATTTCGATATAATAACTACACCTCCATCCTTATTCCCGCCACCCTCTCAGAGAGCCAACATCTTGAGAGATCGATATAACCTCATTTATCAGAGACTACTACGCAATGAAACCTTTCAAATACCACTCCAGGGATCTACCTCATCAGTATCCAGCATGCAACGATCCTATAAACTGACATCGATCGCTAATCTTCTGGGGAGGACTGGCACATCGCATCTGCTTCTCGGTCTGCTCTCTATGTCTCCGGCTGGAGATCTCTCCTTAACAGACCCAACCGGAAGCATCACCCTTGATATCACACATGCCCAGGCAGTGCCAGAAGACGGGGCATGGTTCGCACCAGGAATGATAGTCCTTGTCGACGGGATTTACAGAGAGGAGGAAGTTATCTCTGGATCTACACTGAACGGATCAAGTGGGATTGGCGGCACAATTGGGGGAAAGTTTACTGTAGCCTCTGTTGGTGGACCTCCGTGTGAGCGGCGAGAGGCTTCAACTGGCGCAGGGCATCGCGTCGAGGATGGTGGCAGGGCCGTCGAAGGTGGATTTGGTTGGGTTGACTTCTTAGGTGTCGGGAGTGAACGAAGCAAAGGTTATCGGATGCGACAAATTGAAAAAATCTGTCTTCGCAAGGGTCAGCCCAACGAGCAGCAGGATATAAGGAAGCGGATAGTTGTTATGAGTGAAGTCAATTTGGACGTCCCAAAAACAGAGGGCGCACTCACACATGTCTTCGAAAGTTACGCTTCACTTCCGGAAGAGCAGATGCCCCTAGTCTTTATTTTGATCGGCAACTTCGTCCAGCATGCCATCATTTCTGGTGGAGGGAGTGCAGGTAGTATCGAGTGCAAGGAATATTTCGACATTCTTGCTTCCATCCTCTCAAACTATCCGCGGCTCTTACAAAACGCGACGTTCGTATTTGTTCCGGGAGACAATGACCCTTGGGCATCTGCCTACTCTGCCGGCTCATCCACGACCGCGCCGCGAGATGCAATCCCTGATCTGTTCACATCCAGAGTCAAACGTGCCTTCACAAATGCCAATAGCGAGGTACCTGCACGTACAAAATCTACTCCAGGGCAGGCCATCTGGTCATCCAATCCCGCGCGTCTCAGCCTTTTTGGACCCGTACATGAGCTTGTCGTGTTCAGGGATGACATCTCTGAGCGCCTAAGGCGTACCTCGATCGTTTTCAAACCGCAAAAGGTGCAAGACGATTTACACCCCACGGATAATGATATGGAAGTAGAGAAATTAGATACTGAAGAACCTCACACAGAAGAACAAGACGGTGAAAAAGAAAGAGAAGAACTGCAGCAACAGCAGCAACAACAGCAGCAAATAGAAGAAATTCCCCCACAAAACCCAACCACAACAACCCAAGAAAATCTCCACGCGTCTCGAAAACTGGTCAAAACAATCCTCGACCAAAGCCACCTCTCCCCCTTCCCCCAACACATCCGGCCAATTCTATGGGACTACGCGCCTGTCTTACACCTCTACCCATTACCAACCGCCATGATCCTAGCGGACTCCAGCGCAGATCCCTTTGCGGTCACCTATGAAGGATGCCATGTTATGAATCCGGGTAGACTTATACCAGAAGGGAGCAGGAGCCTAGTGAGATGGATTGAGTATGATGTGGCGAAGCGGAAGGGGAGCGTGAAAGAGGAGCGGTTCTGAGAGGTCCTTTGCGTGCTATGTAGTTGTTTCTTACTTTTTTAATGAGTCTCTGTCGGATCTGTTCTGGAATTGGGTGCATTTATTAGGTTCTTATATTCAGCATGCGCAAGCGTTTACGAAGCTTTTGCATAGAATAACTACATAGATAATCTCATGTCTTCTTTTTGCTGCCTTGTACAGTACATGTACACCCTTGCATCTACCCGGTAATGTCCATTGTTATTTGTTTTGTTGGAGGTTTACAGGGATAGTTTAAGCTTTCTATTTTGAAACACCGCCATAGAAATAATATAAACGTATGTCACCCAGTTGGTCATATGCGTTGTACCATATTGCCTGAGGATGCAACGATTCAAAAAAAGTCCGCAATATGCCATTATCCATTATTGCTCTTTCAACCTAGGAAGGGAGTGCAGTGAGAGCAATATTCTATCTGAGCATAGTGCATAGGCAGTTAGGTTAGTTACAAGGACTCCCTGGAGACCCAAAAAATGGAGCTTGAAAAATAGATAAAATGAAAAATAAATTAGGTTAGATATCACTTAAAAAAGATCTTGGAGACATGATTTCTAATTCCTGGCGGTATAGCTCCATAGATTTCTCCCTGAAAATCCACGCAATTCGTTTCCATTGGCTAGTCGATCATGATAACATCTACGTCCCTGCTACCGCCACTGCCACTGCCACTGCCGTTGCCGTTGCCGTTTCCATTATTACCATTGGCCATAGCTCCGGTTGCATGAGTACTCTTATTACTCTGCGGAATCTTCGTATTCTGCTTCACTGCCTTCGTATCGCTCTGTGTCTGTGTTCCCATGGCCATTCCGTTACTGGCTGGTTTTGGGGTGTTGGTCCCTCCCAAACCTCCCGGTCTTCCCTGCATATCAACGCCCATACCTGCCTGGCCGGGAATTAGCCTTGATTTACTATCCGCGGCTCCTCTACCAGAGAGTTGAGGCTGAGGTGCTTTCCGGACCTCGGGTCCCAAGCCGCTGCCGCCACTGCTACCACTTCTTCCATCAGGGGCAGGGCCAGGACCGCCACCTGAAGCCCCATTCCTACTTCCCAGAGTATTCGAGCCCGAGGCACCCCCAGCTTCTGAAGAGATATACTCTGCCATGACCCTATGCAGCGTGGAGAGGAGATTTCCAATCTTCTCATATTCAGCGATGGCGCCATTACCCAAACCCTGCCACCCATCTCCACGAGCACCATATATGTGCTCCTTCAATTTATTTTCCAGGGGCTGTCGACCGGCCTTTTCGGGCGCGATGGTCATTTCCCTTAGGATCCACACGACTCGATCTCTTCGAAGGCCCGCATGGACGCAGAAGCGGTAGCGGATGGAAGCGTAGCGAATGTAGAAAATCTTTGAGCTTCGTGCGGTGATTTGAAGTCCTGAGTTTGCGGGGTGACCGACATGTGATTCAGTAGTCATGCGATCCAGAGCTTTGAGTACCGGTAACGTGACAACGAGTAACTGTAGGACGGCTTCCAACCCGGTTCCGGATCCGGCCGCGGGTCGCAGTCCGTTAAGTGTAGCGGTCAATGATTCTTTGATGCGGCGGTGAGGGTTCTGTGGGTGGAAATCAATACTCATGCGCAAGAGCATGAGGGGGGTTTGTTTCGATAGTAGTGTGATGGAATTGATATCGGAGGCTAAGGTTTGTTCATGATAGTTAAAATTGATACTGGCCCGTGCATCTTCATCTGCAGCATATGCGAACTTTATTTTGGAAAGATTAACGGATAGCGGTTTCAGGGACTTTTGTTTTAAGGTTTCGAGGGTAGAAATTACACGCTCCAGTTGTTGAAGGCGAGCAAGGAGTTGGATAATCATTGGTTGGCCGACGGGGGTAAGAAAGCGCATGGCGAAACCACAACCGTTAGGCTGGAAGGTTACGGTGGGGTCTAAATGCGAGGCTGGGAGAGCTAGGTCTTTTATTTCACTTGAAAGAGTCCCGTGCGCTAGCAGTATGGCGTATTGTGTGGATAGATCGATACCCTGGAATGAGAGACGAACTGTGTCTTTGATCGCGGGATTCTTATTGGTGATAATGGGGGGAGATATTTGCAGACCAGAGGGAAGGGAGCGGCTCCGGAAACGTATAAAAACGCTTGGTACCTGGAGATGAGGACCAAGAGAGAGGTTCCGTATAGGGGGGAAGTGGTGAATTCCATGAAGTTCTGAAAGATAGCGAGCATTGGCATGAATAGCAAGCATCCCTGAGAGGGCATGATCTAGTTTGCCGAAGGAGCCATAGTTTAACCGCTCAGGCAAGCCGCCAAATCTACCAGTAACCATATGAGCGGATTGCGGAGAGACGGGGCCTTCATCACTGGATGGCGCACGCAATTCGACCACCCACCAATTATCTCCATCCATGCTACAGGTATACGCGACACCCCAATTGCATTCCCAGGATTTGCGGAAGAACAGGACTGACCGAAGAATATTCGGGGGGAAAATGCGACGAAGATCTTCGTTTTTGATATCACGCGAGTTCACTATCTCCCAACCAAGAGCATCTGCAAGTGACTCAACCTCCTCTATAACAGCAGCCGACCGAAGGCGAGAGATACGGAGGAGTATATCGTCGACTATTGGCCTCTCGAAGCTTCGATCAATATCATGGCGGTTCAGTAGCAGAGGGGTGGGGCGGAAGATTATGGCGCCAGAAACCGGTTCAATCATCACTCTAAGATTTCTTCCCTTTGTAAGTTGAACATCGAAGAGGCAGTCGCCTGGTTCACTAATAGACATTTGTAGGCTAGCCGAAAGTGCTCCACTGGCATATAGCCGTCCTTGCAATAGTCTTGTGTATGTCGATTCAAGCAAGAAGGATGTATGTAAGGCAATAACGCTGCGCAGGACAGCTTCTATGGAAAGAAGCTCCATGTCGAATTTGATATATTTAGACTCCACTTCCTTGTTATCCCTCATCCACCTTAAGCCAAGAAATGGGGTTTCGGTAATCGATCCATCCTGTGTTTGATCCTTGCGACGGCCGCTTTTTATACCAATTTCAACCCAGCTCTTTGGTCCAGGCCTATTGGCCCAGTACTGCACGACAAGCGTGCGGTGCAATACTTCCACCCGTAGAGTGTCAAGCCAGTGGCCTCGAGCCAGCTCGATGGCCTGATGAAACAGTATGGTAATCTTGTTCGACAAGACTAAATTATGCAATAAGTTATAGCAGCCAGGAAGGCCAGAGTGCATGAGCATGGCGTTTACTCTATTATCCAGCTCGTCTAAAAGCCTTCCTGTTGGTTTAGGCGGTGAAGGAGAAAATAAAAATCGAATATCGACGAAGAAAAATTGCGAGGAATGATTCTCTTGCGCAATAGAAAGGTCGACCTCAAATTCCATCGGAACCTTAAAAGTGACCCTTCCATCATTGATCAAATACTTTGTGAATGCGCTGGGTATCTGGTCGTGTAGTACTAGCCTTGTCCGAATCGTCTTGTTGATTTTTTTCAATGTTTTAAGCATATTTTTCTGCGTTAAAGGTTTTGGAGGAACAAACGAGCTCTGAAGACCAAGAAAATTAGATTCATTGATCGAGGTCCAAAAAAAAAAAAAAAAAAAGAAAAAAAAGAGAGAAAGAGAGAAGAAGGAAAGAAAAGAAAAGAAGGAAGAAAATATAGCAGGGAAACAAGGACACAATTACCTCTTGCATAGCTGCCACTCTCCCAGTCGATAAAACCTCCAAGGCCATCGCAAGATCAGGGTTGGCTGTCTGCGCCCTGATCAAATCTCTCTTCATTTCGCCAATGGACAATATAGCGCCATTGTAGCAATCATACCGCATTCGAATGAAAGCCTGAATGTCTATGAGCCTGCTAACATCTGCTGCTCGTCGACTCCACTGGGAAAGGACGAGGATCTTAATAAAATCAGCCCGCTTCGCCTGGGCAAATTCCAGAATGCGCAGTTTCCTTTGCGCATTTTCCGTCGCAGATTGGCTAGGTGTATATTTGCCATTGGTCGTGGATATAGGGGGAGCGGCAACGTGAGTAGCAGTTGATTGCGGGTCCGCTAGCTCCGTTATTAAATCTGTCAAGTCATTCCAGCATTGTTGAGCAGCCCTGTTGATGAGATGGCCCAAGGAGAAAAATCCCTGGCTGATATGCACCAGTTCTGGCGGCAAAGAGTCGTCAAATGATGGGTTTGAGAGCCGGGTCGCATCTTCCGTATGAGAAGGTCCATTTGAATAGTCTCCGTTATTGTGCGGTGCGAGGGATGTGGTGGTTGAGAGTGTGCCGTCAACAAGTTGCTGGTGGTCTGCTTCCCGCCTCGGTCCATTCGCGCTGGTACCATCCATGATGATTCCCGGCATCTCTGGCCGGGCGACGACAAATCGGCGCGCCCCAGCGGCGGCCCGTCGTCTTCAAGGCCCGTATGTATGTATGCGCAAAGAGTAACACACTAGCTTGGGGAATAATAATGCGTGACGAAAGGGGAAATATCCGGAGAGGACCCTGGGAGGGCCTGGTCTAACGGGGGATCTTAGGTTCAGAATAAGTCCTAGCCAAAAGGCGGACTATGCGATCGAGGAGATACGGGAAAAAAGACACGTACAAGAGTTGGGGGCCGTCGAGCGGCGATGGAGAGCTGGTGGTTGGAGCAAAAGATCGCGAGCGAAGGATTGACGGTACAGCGATTCAAGGTTGTGATAGCTCCCCGGAGCCGCAGAACCCAACTTGGTAACTATTACTTAAGCAAGCACATGACCAAAACGCCTGAAGCTTGGGCCGAGCCATGCCAAGAAATTAGCGTGTCCAAGCGCTGCCAATCCCGTATTCGGACTGGAAAGAACAAACTGGCCTCATCTCGAGGGTAGGCTATATAGACACGGCAGCCAGCTCGAACGACGACCTCTCAAGCTTCATCCTCGGACTCTCTTCATCACCCGTCCGCTCCAGCCCACCAACACACCGAGTGTTTTGAGGGTTGCGTCCACGTCTGCCCTTTGTTACGGCCAGTGAATTGGCTAAGCTGTTGTAATTTAATCAGACCGAAGTCTCCTATCTCGTCCGCTGAATACCCCTTTGTTTTCCTGCTCGCTCTCCTATCACCATGCGGCAGTTTAGAGATTTTGCCTTTGGCCTTGCGGCTCTAGGTCTTACAGCTCTAGCTTCCGCTTCTGAGGCGGAGTCGGATGTACATGCCCTCACGAAAGACAACTTCGACGATTTCATTAACAGCAACGACCTAGTTTTGGCGGAGTTCTATGCACCATGGTGCGGTCATTGCAAAGCTCTTGCCCCTGAATATGAAACTGCTGCTACCGAGCTCAAAGCGAAGAATATTCCTCTCGCCAAGATTGACTGCTCAGTGGAGAGTGAACTGTGCCAGGAGCATGAAGTGGAAGGTTACCCCACACTCAAGGTCTTCCGTGGGCGTGAACAAGTGAAGCAATATAGTGGCCCTCGCAAGAGTGGAGCGTATGTTGTGACTCGACCCTGCCAAACACCTGCGCGGCCTTCCAACTAACTCAGATATCTTCCCGTAGTATTACATCTTTCATGACCAAACAGTCTCTTCCAGCAGTCAGCAAAGTAACCGCGGATAATATCGAAGATGTGAAAACACTGGATAAAGTCGTCGTTATTGGATACTTTATGGAGGATGACAAAGAATCGAACGAGGCCTTCGCCGCCGTGGCTGAGGATCTACGCGACGATTTCCTCTTCGCCGTAACGAATGATGCCAAATTGGCCGCCGCTGAAGATGTTGAGCAACCCTCCGTTATTCTGTTCAAGGACTTCGATGAGCGCAAAGAGATCTTCAAAGGAGAACTTTTCCAAGAGGACATCAGCAACTTCGTAAAGCTTTCCAGCACCCCTCTCGTTGGCGAAATCGGTCCAGAAACTTATGCTGGCTACATGGCAGTAAGCTTTTTCAAGAATTCCTGCCCATTCAACCTGAGGTATAATTTAATGCGAGAACAAACACTGATGTTGACAATAATAGTCTGGCCTTCCACTTGCCTACATATTTGCCGAAACTCCTGAAGAGCGTGAAGAGTTCATAACCGTCCTGAAGCCCATCGCCAAAAAGCATAAGGGTTCCATCAACATTGGGACCATCGACACCGTAGCTTACGGAGCTCACGCTGGCAACCTGAACCTTGATCCCGATAAGTTCCCAGCCTTCGCAATCCAAGACACTGCCAACAACAAAAAGTACCCCTTGGATCAAACTCTGAAGATCACCGGGGATGTCATCGCCAAGTTCATTGAAGATGTCCTTGATGGTAAGGTGGAGCCTAGCATCAAGTCTGAGCCTATCCCTGAGAGCCAGGAAGGCCCTGTCACCGTTGTCGTCGCCCACACCTACCAGGAACTTGTCATTGACAATGACAAGGATGTTCTTCTCGAGTTCTACGCCCCATGGTGTGGACACTGCAAAGCGTGAGTTCTCTCTCGCCCCCTACCATCCTTTGATCATATTTTGCTAGTATTATACTAACAACTTATTCCACGTAGTCTCGCACCCAAATATGATCAACTTGGCCAACTCTACGCTGAGAACCCAGAGTTCGCCTCAAAGGTCACCATCGCCAAGGTCGACGCCACCGCCAATGATGTACCAGACGAGATCCAGGGCTTCCCAACCATCAAGCTCTTCCCAGCTGGCTCCAAGGATTCTCCTGTCGACTACACTGGCCCCCGCACTGTCAAGGACCTGGCCGACTTTGTCCGGAGCAAGGGCAAGCATGGCGTTGACGCGTATGATCCGGCGAAGGTACCTGCGGATGGCGGTGATGTCACCGAGAAGCCCGCTGCGGAAAGCCCAGCGTCGACAAAGGCTGCTGAGAAGGAAACTAAGGCTGACGACTCCGAAGAACCGGAGGAGACTGCTGAACCCACCCGGCATGAGGAGTTGTGATTACTGTCACAGCGCTTTGTGCAATATCAAATCAAATATGCCATATATTGAAAAGAATGGGATTCTTGGGTGCTTTCCTTGTTTTGTGCGATTAGTTTAATTGAATCGAATGGCTGTTTTTTGCTGCCATTTGTCTTTTAGAGCATCTGGAATTTTTATAATGTATTTTGTCTCTGCATGTGTGTTGTCCTTGCTGTTCTATTTTATTTTACATTATATAACCCTCGTGCATGCCGCATGTTGTTAGGCGAGGCCTGCATCTTGTGCCTGAGCTTGTACTATTTGACCAACAAAAATAAGATATGTCGGATTCCCCTCTCTACGGGCCGACCGCTTCCGCCTAAGCGAGGTGTACGCCGATCGCTTGGCAAACGCCTACACACATAAGACCGCACAATAGATAGATCTCGATAATATAACCAACTACTCTATTATATCACCTCCATCAGGTTATGTCCCTTTTGCGCATAAGAATCCACTCTAATTTGATATATTCTTACACTTCATGCTCTTAAATTAAAGACCTAATTAAATTCTGAAACGCTGCATTAGTGGTTCTGCAGCCGCTCACCACAGATTGAAAAGAATTGTTGATTTCAAAATCAACCAACCTGCTACAGACTTTCACAACAAGTCTGCAAGCAACCCCTGCGTTCCCACATGGATAGAAGATATCCAACACGGTCAACGCGTACACACAATACCCCTGAACAAGAGCCGCTTGAGCCGCAATCACCACCTCAAACAGCTCAGAAAGTTCGAACCGAAATGAATACAGGACATGGCACAAGTTCAAGGGGGGGAGAAGATCTCCCCTCAACAGGACACTCTACGCCCACCCAAGATAGCCCCGCCGATGAGGTCGCCGAAATGTTGGCTTGCTTCACTCATCTACAAGAGGCAGGGTTCCCAGAAGCGGATGCAGCAAAAATCGCCCGCGAACAATGGTTACAGAAGCAGGGAATAAATCCCAACCCCACCACGGCCGCGAACCCAGTCACCGGGACAGGTAAGTTCCGCGAATTCAAGGACGATTACAGCCATGTTGAAATGAAGATTACCACAAAGCTCTCAGGGCCGAAAGACTACGACATCTGGCGCCGTGAAATCGAATCAAAAGCGGTTTTGATTGATGCGTCCCACATCCTTATATCTTCCATCTCATTGAGACTTGTAAATCTATATACAGTCTTTACGCAGCATGTATGTGTATGTGTATGAGCTTGGTGTTGTAAATGCTGTAACCCATCTGATCTGAATGGGTTGGCCTCTTTTTCAACCAGGCTTCTTTCTCCCTTTTGCCTTGCTCCGTCTTTCTCACAGTTAGTTCCAATTTCTGAACGTCTCATACGTCTGCCACCATCTAACAAAACCTCTCGGAAACATATATCTATCTCAAAAGGAGTTTGAGATACTCTACGTTATGTCTCCAGGCACGGCAGAAATCTCACCCCGCAACTTGTTTTTCACCGCATATGTAGGCTAATTGGTTAAAAAATTATTTGGAATAACCCGAATCCCTTCCAAATATTTCCAAAGGAGATTTCAACGACAAAAAATAAACAGGTAAAGCGGGGAAATATTGGGAGGGAATAATGGACGACAGAAAGAAGGAGAGGGAAGGAAAAAATATGAGTAAATTCCAAGCCATTTGACAACGCCTTTGCTATCCGGATCCCATCCAAACGATAACGAAACAATCAACCAGTTCTTTAAAAGTTATTTAGTCCCAGAAGTTGACGGGTACCAATGTATTCCGCCTCCATGTTAAACAAGAGTAAATACGCGCCGCACACGCACATGCCGTACCTATATACAGTGACCTTCCTCAATCAGTTAGGAAGGTCATACTCCGCCTCTGCTAGCGCGGCTAATGCGTCAGCGTCCTCTTCTTCGTCTTCCGACAATAGTGATGAGCTATGTGTACCGTTCCCACTCGCTTCTGTAGCTTTCGTTACGACTTTTTGCGTCTTGACGGTAGTAGATACGGCGGTAGAGTTGATTTCAACTGTAGTTTCTATTGCTGCTGATGTAGTTGTCGTAGTAGGTTTTGATGCTGGCGGTGATGATGGTTTCTCCTCAACGAGAGACCAGTCAATAACCCCGTCTTTGCCATAGCGTTCGAGGAGCCATTCATTGGTCTTCTTGAAGTGGCCGCATTTAAGCTATAAACAAGACAAATTCAGAGTCCCATTAGCTATGTTCTGAACAGGGAATTGTTCGTAGTAGAAACTTACAAATCCGCCATGAGCACTCAACGGACTGGGGTGCACAGACTGCAGCACACAATGTCTCTTCTCTTTGTCCCGAAGAATATGTGCTACCCGCTTCCCTGCCGGTTTCCCCCAGGCTAAGAACACAACGCCACGCGTCCGCGTCTTCGCCACGACATCGATGACCTTCTGCGTAAACCTCTCCCAACCCTGGTTTGCGTGACTATTGGCATTATGTGCGCGGACGGTTAGGCATGTGTTTAACATGAGGACACCGCGGTTCGCCCAGGGGACAAGGTGGCCTCCGTTGTTGGGCGGCTTGGTGAAGGAGGGGTAGTCGTTCTTCAGGGCTATGTAGATGTTTTTCAAGGAGGGGGGCGCGGGCATAGGAGGCCGGACGGAGAAGCAGAGGCCGTGCGCTTGGTTGTGGTTGTGATATGGGTCCTGGCCGAGGATGACAGCTCGGACTGTGTGGAGGGGAGTGTACCGGGACCTAATAGGGCAAGGGCACGAACGGGTTAGGCTCCGAAATTTCTTCAAGTGAAAAGGATTGTGATATTAGTTTTCTTTCTCTTTTGTATTTACCATGAATACACCTCTTCAAGGGGTGGGAATATCTTCGCTCCCCCTGCAATCTCCCGTTTCAAGAACCTTTTCAGATTCAGGAATTCGGTAGTGACCACCTCCTCTTTCAAATGTGCCAGCCAGCTCTCATCCAATGTGTCGATTTCCAGTTTGAGCAGCTCCTTTTGCTCAGCTGTTAGGCCAGCAACCCATTTCTCCTTGTTAAAATTTACTGTTGGGACAGGAGCGAAGGATAACTTCGTTGTCCCTAGCGCAGAGGAATTCTTGACTTTTGGAGCACCAAAGAACGACGTGATGCTCCCATTCGGTTTGGGTTTCTTTGAATCCGCACCAGCACCCGTTCCGGCGCTGTCTCCGAAGTGGTTGGCGTCCCGTTTACGAGAAGCAGTAGACATGGCAGCGAAACCAACAGGTGTTGTTGACCGCAAAAAATTAGAATGACAGGTATAACGAATGGAGCTCTTGAGGGTGGGAGTCAGGAAGCTTCGAAGCATGCAGATATGGACAACTATTTTCCCTTTTATGTCCTCTTCAGAAAAGGAGGCCCGGCGCAAATCCCTTTTGTTCCGCTCAGGGCAAGGAGGCCCGGTGGCTGAAGGACTATTAGTTAGGCAAAGCGAAGGCGGTTGGACAAACGCGTGGGTGAAGTCGTGTCGGGAGCTTAGTAAGGCGCCACGGTCATGTGAGTTCGCGTTGCACTTTAGGGGCAGGAGAAATAGGGGATAGATGCAGAGCTGGATGATGCTGTACTCTGTACTCCGTACGGAGTATAGATGTAAATTATTACTGCAGACCATATTAGCGGGGAAAGAGTTGATGTCTAACAACAATTGATTCCTTTTTAATCCTGTAAAATCCGTTTTCGTTCCAAATATAACTACACTACTTTGAATCTCCGCAAAATATAGATGGCAACAGCAATTGAAATATTTTTAATAAGAGGCCAACCGCAAACAAACCAGTACAAATGAGAGCGAGCCGGGCCACCTGGATATAACACCGAAAACTCATTACAAGACAATGAAAGGAAAAACGAGAGGGAAAATAGGGCAATCTCATTATTTGCATCTCTTTTCCACGATATTCGGCCCATGCTCATCAAACTCCTTCTTAGATATCCACATCTGGTGAAATGTCCCCAGACTTGCAACAATACTTCCCCCAATCCACGACCCAAATTTCCGCTCTGCCGTATTGCCAGGCGCAGTTATGCGCACCCGGGGACTTGGGAACATGTTCATAAGCTCAAAATTCAGTCGATCGTTAAATCCGTATAGCAGACTCGTCGCTCCGGTCACCACTACGTTCGCAAGCAAGTGCGGCCGGATATCGACATCGACTTGGTTCAGAGAGTTGCGGATTAGCTCCGGTATTGTTTGCGCAGCGGTCGGGGCGGGGAACTCTGATTCTGGATCGGGAATTGCAGCTTGGGCGTCAAATAGCGATTCTACCACGCGGTATCGCTCGGCGCCGAATACTTGATTATAGCCATCTGGAAATTCGAAGGGTCGGCCTGGGTTGCCCCTCGCAATCTCCTCATTGGAGACGCCATTGGGTCCCGTGCTGGATAGCGAATGCGGACCTGGCCAGACTTGCACCACGCACTCTTTGAACTCAGATATGGTTCGGTCCTCCAGGAGCCGACGGAAGGAGGGGTCAGGAGCACGGTCGGCGGGAATAGTTTTATAAGTTGCTTGCGCCGGCTGGCCAGCGTCAATAGCCGTCTTGGAAGACACGAGGTAGTGTGGCGTGATAGTTATAGGTTGTGGTGTGTTCGTTTTGAAAAGTGCACGGATTTGCGAATTGATGAACTCGCCGCCTAGAGGGGAGTGCTGGACGCCTCGTTTTAGAACTAGCCCGTCGTGGACAGGGGTTATGGAGACGCCTGATGCGCCAACATCCACGACCAAAGCTGATGCTTTGCCTGCGGCGAATCTAGAGGACATACAGTTTAGTGTCGTTCACCTTGGGTAGGGGAGGGGTAGAGGGAGAGGGGGGAGAACGCACGCAGCCAATGGTCCATTCCGAGCTAGATAGAATGCCGGACTCCCCCATTTCTCCATTGCTATTTCAATAGTCTTTTCCCGCGCCTTGACAGGATTCCAACCGCACTCCGTCATAAGCAGCGGGCTATCGGTCAACGGTTTCTCTTCCGCCTCCACCACATCCATCTCCGCTGGCAGGTCGGCATTGGCAGTATCATTTAATCCGTTATATAGTGGGTTCCCGGACTTGGTTCCCGTTAATCGCGATGTGAATGAATATTCCCATACTTTCTCTGCCATGTCCCAATCCTCCACTATCCCCTCCTTCCCCATCGGATTGCGGATGGCGAGCCCCGGCCGTGGCGTAACGTAGATGCTGTCGCCATAGATGTATTTGTCCTGGGCATCGGTAGAATACTTGCCGTAACAGGTTGGGATGACAGATTTTGGCGTGTCTTCACCCGCGAAGCCTGCGCGTACTGTTGAATAGCCAGGGTCGAGGATAATCGCGGACACTTCGTCTGCGGGATTGGAGTTAGTATGTGGGATACGCGCGCTGTTGGGAGTCGCAGAGATGTCAAAAACATACCACCACCGTATTCAGCGGTTGCTGGAGGTGCTAGAGAGCTCATTTTTACCCTCTTCTTGTCTTCTTGTACGGTGTTTGAATTATGGGCGGCCTTTGAAAATCTCCAATGGAGGGCGGAAGTGGGCAAGAGTATAGTGCAGAGCTAGCACTCTCACCATAGAAAAGCCTTGAACGGCAGTCGCATGCAAATGGGCAATTGAAAAATGGGGTTGAATATGTGATGAGTAATTTGACGGGGTCGTTGCGTTGCTTTAATAGTTGCAAGAAGTGGTGAAGCGGTTGGGCAGCCGCGGGGAGCAGACGAGGTCTGTTCTCTTGATGATCGCCAACCGCCTAAACATCGAAGCTTGATCTCGCCTCTGTGAAACTTCAACAGCAACCAACTCCAACCCCAACAATACACACAAGCCCCATTTAATAAAAGTCCCAACAACAATTCTTGCGGAAATTAACAGTTATGTCGACCATGGAGACTGAAGAGCCGCTATTTAGGCCAGTCAAGAGAAGAAAGTTCCTACGAAAACGCCCGGAAACTTCTCCAGATGAATCGCAGCCACCGCAACCCTCTCCAGACCCCGAAGCCGCTACTTGCAGATCCCCGGCAGGACAAGATGGAGAAGCCTCAGAAGCACATATGAACGAACCTGAAGAAATAGGCACTGGTATTACAGACATATTCCGCCTTCGAAAGGCGCTGAAGACCCGAAGGGGTGGCGTCGAGTTTACTGCTTCGCCAAAGCCAGCTATTGATCAGCATGGCGAGTCTCAACTAGAGGTCGACTCTACGGCCCAGGATCCTGAAGATATGGTAATACGAGGCATTTCAGATCGCTTTGTTGCTCATACAGGACAGAGAGTGGATGTGGATAAACATATGTACGTTTTCCCCGATATCTCATATTTCTTTCCTCTTCTTCATATGTATGTTTCATATATGTGAAGGACACTATTCTCGCTTTGGATGAACAGAGTGAACGACTAACGTGATAAGGATGGCGTACATAGAGTCAGAGATGGCTAAACGTCATCAACAACACAAGAACAATAATGCTGCAGATAATAATGACCAACAAGTGTCAGAGGCCACTGTACAGAGCCTTAACTCGGACCTCGTGCTCCCCCAGCGCCAGCCAGCATCGCTAGGCAAGCTGCATGAAATCGACCTGGGACCGGACGCAAAGCTCCGTAACATCGAGCGGACTGAAGCAGCTACTAGAAGGCTCGCCGGCGATCAGGTGCCGGATGAGAACGAGGATAAGGACGCCACTTCGAAGAAAGCACGGCCAGGCGCGAAGGATGGCAAAAACTGGCGTGGCCGGAAGAGACGCAACAGTGAGGATATTAGACGAGATAAACTTGTTGAGGAGGTTCTTCGCGAGAGTAAACGTGAGTTGTTTCTTCTTCTTCATCCTCCTCCATATCCATTACATGCCTACATCTGTATTTTCTTTTTTTCTTTTTTGATTGAAAATTTGAAAAATTGAATAAACTAATATGTATCGATACTTCACAGTCGACGTCTACGATGAGCCTGAAGTTGTTAGCCAGCAGAATGACGACCAGGCAGCGGACGATCGCATCGCAGAGCAGTTTCGCCGTGACTTTTTGGACGCCATCCACTCCCGACGCCGCGGAGCTCGGACAAGGACTTCGAAGACTACCAAAACGGATGTTCCGCGCGGCCCCAAACTTGGAGGAAGCCGGAGTGCCCGCGCGGCGATGCGGGAGAAAGCTGCAGCTGCCGCTCAAAAGTGATGATAATGACGAGTATATACTATGATCGGGGGAAAATACTAAGATGGGACTCCCGTATGGATATATGCCCACCTTTTAAAGATTCTATTCTTCTTGCGTGCTGTTATTTGTAGTTTCTTTCTCATTACTTTTTTTGCGTTTTGGAAAGATGGATCGCGCGTCGTTCTCAACCGGATCAAATACCTGTATATGTATATTTATCATTATTGTTACGACGATTCTGTTTTTTATATATTTCATCCTTCCCGTTCATTCAAGGCCCAGACCTGACCTGGGACCATATCAATTTTCAATTGGCCAATGCAAGCAACCCATTCTTTTTCCACGCTGTCTTGCACGCTTTAAGCAAAACAAAGGCAGCGGCGTTAACCGGTGCGTATAGTGGACAGAATTAGTGGGGCCAGGTTATTTGAAGAGAAATTGCCACGGCGGCCGGTGGGTGTAGGTATCTTGCCGACCCGGCCGTCGAACATGTCCGCGGGCCTGGTATGTCCTGTACATACATCCATCATGGTTGCAGACAGGCTTTGGAGATGTGTATTGTGTAGTTGGATAATCACTCTTCTATCCTCGTGTATTAAATATTTAGCAATCCTATGTTGACGATGGGTTACTGTTGAAGCGCAATTCCCCTCTCAAAGAAAGTGTTTTACAGATAGGAGAAAAGGGGGGTGGAGTTCAAAATTTATTTCAGGGACGGGAAGTTGGGCCAGGGTAATATCAAAATAATAATGGTGGTTATACAGCGTAAGAAATAATGCCTGAGAAACGTAAACAGTATATACACTGATGCATGAACTGGTGCTGAACCCAAGGTTGCCCATCCCTTGTTTGGATCCGTTGTTACTCCGTACAACACCTGCAACCTGCAACCTTCAGCAGAACTGTTCAACATCTCTATATATAGACACGGATGACGGAGAAGTAGCCTGTGGGGGACCAAACACGTATGCGCAATGGGGGGCGATAGCCAACTTTCCGTGAGTTGATCCATTATTCGTAAGAGTGGAGATGCTCAGCAGTGAACAGACAGAAGACAGACCACTTCGGGCGTAACTTACATACGCAGCACAAAATATTTTGCGTGCAGCAACAGCCAAACAACGCTGTGATCGATGTGATCGTTCAAGCAGTGACAAGCAGTGCACAAGCACCGATTCCAGAACCTCAGACAGGGGTCGATCTCGACAGCGGTGGACCCTGAGCATTGTTCCTGATTTGCCAGCGATGAAACACCATGCTCCGTAGCCTCAATAGCACGCCAATAGGGAGCCACCCTAAATAATTGTTTTTGCCATTGGACGTGCATTCGATATTCCTGCGGACAGCATTATTATATTGATTGTATTCTCAGAAAGAATAGCCGGGAAGGGGATATCTTGCCTCTCATACACCCTAAGTTCGCTCATAGGGATCATGCATAGGTTTAACACAACAATGAAACCAGCTCTCTGAAGGCCAAAACAACGCACGCGGCCACATTGCTGCAATTCTAAACGCAGCGAACCCCAGTCTCATCATGTCTCAAGGACAAACGTCCAGCACAAAGCTGTGGATCCTGTGGCTGAAACTAGAAATAGGCTACCCAGCCGGGCGTTCCAATACAACACCTGCCACTGGTCCCGAGTCTGCTAAACTGGCTAGTGAGGTCTCCGAGGGCCGAGTCGTGAGACCAAAGCGGAAAACAAAAAAGAGAAGGAGAGAGAGCAGAATTGGGATTTCGTGGAGTGGATTCTGCAACGGCAGGGGAATGGAGCTCACTTATCCAACCTGATACATGAGCAGCTCGCTTCTGGGGCAAAAAATCAAGGAGAATCCATATTCAGACAACGGGCATCGCACTTCTCCCAGGCCCTGATTCTCTGTTTACACGGTTTGCAAATTTTCTGCTGCTCCGGATAGGACACCAACGAATAGAAGGCCGTTAGGTTAGGTCAGATAGGAGACGTATCTTCCCTGGAGCTGGCGAATTGATGTTTGCTCTTGTTCCCTTTATGGAGACTGCCAGCGCCTAGATGTTTCCTTCCTTGATATCGACCTGCACTAATATTATTCTTCTTCTGGCTTTGCTTCTCTGAACTCTCGATTACATCTTCTCCATCGTTATCACAATCCCATCTTTTTTCTTAAGTTTTGTTTTTTTTGTTTTTTTGTTTTTTTTTTTTATGCTATACAAACTGCCGACTTTATGTACACCTCCGTTCATTTTGTTGCTTTTTCAAAGGTAAGCCTTATATAATTTTGTCTACTCGATCAAGGTTCAGAAATCTACGCCAGACACTCCCGTCTGCACGGCCTTGGAGTGTATATTTTCTTGAAGAAGGTATTCGTACCTTCTTTGTCTTGTCTAACCTTTCATCAGTGACAATCGCCTGGGAGAAACTCGAACCATCCTGTTCCCGATCGATTCGGAAAATATGTCGACCCGACCTTGGTCAATAACAGCTCTTCTTTTGGCCTGGGGCCTGTTTTTAGATCACGTTCACGGAGTAGACATCCTCAAAAACAATGGCTTCACCACTTGCCTTGACAGTTCCGATATCAAGGTCGAAAAAATGAGCCTGGAGTTTGACCGCTCTACCAATACAATCACCTTCGACGTTGCAGGGAGTAGCACAAAGATCCAAAAGGTAACAGCAGAGTTGGTCGTTGAGGCCTATGGCCAAAAGATCACCAAAAGTTTCAATCCCTGTGATGCGGGAACGAAAGTCGATCAACTATGCCCTGGTACGTACTTAGATTACTTATTGGCCTTTTCTCATCTTGCTCATGTCTATTTACAGTTCCCGCGGGGCGTTTTGCGGCCAGAGGAAATCAAAAGGTACCCTCCGAATTCGTAGAGAAAATCCCCTCTATTGCATTCGCCATTCCCGACCTCCAGGCTCAGGCAACAATGTTACTGAAATCGAATGACGGGGGCGGCACTCTTGCCTGTATCAGCTCGACGGTAGACAATGGCAAATCATTAGAAGCACCTGCTATATCATACGCTGCTGCTGGAATCGCAGGGGCTGCTCTAGCATTGTCGGGCGCAGTAGCTTTGGCGTCCAGTGGAGGCCCCGGTACGGCTACATCGAGCCCGACCTTCGGTGAAGTCTTTGGGTGGTTTCATTCTATGGCAACCAACGGCATGCTTAGCGTCAATTACCCGCCGATATACCGCAGCTTCACCAAAAATTTTGCATTCAGCACCGGGCTGATTCCTTGGAAACAGATGCAGATGTCGATTGACGATTTCAGAAATAAGACTGGGGGCAATTTGACACATAACAATTTCCTTTTCCTTCAAAATGCTACCCTTATATATGACAACGGATCTGGTTCCTCGAGCAATGTAAAACGTTCATTAAGCTCCCTTTTCAGTTCATCCGGTCTTGCGGTTCGGGATATTTCAACGACGATCAACGAAACAACCACTGGAGGCGGCCCTGAAGAGGAGGGCGGAATAAATCATGTTGTCAAGGGAATCCAGGCATACGTCGAAATGCTCTCAGTTCCCGAATCTAACACGTTCATGACGGTGCTGTTGATATTTGCAATCATAGTTGCGGCCATTGCGGTTGGCATATTGCTGTTTAAAGTTATTCTCGAGGTCTGGGCAATGTTCTCATATTTTCCACGGAAATTAACGAACTTCCGGAAGGATTACTGGGGCATACTGGCGAGGACAATCACCAATCTGATTCTCGTATTATACGGCATCTTCACTCTCTATTGCGTTTTCCAATTCACCAGAGGCGATTCATGGGCCGCCAAAGCTCTTGCAGGCGTCACACTCGCTATTTTCACGGGAATCCTAGGATTTTTCACTTTCAAAATTTGGAGAGTGGCAAGAAAATATAAGGGGGAAGGTTCCGCGGCTGCACTATATGAAGACCAGGAAACATGGCGAAAATACAGTCTTTTCTATGACAACTACAAAAAGGGATATTGGTGGATTTTCGTTCCTACCATTATCTACATGCTCGCGAGGGGCTGCATCATTGCTGGAGGCGACGGTCACGGACTCGTTCAGACCGCCGGCCAACTTGTTGTCGAGGCAATCATGTTCATTCTCCTTCTCTGGTCGAGACCCTACGAAGCAAAGTCTGGGCAATGGATTAACATATCGATTCAAGTCGTCCGGGTGTTGTCAGTTGTATGCATTCTAGTCTTTGTCCAGGAGCTGGGCATGTCAACGACAACGCAAACTGTTACTGGTGTCGTTCTGATTGCAGTGCAATCGGCACTGACCGGCATCCTCGCCATTTTGATCGCTGTCAACGCCCTGATACTTTTGTTCAAGAAGAACCCGCATGCTGCGAGGAGGCGGAAAGACCCTGGTAAGTTGCTGTAACTATGGCACAAATATCTTCCGATGAAGCGGGCCATTGCTAACGAAACAAATTCAGAAACTATGGATCGCGACTTAGATACTCTCACGCCGCTGGATGCGCGCAACTCCCTTCTAGAAGACTCAAACATGCCTCCACGCTACTCAAATCGGAGAAGCTCAATGGGCTATTTCAACCACACCTCGCCCTACGATCCCTACATGAAGGCATCCTACAGCGAGAAATCACGCCACATGCCTACAAACAGCACCGATCATTTACTCTCAACCAATGCCGACAACATAAACCATGTGAATATGAGGGAGATGAGCCGGACCCCATCACCCGAACGGCAACCTACGTTGCCGGTGATTGGACGGGCGTACTAATTCAACATGTCTCTACACTAGACGTACCACAAATGCATCTTCAGTAGTGGACCACACATACTGCCACACATACACACATCGGCTTACTTCTTCTCCTTTTCCACCTTGTTTAATGTCTATACTTCACTGCATATTCTCCGGCTTTTAATTTCCTTCGTGTTTTCGGCACTGGTCATACTACCCATCAGCGTTTTCCTCATCCATCATCTCTTTCTCTCTGTCTCCCCCCCCCTCTCTTTTCCAATCATATAGAATATTTTAACACAACGTGCTACAATATAACCCGTTCTCTCCTTAACTATCAAGAATTCCAATCCATCTATTTTACTGTGAAATAAAAATATTTCTCTGTTGATTTTGCCTTGATATATCCGTCACAACCACATACGCCAACGAGGGCGTTGTCACTTTTTACTTTGTCGTTTCCGCAAAAAGGTCTCTTTTCTTTTCCGTTGAAAATAAACGAATAAAAATAATAAAGATAAAAATAAAAATACAGAAAGAAAGAAAGAAAGAAATTAGATTCTTCATAGTCTTTTCTCTAGCTTCCGCCAACGCCTCATATTTGATATATCTGTCGTGTGGCCTCAGGGGAGAAAAAAACCTGTCAAGCTGTTCTGCCACTGTACTTCACACATGCACCCAGCAATTTGATATGTATCAATAAGAACACAAAATACTTCTCGCTTCTACATATCCATAGTAAGTGAGCATATCTACCCTGGCGAAAGACTACAATTGGACTTGGGAAAATGGTTGCTTCGCTTTTTTTCTTTTTTTTCCCTCTTTGTGCCCTTATTTTGTTTTAAATTGTTATATTACAATACACCTCAAGAAGGAGAGAATTAAGACAGACTCAAATCACTTCGGAGAAGAATAAGCGAGGAAATTATTTCAAAAGCCAAATGACGATTAGGACGATTAGAGTCGGATAATCAAATGAACAACACGTGATAAAAATTGGAACAAAATTTGTTATTTACGTGGAGCATTGGAAATGGGTTTTGTAGCGGTAGCGCGATCAAAACGAAAAGAAGAGGAACATGAACTCTGGGTTGACGACAACTTATGAAGGGGCGAAAAAGGTACAAAAAAGGAAGAAATGTTTTGACGCCGTCCGTAAAACAAGAAGCAAGGAAAGGTAGAGTAAACAGAGATAAGAAAGCAAAACGAGGTCGTGTCGAGATTATTAAGAGGACGGAAAAGCACGCGTTTTGAAGAGTTGTATTGATTTGGCCGTGTTTTCGAAGTATGAGGGCCACCAAGCGCACCTATAGAATGATCACCAAGTAGAGAGGAGAGCTCGTTTTGTGGATGAAAGGGAACTCTCGTTGAGTCTTAAAGGCGTAATCGACACGTTGATAGACGAATCCGGTGTAATTATTTTAACAATAAAAATAAACCCGACTCGTTCGTTTGGAAAAAAGTCACCCATATCTATCAGCGTATATCCCTTTGATTTTTTAAGCCAACTAATCCAGTTCTCAGTATCCTATTCGTTTCAAGTGCGAGCATAAGGATGGAATCCCCGATGAGCACCCCGGCCTCCGCCACGGTAGTTCGCCCCTGGTTTCCCCGCGTTTCGCGGCCCGGTAGGTGCATTCGCTGGCGGCGCGCTTTGTGGCTGTGGTGTTATGCTTTTGTTGCTACCAGGAGATGGCCGAGCACCACCATGCTGTGGTGGCATACCGTGGCTTGGTGACATTCCACGGCCCATACCTCCTCCACCTCCCCGGCCCATGCTACCGCCGCTCTGTGGACCAGTTGGGATATTTGGCTGCGGGACGTCATCGTACATTCCTTCCCAGGAAGTAGGACCACCTTGTTGGTACGGAGCAAATCCTCGAGATGACTCGATGGCTCTGCGTGCTTGTTGCTGTTCGTACTTTTGCTGCTCAAAAGCAATTTGCTCCTGAGCATTGTACCCAGGGCCGCCTCTTGGGCCGGAAAAGCTGCCACCCGGGCCGCTCATACCCATATTGGGACCGCCGCCGCCCGCCATTCCACCCGGTGGCGGTCCTCCTACACTCCCACCAACGCCTGCGCCTCCCATATTTCCGCCCATACCAGGACCTGGACCGGGTCCAGCGGCCATGGCATTGTTCATCTGTCCTCCCATTCCGCCTGCTCCAAATCCAGATCCACCCGGACCCGGGCCCTGGCCCTGGTTCTGAATCTGTTGCATATGCTGCATCTGCTGCATCATGGCTGGATTCATCATGCCTTGCATCACTTGGGCACCGGGGACTTGAGATCCAGGACTCATCGCTCCCTGAGGTGCTCCTCCGCTCATACCACCCATCGCGCTCATCTGTTGTAACATCGCCGGATTCATACCCGCCATCCCCATTGCGCCTCCAGCAGGTTGGCCCTGAGCGGCGGCAGCAGCCATTTGTTGCTGCATTAGGGCGAAATACTGTTGCATACGCTGCCAGTATTGTGCCATCATTTGCGGGCTCATGCCACTTGTCAAGCCTCCTTGACTCTGGGTGTTTTGTTGTTGCGAATTCTCCTGACCAGCAGAGCGATCATTGTCCCTACCATAACGATCCTGTTGATCTCTCATGCCGCGGCGCGAACCCCTGCCTCGGTCGTCATCGTCCCGCATATTCCCGCGCGGCTGCGCCTTCTTGACCTCGATCGGTTTCCCGAGGATTTCTAGCGGGCCAGATAGGGTCGCTTCAACAGCTGCCTCGCTGTCAAAGGTTACGAACCCGAACCCTCGAGGCCGGCCGCTATCCTTATCGATCATGAGAGTGGCATCCACGACGCGACCAAACTGCATAAAAAACTGTTTAAAGTCTTGCTCTGTTGCTTCTTGGCTAACTCCACCGACAAATATTTTACTTGTCCTCTCCTGTTCATCTCTAGGAATGGCGCGTTTCGGGTCGATCTATTTGTTTTGCTTTGTGAGCTCATATGTTCTCATGTAGATATCAACAGCTAGCCGGCTATCGCAGTGTACGACACATCTGGTTGAAGTGGGAGCAGGACAATAGCCAAGGGCAGTCCTTACAATTTTACCATCCAGATAATGTTCTTTCACCATCACAGTGTTCACAGTCTTGGGATCTTTGAAAGTGAGGAAGCCGAATCCCCTTGAGCGTCCGGTGGCGCCGTCACGCATTACAGTGCATTCTTGAACTTCTCCGAACTGGGAAAAGTAGTCTTTGAGTGATTCTAGCATGTGGAACATCCGTAGTTAGATTGTTAAATATCCTGCTTCTTCCGGAATGGATTTTGGGTACATACGGTCAGTTGTCTCCCAGTTCAACCCCCCGATAAACATTTTGCTATATAGATAAACCTATTAGTCATAATGGCCCCAATAATAAACCAAAGTTGACAGAGATGCATGCTATAATAAAAATAACCAAAAATTAACTATGCACGCAAAAATGAAATATTTTAGTGCCGAAGTGTACGACCAATGCGTTGCTGAAACTCAGCATCAGAGCTGTGATATGATATCGAACATTGGAACTTCATGAACGCGGCTGCGATCGGTTAAGGGGGGTGGCGTGTTTAGTTTTCATTATCAATCGCTGATCCGACATGTCTCCTTCGCCGGAGTGTTGGTTGCAAGGGTTGAGCTAGCTGCGCACATTGGAAAAATTGACTGAGGAATGATTGCTCCTTTACAAACGGATCTTGGTTGACGGTTTGAATCTCTCAGGCACACGGCTCAATCAGGAGCATCGTCGGATATGCACGTATGCAGAGCTGAAGCCAGTTTTGGCCTGGAAAAGACGCAGTTGTAAAATTTTTTTGGGACGAGTGTACTTTCTTTCTTTTGTTTTCTGTCCGAAGATCCTCTCTGCCTTTCTAAAAGTCCGTAGCTAGGTAATGCTGTTCGATATCCCAGAATTCAAGACAGCTGAAGTGTCTATTTCCTGCTCTGTTCTATCAAGATATATCGACAAGAAGCTTTTAGTAGCAGCTGTACTATAGTCGCTTGAATAACTGGCTCGCTTGGCAAGAGCTTCGTCTAAGTCTCATCGACTCCAATTCCTTCTCACAACGTGGTGGGTGGTAATCCGAGACCCTTGTTCTGATCATTGTCTGGTTGCCGGGAACACTATGTAGGATCCCTCCTTCAAGATCTATCCATCCGCTTTCCCATACTTCCAAGTATCCACCATTCCTGTTCGAGTAGCTCAACCCCAGTAGCAAACCCAATCCCACACGCTTGCACAAAGCCTCCATCAATACCCGGTGTGATACCAAAGTTTCTCCTTGCACGGGGCAGCTTCAAATGTGGGCCAAGTATATGTATATAAATACGTGTGGATAGGGCCAGATCATGCTTCTTGTAGCGAATGTCCGAAATGCCAGTCGATGGCACTATAGAAATAAACCAGTGCGGCAGCGACGATCCAACCACAGCTCGGTATAAATACAATAGCCAAGACAAAATGATAATTCTCGTTTCCCCACGGTTTGCAGCATTGGTAACAGCCCGATGTTTCCGTACGTGAAAGTGGAGAAAAAGAACAATATAAAATATTCATCAGAATGCATGTAAGTACAACTTACCCATCTTCTTTAATACCGGTTCCATGACTCCCATGACTTCCTGACTCTACATGGCTTTGAATATGATCACTTTCCTGTGTCATCTGCGTCGGTTCATTAGCACCATTTCGTTGGTCGCCATTCATCAAATGCTGCTGCTCCGACTGAATTTCTATATGATGGCTTTGGTTATTGTCGCTAGTTGGTTGCTGTGCCGTGGACGTGTTCGTTTCAGTTTGCGGTGGCGGCTGGGGTTCTGGAAAACTTGGCGTAGCAGCTGGGGGAGCTGCGCGCTGCGCGCTGTCATCTGCATCGTAACTGTTTCAACGAGCTTTAGTACAGGCAATTTATAATTCCTGGGCAGTTGGGAAAGCTAGATGCTTTCCGTGAGGTGGAAGAAGCTTACAGATCAGCAAAGAGATCTTCCTCGAGATCTTCTGGTTCAGTCATGATGATGCTGTCGCGAAGTTTCAAGCGTCAAATATATTGAATAAGTTGGATAATCCTCGTATATAAAGTACCCAAGCTTCAGCTACAGTTAGCTTGGAGATGATAGCAGGCGAGGTGGACGCTGTGTTGATATTGAGAGAATTTAAACGGGCTCAAGAGCAAGGAGGAGGTGTGGTTGGAAGAGCCGCGGCTTGGCAGGCTAATCCTAATTTGGACATATGGTCTAAACTGAGGTGCTTCTGCGTACGGTATTGTCACGTCTGTTGCAACCAACCTTGCCACAAGGTGGAAGGTTCCAGCGCCTCACTAAGAGTCACCATACCACCCTAAATTGAAAGCTTTTCACATCTCAATTTGGCGGTAAGTTAAGGTCAATTTAATAATTTTAATACAAAGCTTCAAACTTATGCCAAGCACTGTCTTTGTCCTTGATATGGCTTATTGGGTTCCATTTGAAGCAATATGATGTGGTGGAGAACGTGACAATACGGTACTAGGGTTCTCACCGTATAAATTCCACCCAGCAGCCCTTCCGCCAGCTATGGCTCTGCTCTATTGACACCTTGACGGCATCGCTAGATATCGTCTACTATTATTCTTCCCCTCTCACTGGGGATTACGAGCATTATCTCCTCATTGCTCCGTAATTCTGCCTCTATATTCCAAGGGTATTCAGATATGGCGAACAAGAAGGCCCCGCAGCAGGTATGGCTCTCCATAAACATGGTGTCTTGGATCCCATGCTGATTCCAATTGATGCGCTGAGCAGGAGATGGTCCAGGTCGGTCCGTACTAAATGTCACCCTTTGGAAGGAATCATAATGCCCAACTGCAAAGATATCGTACTATCCGAAATATTAATCTTTCCTGACGGTTCTGCTAACATTCTGCCTTGTTGCTTGCTTGCTAGACCAAACCGAGTGGGTGTTTCTCCCCCAGATTTCGCTGATTCATTTGCTAACAAGCTTGAACGAAGACGGATAGCATCGCCTTTCTGGAAAACCCGATCATCGTCGCAGCAACAGCAAAAACTCCATGGAGTAATTGACCCAAATACAGTCATCGGAGCATCTTACTCCCATGCGGACATGGTGAGGTGAGTTCAAGGCTTTCCCCGCAACTGAGGTTCCTGATATTGATATCTGACTGCGGTTGCGCCCCTAGGACCACATCGCCTTACACGCGACAGCACGTATCACCAATGTCACCACGTACAAGTAGCAATAACCGGAGTAGTAGTTCTACCCACTTGACAGAACCAGGTGGAATCGCACCCCCAAATCGTCAACCGTATGCGAGCTTAATGGCACAACCCGGAGAAGATTGGAGCCATGATGACGATGGATACGAAGATGAGCTTTTCTATGATGATGATGAGGACGAGTTTGGGCTTCCCAGCGTTACGAGCATGCGAAAAAAAGGAGCGTCTCGATATAAACTCCAGACAGCAGGGGGTGATGCGCGAGGGGGTTCAAAGAGCCGTATAAATGGCTCATCAACGCTAAACCCCAATCTACCCTCAGCCAGACTACGCACGAATAGTTCTGATATTGCAGAGGAAAGGGGTATACTCAGTTACCCAACGGCAAAAAAGACGGATGGCAAGATTTTGCGTCCACAATACAAGGAACTATTGACTGGTAACTTTCAAATCCTTATTGGCGATGATGGTAAATAACAACTAACAAGTTCTGCGTTAAGATCCTGCAAATTCGCTCCACTTGATTAACCACTCTCCTCCTCCGCCTAACGGAACCCCTAAAGAGCTAGAGGTTCACTCAAGCCGTATAAGCAGAATCAACAAGTTCAAGCGCATTCTCCAATCAAGTACTGTATCTCTTCCAGAGCTTCGCGACCTCGCCTGGTCTGGCGTTCCCGATGAGGTTCGAGCGATGACTTGGCAGCTTCTGTTAGGATATTTGCCAACGAATAGTGAGCGTCGCGTAGTCGCCCTCGAGAGAAAGCGAAAAGAGTATCTTGATGGTGTTCGACAGGCTTTTGAGAGGGGAAACTCAACCGTGGATAAACCCAGCGGTGCGGTCTCCACATCTAATGGTGGGACTGGAAGAGGCTTGGATGAAGCTATCTGGCATCAAATCAGTATTGATATTCCTCGTACAAACCCTCATATCCCATTATATGGGTACGAGGCAACGCAAAGGTCACTTGAAAGGATCTTATACGTGTGGGCTATTCGGCATCCGGCGAGTGGATACGTACAGGGGATCAACGATCTAGTCACGCCATTCTGGCAGGTCTTTCTAGGGACATATATTACGGATCTTAATATAGAGGAGGGGATGGATCCCGGACAATTACCAAAAACTGTTCTTGATGCCGTTGAAGCCGATTCATTCTGGTGTCTAACGAAACTTCTCGATGGTATTCAAGACAACTATATATATGCTCAACCAGGTATACACAGGCAAGTTGGAGCACTTCGCGATCTCACGATGCGAATTGACTCCACGCTAGCAAAGCATCTCGAACAGGAGGGTGTTGAATTCATGCAGTTCAGCTTCCGCTGGATGAACTGTCTTTTGATGAGGGAGGTAAGCATCCAGAACACTATAAGGATGTGGGATACATATATGGTATATATAGCTCCTCTTTTCCCTTCAAAATCTTCGCACGGCTAACATCGAACCCAGGCCGAGGAACAAGGTTTCTCCCGATTTCATCTTTACGTGTGTGCAGCATTCCTTGTCAAGTGGTCAGACCAGCTCCTTAAAATGGACTTTCAGGTTCGTTTCCCCTTGGTACACCGGGAATGGGAAATTTAAAACCATCAGCTAAGCGTTTATCAGGAAATCATGATGTTCCTCCAAGCTCTTCCCACCAAAGATTGGACCGAGAAGGATATTGAGCTTTTGTTGAGTGAGGCGTTCATATGGCAGAGCTTGTTTCAAGATTCGAGTGCCCATCTCCGAACCAGCACTGGAACGCCCTCAGGCCCGGGTTGACCGGTTCGATCTGTACCAGCATTTGCCGCGGGCCATAAGTTGACATGGTGTTCATATACATCGATTTTTTGAGCCCTTGGGTTTGAGTTTCCTGTCTTCGAGAGATCAACTGAAGTGTATACCCTTCTGATTAAAGGCCCACAAGAGTTTGAGGAACTCGCCTTCATCACACATTCGTGCGCGTTTGTCTGCAAGACCCGTTTCGACCTCAAGAACCTGTCTGACTTTCTCCCGGACGAGTTCCCGTACTTTTCCTTTCTTTTTGCGGCCTGGATTCTCCTTCGATGGATTCGAATTAAGTTTTGGCTTGTCGTCCGCAAAGAACTCCGGTACATCTCCGTCATCGTCGACGTCCATAGCGCCATCTAGTTCTTCCTCCAGCTCTCCTTGCTCCTCCATTGTGTCCATCAGTTCATCCTGGAGTCCCTCTACAGGGCCATCTTCGACTGGAATGTTATTCTGGGCACACCATGTTCGGTAATTCGACTCCAGCATATCAAGGACACTAGTGGTACCAAGAAAGCTGGATCTCATCGTCTTGTTTTTCCGCACAAAGGCAACTCTCAAAAGGCCATCCCATTCATCATAACTGATTTGTGGGCGCGGGTTCTTGGGAACAATGCGGACCACGCTCGATTCTACGGCGGGAGGCGGCTTGAAGTTATTCTTCCCGACTTTCATGATGTGGTCGATTCTTGCCCACATTTGAGCATTCACAGACAAACGGCTGTAGAGCTTATCGCCAGGTTTGGCGAAAAGGCGCATTGCGAATTCTCGTTGGAACATGAGAATGCATACTCGTGGTGCCGGATCGATAGCGAGGAGTTTAAAGGTTAGGGGAGAAGATATCTATATATATAGTTACATTATTATTAATCTCTTCTGTTCAAAAGGCTTATAATATGTATCAACCAAGATAAACTTTACCTGGTAAGGAGTGTTGCTGATGCAGACATCAAAATACGGAAGATCCGTTTTGATCACGTCACCTAGTAGAACTTCAAGTCGCTTTTGTTCTGGCTTCCCTTGCACTCGCTTCGTGACTTCGGCAGCCATTCGCGGGTCCAACTCGACAGCAATGACCTTCTTCGCCTTTTCTAGTATTTTGACAGTCAAGTTACCTGTCCCAGGACCAATCTCAAGGACGGTCTTAAAAAAACACTTAGTAAACGACATTTGAAATGTACAAATATATATATATGGTGTCGGATAGCGTATACATCACTTTGTTTTAGATCCGCTTTGTCCACAATAGCCTGAGCAACACCTGGATTTTTTAGAATGTGCTGGCCAATGTCTGTATTCATGCGAAATACATTGTTTGCGGCCTTGGTTTTGGCAGCAGCTTGGGCATACGGGCTGGCCTGGGAAGCGTTATTGCGCTTTTTCGACGGGGCTTTCGGCATTTTTGCTCTGCTCAGCTGTCGGCCACAAATAGTCGGAGTAGTGGGAATAGTAATTCGTGGACGCACAATTCCACGCTTTCGCATCTTCGAGTCGAGTCGTGGGATGGATTGTAATTTTAGGTGTTTTTGACCCTATCCGGATTTATGTTGTTGCGGGCTCCGAGATAGCTTGGGCCTCCCTGACTCTTCATAGATGCAGATGCAGCAACAAACTCCATCGGGGCTCAGCTATCTCCTCTGCGTTCTAGCTTAGAGATAGTGCATTCTTTTCATACAATATGACAGGTCGGAAAGACTTTCTCAGTCAGCCTGCGCCGGAAAATTATGTGGCCGGTTTAGGACGAGGTGCCACCGGCTTCACCACTCGTTCGGACTTGGGTCCAGCCAGAGAGGGTCCCACCCCGGAACAGATACAGGAAGCCCTCACGAAGCGTGCACTTCTCCTTGGTGCAGCTCCTCCAACTGCATATGGCGCGTCAAATAGAGGCGAAAAGGGAAAGGGAGACAGGGCCGATAAGCAAATAGAAGAAGAAGAGGACGACCGATTTCAAGACCCCGAGAATGAGGTCGGCCTTTTTGCATACGGGCAGTACGACAGGGATGACGACGAGGCGGATCGGATATATCAAGAGGTAGATGAGAAGATGGATAGGAGGCGGAGATTAAGAAGGTTTGTCTCTCCGCCTTTTTTTTTTTTTTTTTTTTTTTTTGTACAAACATATCTCCCCACCCCTATCATTTTGAAAACTGTGGGTTTATCGTGTCTCCATGAAGCGTTTTGGATAGATTGCCGACATGAAAAACCTTTCTCTATCTTAGGGAAGCTCGAGAACAACAAGAGCGCGAAGAATACGAACGAAACAACCCGAAGATCCAGCAGCAATTTGCGGACCTCAAACGCTCCTTAGCTACAGTAACCGATGAAGATTGGGCAAATATCCCAGAGGTTGGTGACCTCACGGGAAAGAACCGAAGGGCCAAACAAAACTTGAGAAATCGATTCTACGCCGTCCCAGATAGTGTTATTGCCAGCGCAAGAGATTCTACTGAATTTAACACCACAATCGCGGAAGACGGCACGGAGACCGTAGTGCCGCGTGGGGAAACGGATGGCACAATTACAAACTTTGCAGATATTGGCGCCGCGAGAGATAAAGTCCTTCAGGTTAGACTTGATCAGGCTGCTCAAGGATCGACAGGTGACGCGGCAGCTGGAAGTGCAACTAACATCGATCCAAAGGGCTATTTGACCAGCTTAACCAAGTCTGAACTAAAGGCCGGGGAAGTGGAAATTGGGGACATTAAGCGAGTCCGGGTGTTGCTAGAATCAGTCACGAAAACAAACCCTAAGTATGCCCCAGGATGGATAGCTATCGCTCGTTTGGAAGAGATCGCAGGCCGGATAGTTGCTGCAAGGAGCTATATTGCTAAAGGATGCGAACTATGCCCAAAAAGCGAAGATGCGTGGCTGGAAAATATACGGCTCAATGACAATCATAATGCAAAGATTATTGCTGCCAACGCGATTAAAAATAACGACACCTCGACTAGACTCTGGATTGAGGCCATGAGGCTAGAATCAGACCCCCGGGCTAAAAAGAATGTTCTAAGACAAGCTATTCTCCACATTCCGCAATCTGTTGCCATTTGGAAGGAAGCGGTTAATCTTGAAGAGGACCCCGCAGATGCACGCCTTCTTCTCGCCAAAGCAACCGAAATGATTCCCCTTTCAGTAGAGCTATGGCTGGCCTTGGCTCGTCTTGAAACCCCAGAGAATGCGCAAAAGGTCCTAAACGCTGCGCGGAAGGCGGTCCCAACTAGCCACGAAGTATGGATTGCGGCTGCTCGACTCCAAGAACAAATGGGGACTGCTGGTAGGGTCAACGTGATGAAACGGGCTGTCCAAGAATTAGCGAGGGAATCTGCCATGTTAAAACGAGAAGAGTGGATCGCAGAAGCGGAAAAATGTGAGGAGGAAGGAGCAGTTCTTACTTGCGCTGCTATTATTCGGGAAACCCTGGGTTGGGGCTTGGATGAAGACGATGATCGAAAAGATATCTGGATGGAAGACGCTCGAGGAAGCATTGCTAGGGGCAAGTACGAAACCGCGAGAGCAATATATGCTTACGCGTTGCGAGTATTTGTCAATAAGAAAAATATCTGGCTTGCTGCAGCGGACTTGGAACGTAATCATGGTACCAAAGAAAGCCTATGGCAGCTATTGGACAAGGCCGTGGAAGCCTGCCCGCAAAGTGAGAGCTTGTGGATGCAGCTTGCGAAAGAAAAATGGCAAGCTGGAGAAATTGACAATGCTAGAAGGGTTCTTGGAAGGGCATTCAATCAAAATCCAGATAACGAAGACATTTGGCTTGCGGCCGTCAAGCTAGAAGCGGATGCGAATCAGACTGAACATGCAAGGGAACTCCTCTCGACGGCACGTCGCGAAGCCGGGACCGATCGTGTCTGGATCAAGAGTGTTGCATTTGAGCGCCAGTTAGGGAACAGGGAACAGGCTCTCGACCTTGTTAATCAAGGGCTTCAACTTTACCCTAAAGCGGATAAGTTGTGGATGATGAAAGGTCAAATATATGAGGAACAAAATAAATACCCTCAAGCCAGAGAAGCATATGGAACCGGAACCAGAGCGTGCCCTAAATCCGTACCCCTGTGGCTCCTTGCATCTCGCCTCGAAGAAAAAGCAGGAGTAGTCGTCAAGGCACGATCCATCCTTGATCGAGCGCGCCTCGCAGTGCCCAAGAATGCAGAGCTCTGGACTGAAACCGTACGTGTTGAACGGCGTGCAAACAACATAAACCAGGCCAAAGTGCTCATGGCGAAGGCCCTACAGGAAGTCCCTAATTCAGGTCTTCTATGGAGCGAGAGTATCTGGCACCTGGAACCGCGGACACACCGGAAGCCGCGAAGTCTAGAAGCTATCAAGAAGGTGGATAACGATCCCATCTTATTTGTGACAGTAGCGCGCATCTTTTGGGGTGAGCGAAGACTCGACAAAGCCATGACGTGGTTTGAGAAGGCGATTGTCTCAAATAGCGATTTGGGAGATGTGTGGGCGTGGTACTATAAGTTCTTATTGCAGCATGGTACTGATGTACGCAGATGGCTCCTTCATTCTACCTTTCCCAGCTTTTATGAGAGATAACTGATATATCATCTTCTACCCAACAGGAAAAGAGAGAAGACGTCATCAGCAAATGCATATCCAACGAGCCGAAGCATGGCGAGGTTTGGCAATTCATTGCGAAAGATCCAGCCAACGCGCATAAGTCAACAGAGGAAATTCTAAAACTCACGGCGGCGCGTTTGGAATAGAAGAAAGTTTGTTTTTGAATGTTGAATGCACATCCCGATTTCGTTTCACATTTCAAGCTGTATTGATACAGATTATTTTGTTTGTTATCCCTCAAATTTCCGGATTGATAGGCGGTTACGGTGTTCTTGGCTAGGAAACTCTTCGAACATGGGAATATGGCGAAATGACTTACAATCAAACTTTATATGTAACCTTTCCATTGGCAACAAAGTCCATTTATCTTAACAGCTACACTGAAGTTAACGGGTTCATATATTATGATAATGTTATGAGGATATCTGCTCTGTTCATTTATAAATACACCACCAGTAACGCATTCATCAGGAATTGCAACCCGTATGAACCTGGACAACAGAATACGTAACGATGATATCTGGATCTGATAGCACGGGCCCAACGATTGGCACAATGACAAGAACAATGGCTGTAAATATTCAGAGACAAACGGGTTGCCCTTTTCCAGCAGAGACACTATTAGCTGAAACCCACTCCTCCCAGAATAGTGAAGCATAATTCCCAAGTTAATCAATTTTTGTGAGAAAGTAGCCCACACAAGCGCGCGCCGGAAGTATAAGTATATAGATACAGGAAGGAAAAACAATAGGAAGAAGCAAAAAAAGAAGAAAATAGAAACCCTTAAATCACCCATGCACCGGGCCCCGCCACAAAGCATGAAAATCACGAGGTATCCCAAAGTAATGAATAATGAATCCCACCTCATTCAGGGTCCGTGGTCATTATGGTTTATATATAGGGGGTAATAGAAAACAAACAAAAAAACACAAGGCAAAGGGGTAAATAAACATAGTAAGCAATAAAAAGGGTGGCAGAGCAAGTAATAAAGGAAGACCAAAAAGAAAAAGGTCCCAAACGCCTTAGCCACCGACTCACTCACTCCAATGGTATATACATGACCAACATTCCTAGATACGAGGAATGAAATGAAAATGGACGTGAAAAGTAGTACAAATGGGCAGACGCCTCACGCTGCCATCGAAAGGCAATCATCAAGAAGGCTTCCTAGCTGGGCTTGATCCTTGGGAGTTGCGCCATCCCACTCCCAACCGGATTCGTCAATATCCATATCATCGGAGTACCCATCGACCCCGTTTAGGTGGTTGGCTTCGTTTAAGCTCTCCATGTAGTCTTGTCGTTCAGCTTCAAGCTCTTCCTCGACGTATCCGCCCAATATCTCATCGACGACCAGGGGCATATGTCCTAGCAGGCCGCCGCCAAGTTCCAGGGCCAATCTCAAGTCCGGCACACCAAGTGCTTGTCTTGTGTTTGCTTCCTTGGCCTCGACGGGGAGGAAGCCACTTGTCGTGTTCTTTACTAACTCTCCTCGGGTGAATGCCATTTCTTCGCGTTCAAGCTGCCGTCGGTACTTTCGCGTCATGGTTCCATTGATGGTCCCCGAGGGTCCATTCAGTCTTGTTCTCGCGAACACAGTAGACAGGAATTCCTTTACAAAATTTTCGGTTGCGATGGACATGAACACCGCGCATGGAAATGAAGCTCCATTGACCACCGACTCCTCGTAGCATATTGGGACCATGCGCGCATATATCGAATCTGCATCGGGAAATTCCCCGATTTCCGAGGCTAGGGGTTGAGCGTAACGTTTTCGAATTTCAAGTTCCCAGTCTAGAGTAAAAAAATTAGGTTTTTATATTCACAAACTCCGCCATAGCCATGTACTGATATACACCTACTTGTTTTGTTCAGCCCTCCAGCACTGGCAGGTACTTGATCGGGGAGCCGGATCTGTTTGGCCTGGTGATACTCCTCGAGTGGATTGGGTATAGAATGGGGGTCCGGCTATTTAAAAAAGCAAAAATATATATCCTGGTCAGAACACCACCGTCTTTATACCCACCAAAAAAGTGACACTTTTAGATAGACATAGACACACATACCTCAGGAAGCGCCTTTAATCTTCGTCTATCTTTTGGTGGCAATTGTTTAACCTCCGTTTTAAGTCTCTGCTCCGCCGCATCGCCGGATATAGGTTTTGATACTACCGTCGGTTTATCATGCGCAGAAACCCAGCCTGCAACGCCATGGTCCGGAAGGTCTCTCGTAAGGTTGCCAATAATTGCGCATACGAAGTTGTTATGTAGGTGCTCGATTTTAGGGTCAGAGGAGAGGAAATGGTCGACTCGCGATGCGAATTCATGCTGGTTCAGATGGCCTGTTACATCCCCGCACAAAACAAAAATAGGGAATTACAACGTTAGAAAAAAACTCTCGTCAATATTAGCTTAACAAGGAAATGGGAAGTTATAAATCAACGTACCTAGAAGAAAGAGAGCGATAGCCTCCTTGTACTCTGTCCAGTGAATGCCGATGGCCGCCTTTAACTCCGTATATATCGGCTCAAGGTCAAGTCGCGGAACAGAAATAAGAGCCTTGGATGTTTTCTGGGTCGTTACCGGAGGCAGAACAACAGGCTGCTTGGTCACCGGGATAGTAGACGATGAAGTTGCCCCAGTCAGCGCGGCCGGGTCGATCTGCATTGTGCTTCAAGGACAGAAGGGAACCAGCGGCGCGAGGGGCTGCGCGAAGCCAGAGGAAGATGTAGATTACGCCCTCATGCAAAAGGAATGGACGGCTTTATACCAGATGGCGATGGGAAAGGGGAAGAGAGGTCATTTAGAGATGGAATATAAGGGGAATGCTCGATACGCGATGGACGAGGTCGTTGGTTCCCCGCAGGGAGTGAGGTTGAGATGGAGCGGTGGTGATTAGAGAGTGCGTGGGTTTAAGTTTGGGGAGCCGGCGGATGGTTGAAACCAACAAGTTACGAAAGGCTCTGCATAAGCAGTAAGTTATCTACGCTGGGTAATAATATTTATGGCTTTTGGATATCTGTGTTCGTTTGAATACGCCTATAAATATACTTGGGGAATTATTTTTACAAGAAGTAAAATCATATTGCATGGATAGAATAAACGCCCCCTGTCCTAATCCAGCTTCAGTATATCCTCATCCAATATCCCAAACAGTTTGCTTAATTCGCCAATAATCGTCATTATTTCGTTTCCTAACTGTCCCGTAACTAGAACTGTAGAGGGTTCATAATTGTTACTAGGTTAGCAGCTTATATGGAGACTGCGCTCGAAGCACAAAAATGTGCTGGTAAAACGTACCATATGCATAGAGTAAAGCGTAGTCTTCATTAGTTGTCAACCTAGAGACCGTGGTATCTTGACGGAACCGGTGCAATCGCGCAAGGAGCCTGTCTCGCGAATGCTCTATTTCCGGTAGAGAGTCATTCAGAGGGTACTCGAGTTTCATGGAGGATGCGACCACTACGCCGCGCATTAGCCCCAGGTTAGAAATGAAAGGGGGGACAAAATGACAACAAAAAGTACAACATACCGGACAATAAATGACTTATTCGCGCAGAGAGCTGCATTCTCTGCGGTAGGGTATATGCGAGCATAGCCGCCTCGCCTTCCGAAGCTGTTAAGTTTTTCATAATCTCGAGATTCATGGCTTGGATGGCATCTAACATCCGTCGAGTTCGACTAAGGAGCGCTATATACGTAGCATCGGGAAAAGGGCCGCGTAATTCGAACTCTGACCGCGCCGAAGTATATAGTGTTTCTAGGCGGACCAGGAATCTCTGGAGCTCTAATTTCTCCCTAGGGGTGAAATATGCAATGGCGGACTTTCCATCAGTCATCGTCGACAGAGGTTCTCGTTTCCATATCACACTCATCCAGAGCCACAACAAACTTAGTCCATCCTTTAGCTTTCTCCGCGCGCTGATAGGCCAGATCAGCCGGGTGATAATGATCCCCCAGATAATTCCAGACAAGACAGATACGACACGATGGACAGCAATGTTAAGTACTATTGGCGTAGCTCCGCCCTCATCTTCGCCATTATCAACATCGTCTCTTGAGAGAGAGTAGGCATATAGAACAGTGAGGTTGTAAGTGAGCACAATGAAACGCCCCATCGGGCCCTGGCTTTTAACCAGAATAAGGTAGGCGGTGCCGAACGCCATGACCCAGCCGATGAATGCAAGAGCAAAAACGTTCCCGTTAGTAATTTTCCAAGCTATATACGCGCATATCGCTCCAAAAGTCGTTCCAAAAAACCTGGCAAATCCCGTTGTATTGGATGCGCCAATTGTCATAGAGCAAACAAGCATATAGGATAGCAAACCCCACTCCCCGCGCCAGTAAGAATAGAAAGGTCGCGTCGATGGCAAGAAAGCGGGGAGAGCGTACAGGGCCGCCCCGGCACCCACTTTGATGGAAAATTTTGTTTCGTCTCGTCGGAAGATACGCAATGCTTTCCATACTCTGTATCTCAGCTTGTCCCTCGCTGACAGGTTATCTGGCGGTTGCAGCGTGTCGTCTTTTCCTGGGACAAGGAAACTTTCGGCTGGAACATTTGGTTCCCCACGCTCTGCCGCTGACCCTATGCAATGTTACTATTTTATGTTAAAGCATCCATATTTAAAAGAATGAACTTACTTGAAACAGCAGTCCACTTATTGATATGATCAGGAGGCGTAGGGCGCCAAAATCTGAGCCAACCCCAGGACCTGCCGTTGGGGCGTTCATCGGTTTCTAATTGAAGCTCATCAAGCACTTCTAGGATTTCTTTGAGTTGCTCAGCAAATGCTTGGAGGGAGAAACTGAAATGACCACAACTTGCCGCAACCTCTTCAAGGTCAGCTTCCGTCTCAAGGGACTTGACCTTGACAAAATCTTTCTGTAAATATACCATATTCAATGCATCATTTCGCGCACTGTGATATAAATCTAGGGCTCGATCTAAGCTGGTGCGAAATTTACAGTTAACAGCAACTTTATATTCTGGGCCAGGGGTGTACGGAAGTTCTCCAAGAATTTCTGTCACCGTATATGCTAATGCACGCTATGGGAAAGAAAGAAAAGCAAATTAGTATGTAGCTGGGAAATTTCACAGCTGTCTTCGAGAAAATGGCCGGACAGTACATACCATTGAAGGGCCAAGGTGAACAATGAACTTCTCGAAAATATCCGCCGGAGTCAGTGGAAGAGAATGGGAGTGATTTCCTGGGCTAGATCCCAAGAGGGTCTCACCTAGATCTGTCGTTGGCCTGCCGCCGTGTGCTAGATCTCGAACAGGGATTGAGTTACTTGGTTCCTCGTTAAGAGACAGTGCAGCCGGTGAGAAAATCGAAGGGTGTAACCCGGAGCTAAAATAGGATGAGTATACGCCTTCTTGAATCGGGGTAACATGGGAATGTTGCTCTGATTGCTTTAAAAGGTCAAATTGAAGGGTGGCAGCGCTCTGAAGTCCTCCGATATTCTGGGTGATGTCCTGAATACACCGAACAAGCTTTTTTTCAAGGCGATATTCCCTTTCCGTCCCCGCAAAGTAGTGTTCGAACTTAGCCTCCTTTAGCCACTTATCAACCGCAACGTATGCCTTTTTGTTCCGGCTGGAAGCATTTTTGAACGAGTCCTTCTCAAGATGCTCTGCGGACCCTTGCAGGAAGCTCTCCATGATGATCGCTAGCATAGTGCCCAGCGAACCAGTAATCTCAACTAAATCTTTGCGAAGCTGGGTTCGTGCGGACACGGGGAAGAGTAGAAAACAAACCGCCATAGTCGCTATGACTCCCATCACAATAATTTTTAGAACCTGGAATATTTTAGCAAGGGACAAGTCGCCCTGTTGTACAGCTCCCTCCTTTGTCAAAACAGTAATGATAGCCAGAGACGCAAGAGAGCAGGCCACGTTTGCCAACGGATCAGCACGCCGAAGCTTTACCCATCCAATAAAGCCCAGTCCCCCTCCACAGAAAACGAGGAGGACGATCGCATGCCCAAGAGGGAGGAGACCAAGTTTGTCCTCAAAGAACACCGAAATGCCCATGCTAGTCACAGATATGAGGGTCGCATATGTAAATGCCAAGAAAGCATGTATCGTTGCTAATATCATGCTACCCCTCGTCCTCGCTGGGTGGAAGTATACCGTGATGGTTGCCACCATGTGTTTTCCATCCTGCCGCCCAAGGAAAGCCGCAAATACCGGTAAAAATGTCCCCAAGGTGCCAATCAAATAGGCGATGCTGCATTTAAGCACACCTCTGCCGGCTTCGGATGTAGTAAATAAGTACAGCGCATATATGAGACCTCTAAATCTTTCATGGAGTTTGCGCCAGAATGTCGCGGTTTTGGCGCTTGGAACCACTGCGCTCTGGCCGAGTAACGGTTCTCTTTCTCCCAGGTTATCATTTTCTCTGTCGGGCGATAAATTAATAAGGCCTCTGAGCCGTTGTCCAGTACTTGGGAGGATGAAGGAGGCTTGTTTGAGCTAGACGTGAAAGCTCCGTCAGCCAAGTAAATACACCAAACAATAAGCTTTTCAGGCGTTGATTAAAGCTATCAGAGAGCACAACTAATTAATTACCTTAGGTCTGAGGAAACGACCAGCCGTGGATGATGCCGGCGTCATCGCGTCTGGAAATTTACTGCATGGCTTGGTGAGCAGATGCGGTGGTGACATTGATGTCTCCCAAAGCTGGTTGCGCGAAAGTTGGAAGCTGGCAAGCCTTGATGTCAGACCTTTGCTTAAATAAATAAATACTGCCACACCAAACTGCGGTAAATACACGCTCTCTGTACATAACCAAAAAACATTCACATAAAATCAATAATGGTTAGAAACCGTAGTCAAATAAATATAATAGAATTAGAAACGTCATCAGTCTACGTATAATCATAAATAATTTCATTCAATGCTATGTGCTAAGCTGGTAACTACCATTACCTCTCATTTGAAGACCAACAAGAACAACCACCCCACAGGGTCTAACAGTCCATATTTAGTTATTTACTTAAGATCTTCCAGCTGCCATATTTTAACAGCGGCATCAGACCCAACCGATGCGATTTTGGTGCGGCCAGTGATCCAGGCCACCCCATTGACCCCTTCCTTATGAGCGTTGGGAGCCCGCAGCCAGTCCCCGGGACAAGCCAAGCTCCAGATAAAAATGTTTGTATCTAGACTTCCGCTCGCTAGATGGGTGCCCTCAGGATTCCAAGCGAGAGAGGTGATGCGTGCGGTATGCGCTGTCCATCGGTCTGTAACAATGCTGCCATCTGCTGTCTTGTAGACTAGCACGCGCCCACGTGAATCTCCCGCGGCTATCAAGGAACCATCTGGCGAGAAGGCGAGCGCAGTGATCGGGTTTCTTGAAGCTTTTATTTCCACCGAGGGGGATATTGTGTGGTTGTTAATAGAGCAGATTCGGACGGACGAGTCGTCGCATCCAATTGCGGCAGTGCTACCATGCGCAGCAACGACGTTGACAGGAGACGCCGCGCAAGCGAAATCACCTACTTTTGTTCCGTCTTTGAATATCTCAACGCCTTCTGAGTTTGCGACAAGAACCATGCTATTGGCAGCCGCAGCAGCGTTCTTCGGCTGGCTGGCAAGTTTGGTTGCGCTTCCGGTATATGTGTTTGTAGATACGTCCACAGAACGAATTGTGTCGTCCCAACCGACGCTGTATATACGGCCATTGCCTTCGCCCGTGGGTGCTAGGCCATTGACATAGTTAGGATGGCCCTCCCCATCAACTCGTTCTGCGGATCCCTGCGATACATCCCAGTTGTAAAGTTTGCCGTCAACGCTCCCGGTCCAAAGGGTTTCCTTATCGCCAATATCAAATCGAGCCATGGAGGTAATGCTCTTCTGAGGACCTTGGATAACGCGGGTTGGCCTCTCGCTACCTTCAGCTAGGTAGTTGAGGTTACCAGAGAGAGCCAGACTGATAATCAGGCCATCGCTTCTTCCGGAGGGCCAAACAACTCCAACCTGCTGATCCGGTATGCTCACGGACCCTTCCTCGCCCATCTTCCAATTCTGCACGACTTTCCCATGCTCCACGTCCCAAATCTTCACGGTCCGGTCCGCGCTGGCTGTGACAAATTTCCTCGAGTCCTGCGACCAGGAGACGCCCAATATACTGCCGGTGTGTTCCCCAGCGCCTATTTGAGTCTTGCTCTCCCCAGTTTTCCCATCGTAGAGCCAAATCCGTCGGTCTCCGCCGACACTGACGAGATTTGCGCCATCCGGGCTAAAGGCAAGTCCGTAGATGTAATTGACATGATTTGAGCCATTGCTCGTGTTGAATTTGAATGGCGGGCCTTGGTAAAATATGACAGACTTGTCATCTCCGGCAGTGGCAGCGCGAATGGGTCGTTGTTGCCGAATGGATACGGAATTGACTCTCTGACTGTGGCCTGTAACTTCGCCAACTGAGTTGCCGCTATCTGCAGTGAAACAATGACCGAATCTCTGCTTTCCTTCGCCCACTGCTATGATCCGTTGCGAGTCTCCGTCCCATGCAAGGTCGTTGATACGACCGCTGACAATGAAGTATTCCCCTTTTGTAATGCCTTCCCCAACACAGTCCCATACCCTGACAGTGCCGCTCTCGTCGCCGCTTGCAACGTAATAGCCAGAAGGAGAGAACCGCGCAACTGTTGTTTCTGCTTTATGTTCCGTGTATTGTTTTGAGAGTGAGGGGTTGTCAATGGAGCGTAGGAAGATAGATTTGTTGGACTAGGTTTCACGACGAGTATCGCATATACACAGTCAGTTTTCAAAGCATAGGATTCTCAGAAAGTAAATGGCAAATGCGATTTCATCTGGTCCGAACGTACTGCGTAGGCTAAGCGTTCTCCTTTAGAGTCGCATGAGAGCTGTGTTGGCTGCCCTCGCGTGGTGGAGGGGCTCGGGGCCAAGATGACATCTAGAGAACATCAGCACCGCTGCCACCACCAAGTATATAAAACCGAGGTTTACCGTTTTTAATGGACATTCTGTAGGTATTAGGAGAATCTTATTGAATAATTTGCAATAGTTGTCAAACTTATGAACATTACTTCCAAGCCATAAAGAGTGGTTGATGGGGTACGTAGTTAAACTCTAGTGGGGTTCTTTAAATAAAACGAAATATTTACTCCAGGGTTGCCCCGGCCGCAGCCACTATAGATACTATGTATGGTATATTTAATAAGGCTGCATGTCGGAACTTCAGCTGCCCTTCGCAAGGAAATAAGCCGACAGCGAATATGAGATCCATGTAGAAAAGAATAAGAGAGACGGGTAAAAAATAATGGTAGTGAAATTTTATATCTACAAACACTATGATACAGAATATAATCAGTCCGTCTAAAGCAAAGGAGAACGCAAATCCAAATATCCCAACGCCTATTTTACATATGGAAGAAGGTTATGGGTTCATCCCCCGTTGTATCTTCGATCTCGCCTCCGCAGCAAGGATTTCAGGGTGTTTGTGAACGCTTGGCATCAGGCCCAAGCTTACAGCTCTGCGAATGGCTTTGGAGATCTTGCGCTGGTTGACTGGTCGCAGGCCAGTTTCGGAGGAGTGTCTGATGCGACCCATCTCGGTCATGTACTCGGACATGATAGCGAAATTCTAAACATTCGAGCAGGTAAAAAATGATTAGAAAATGATTAGGGTATAACAAATGATATAGACAACATAGGGTCTGTGATATCGTTATTTTTATGGCACGGAGGCATACATACCTTGTATAGGTGCAACGGGTTCAGAGACAAGGCATCGAACGCATCCGTCGACGGGCTCTTCTTCTTTTTCCACTTCATCATTTCTGCCGGACTCAGATCGTGCGGCGAGTATACATCACCACTCTCCCAGTAGCGCTTCTGCTGTCTTTCGAAAGCCCGGGCTCGTTGTTCTTGGATCGCTTGCTTCTCGAATCGCTCCCTCATGGACTGTTTCATCATCGATTCGCGTTGGCTTCTCTCTGCAAGCATTTAATTGTATTAGATGGTGTTTATGTTACATCTCCATACAGAAGCGCCCCAGATTGAATTGCTACATACCAGCAAATCGACTGTATAAAGAATTGGTAGAATTGCATCGTCGCTGGACCGCCGCCTGCACGAAGCTCGGGGTGCGTGAGGTCTGGTGGACAAGGGAACATACTGAGCTGGTCTTAGAAGCCATTGTGCATTCCCAGATCCCACCCGGAAGCCAACGGGAGGGAAACAGAAATGGAGAGTGTGGAAGTCGTGGTGTTTAGTTCAATGTGTAGCTGAGTTGCGGTGGATGAAAAGAAATTGGACGATCATAAATATTTCGGTTGGTCGGATGCCAAGCCTTGACGGGGCGTTTTTGAAGGCGGACGTTTTTTTTATTTCTTTAGCAGCAGAGCGACAAAAACACCACATTGATATTGAGCCCACCGAGCATTGGACATTTATTTAAATTGTTATTCGATATCAGTGATAGCTCCAGAAGCAATGCAGGACTAGCTATTGACACCTGAATATTACTTTTGGAAAATATTTTCCAATCCCTTCCATTCCGCCAGCGGGGCAAACTGGCTGTTCTTGCGCGGTGCTTAGGGGCATGGATTAAATAAAATGTATATTTGGTGAGCTCATGCTCAAACAACTATTCTTGGGGTTGAGCTGACGTTGAATAATATGTCTATATAGACAGCTACAGTATCAATCAATCATGCGATCCTATCTCTCTCAAAGAACTTTTCGCGCAATCCTAAGAAACAAACCGTACTTTCACCTGCGATGCCGGCAACGGCTGGCGTTATCAGCTCCATCGTGTGCCGCCGAACGGCACTGCCTATATAAAATCCAGCGGAGGTATCTGTTCGGCTTCCCTACAGTTAGCCCGACGGATATTCAGTCCGGGGCCAAGCAGGGCCAATCAGTGGATCATGGGGGCCTGGCAATAAGGCAGTTGGCGGAAGCTTTGGAGGAGAAATCTCAATCGACGCCAGACGCAATCGCGAAGGCATTTTCATCTTTCATTCAACATCGACTCGAAAATCCTACAATTTTAACAGCGGCGCAAGCAAAATTCTTGTTATGGGCGTGGGAATATTTGGACAGTGCCGTAAAAGAAAATCAATCGGCGGGTTTGGATCTGAGTATCGCGGAACCTGAAGACATCTTAAATGCCCTGTCGCGATCACAATGGGAACACCACGCCAATAATGACGTAGCCACCCTTGCAAAGTCAGCTTTCCGGAAGATGTGCTCCCAGCTTGAACAAGAAGCCGCCGCTGAACCATTTCCTAGCCAGGAGGTTCTGTACGCATATTTGCATATCCTAGCAGCCACCGGGGAGATCCGCGAAGCGCTACAAATAATTGACAATTACCGGTTATCTGCCCTCCGAAACGCAGGAATTGACCCTTGGATACCTGTGGCAAAGGGCGCTTTGAAAGCGGAACCAGGAGCTTTGAACAGAATCCTCCATCATATGACAACACATAGCATTCAACTAGACCAAAAGACCCAAGAGCTATTGACGGTGGCAGCTGCGAACGAGAGTGCGGGATTGGCATCCAAATATATCTACGAATATAAGACAAAGAACCCTTTCGAGCCTACTCTTGCTGCGACACTTGCCACTGCGAATGCTATGATTTGGCATGGCAAGGCCGGTTGGGCTAGAGACCTACTCACAGTTCCACGCCGGAATCCAACGCCGGAAGTCAGAGATGCAGTTTTGCTTCTAGCGGTCAGAAAAGGGCAAGAAGCAGATGTTGTTAACAAAAAACTGGTTGACCTGTGTAGCATAAATCCTGACTTGGGTTCGACCTTAACGATCGCTACTTTCAACAAGCTTTTGGAATTCAAGATCCTCAAGCGCGAGTATAATGGCATTGACGAACTTATCTCACTTGCCAAGACATGGGGTCTAGAGCCAGATGCGTTTACGGGTATGTCGAGAGTGACTGCTCGCTTAGACGCTGGAGATGTTCCCGGCGCAATGTGTTTATGGGAGGAGCTTGATTTGGGCGAGTTGATTGAAGGGAAGGCTGTTACCTTGTGGAACATAATTATGAGACAACTTTGTCAGGCAGCGCAAGCTGATCCTGAAGACGAGACCGTCCTAGCTTTCATCGACAGGCTCTTGGAATCAGAATGCTGCCTTGAGGCTGCTACTCTGGAAGAACTGTGCCGAATGCTGCTCCTCCGACATGACCTAGAGGGCATCTCAGAGCTACTAAGGCCATTCGTCAGCTCCTGCAGCGTACCAGGGCTTTCACAGGTTCTAAAGCCGTTTGCACAATTTATTGCCGACCAAAAAGAGTCGGTCGAAACCGCCTGGGAGGTTCATGAGCTCCTGGCCCGTGCGGTCCCATACGCGCCCGTCGGGTTCTGGACGAATACCATGAAACAATTTTTCAAGCGCGGCCGTCCAGATCTGGCATGCCTTGCGTTTGGACATATGCGCAAGAAAGTAAACCCACAAGATCGACCTACAGCCCAAACGTACGCGATGTGTTTCCATGGCCTAGCTAAAACCGCTTATTCCGAAGGCATCTTCCTCGTGCACAACATGTTGAAGCTGGATGTCGAGGTGCAATGGACGAGAAGCTTACTGCACAAACTTATGGCTGCGTATACTGCATGCGGAGATCCTGAGCAGGCAATGGAGTTCTTCAGGCATATTCTGCATTCGGTGGAAGGCCCCTCTTACTATTCTATTACGCTATTTTTCCGGGCATGCGCGACCTATCGCAAGGGACTGCAGGAGGCAACCCAGATGGTGGAGAAGTTGAAATCGCTCAATCTCCCCCTGAACAGGAGGACTTATAATAACTATATCCGTGTGTTGAGTGCCCATGGCGAACTTGAGCGTGCTTCAGAGGCTATCAGTGCTATGCGCGCAGAAACCGGAGAGAGCCCTACCGTTGCTACGTACGTGTTGCTAATCCGCTCCCCCCCCAACTTCCCCCTAACCCCCTTCTTCCCCTCACTATGACCAAAGTAGTAGCCTTTAACTAACCAAGACCCATCCCTCCTTATCTCCCACTGCAGTATCGGGCTCCTCTACAACGGCCTCCCTAACCAGAAATGGCGCGACCAAGCCGAGTCGTGGGCTAGGATAGCCTATCCAGATCTCTGGACCGAACTTGAAAAGTTACCCGCAACCGTCGACGAGGATGGAATTCGCTCCTTTGACCTTGCCGATCGGGATGGAGATGGAAACTCCCAAGACTGGGCGGGAGAATGATCATTGAGAAATAGTTTTCCTTACTTAGCCAGGAGGAGAGTGCGTGCAGCGGAAACTTAAAATCGATGGCGAACGTAACAGGGGCCGCAGTTAAGAGGATGCTTCGACCATGAGGTGTTGATAACGGACCTATGGCACCTGATGACGTTCCTCTGATTAGTTGCGATATGTATAGTACATATATTGTACTTTGGGTTTTTTTTTTTCCAACGCCAAGTGACCGGCGAGCAATGTGTGTGTGTGTACTACATATTCTTCGATGTACTGTACATCGTATGTTTGGAACCCATTTCGATTGGAAATTGGGCAGTTTCCGTTTATCCACTTGCTTTTATACATGTACATACATTACCTATATAACTGTATAATTTTGCTTTTCTAATATATAAAAAGCGACGGTGGGTTGAACTGCGTACGAACAATATTACCCAGTATCCTCATTGCGGTAGACATACCTCCTCTCTAAGAAAAATCAATATCACAGACTATAACATCTAAAAGTATTGCCACTTTTAATGAGGGATTTCACATCTCTGATGAATTTAGATGTCAAGCCTGGAAACATTATCACCTCTGTTAGAACTGGTGTCGTAAGGAAGAAACGACTTTTCTGGCTGAATGGTGAAAGAAGCACCGGAGTCGACTGGGATCATCCGCTATATATACATTTAGCTGAACTACACAAGAGGGAAAGAGAAGAAAAAAAAATCTTTACACAGAAGCTTCAACCGAGACGGACTCCTTTCATTCATCAACTTGAATTGATAGTGTTGAACAATTGAAGCAACAGGGGTGCTGTATAAAATTGAAGAACGCGGTCGATGGCCTTTATTGTTGTTTGAGCTGTCTGTGATGGGGATAAATAAACCCTTACTGGGTAGATGGAAAGGGATGCAGATGCGGACGCTCTCTAGGGATGTTATTGACATGCACGGACGGGGACCAGAAGCGCGAGGGATATCAGGTGTAAAGGCGAGAACACGGGTGAAATAAATCAATTGAAGACGACTGATTTTGACTTTTAATTTTTTCTTTTTTCTTTTATCTTTTTCGTATTGTTTTGTTTTTGTTTTGGGCGTTCTAAGACCGGGAAAAGAAAACACACGCAAAAAACACCCATCCATCGTAAAATAAAATCTCACATTGCTTGGATTCCCGACAAGGCATTACAACAAGAAAAGAGGGCGAGAGATTTGTGGAAAAGGGGGTCGGAAAAAAGGAAGAGGGAAAAGAAGGAGAAACCCTCTCAACAAAATCGCAATGTTAATTTAGCCTTGCTACCTCATTATCAATTTCCCCCCCGTCTCAGTCAACGTCAAACATTTATTGAAGTTTATTTCCCACGTATTTTTTCTTCCCCTTCTTGCATAATAATGTGACTCTTATCATATGCTTTCGGGAGTGTTTGGACTAAGTTCGGACGGGTCATAGCATAGGTAGAGGGTTTTACTTTTCATTTATCGATAAATGCGGCGCGGGACGAAAGATGCGATTTGCTAAGAGGGGGAGGACGAGAGAAGGGTTCACCGGTACTAAATAAACGGAATTGATTAGTTTTCTTGTCTTGTTTCCCCATGGTTGCATGTGCCCTTTCTCAGCCCCATTTGCTTCCACGGAATTGCGCTCTTGTCCGCAACGGATTGTGGTATCCTATTGCCAATTGCTATCTTGCCGGACGAAGGGTCTGTGAGGGTGCATATATATATTTCCAGAATCAATAATTACCTTGACGAAGCCAATATCGGCGGCCTTCTCACGGAAGCACTACAACCCAGAAAGAGAAAACGTTAGCGACTTGAATTCCCAGTGCCGCGCCGCAACGCTTCTCAATATAAACTGAGGCGAAGCTATTGAATTGGAGTGTGGATTAGTTTTCGCTTACCTGACGGCAGACAATCAGACCATACTTGCGGATGAGACCGGCCTTGTGTGCGCAGACGCGGCTATATTATGTCGAAGAAATTGGCATAAATCAGTGAAACAGCTTCCAAAAATCCAAATCTGACATTTCTTCTCCCCGGTCCCCCACATTCCCCTCTCTTCCTGTATTTCCATCATCTCCAAATCACTTTCTCCTTTTTCCGTCATATAAAGTCTACCCCTCCGAAGAAGCCTATTCCGAACCTCTTTTCCCGATCTCCTACTATCACTGTTCCTCGGGGAGCGAAAAAGTGCATGGGTGATATATGCTTACCACTGGCGGCTTCCCTTGCCATAGGTCCTGGGACGACTGTAGTAAACGGAATCGTGCGTCATCTTGAGAAGATCGTGGAGGGATGGAGGGGATTGCTGGTCTTGTCGGGGTCGGAGTCGGTATGTATCGTCGTCGGGCGTTGTCGAGAAGTGCAAGCGGTGGAGATAATTTTGATCGCGATTCTGTGTGTCCTTCGGCACGGCGGATTATGTAATGCTCCAGGCTGGGAGCTTTAAACCGGATTAAGAATGGCCACTGGGTTGCATCACGTGATTATACTCCTGACTGGAACTTGCAAGCAGAAAGATTAAAAAGAGCTTCCAATTGGAGGCAACAGCGTGTGTTCGGATAGTCTGCTGAAGAATTGGAACATGATGCTGGAATACAGTACTTCTAGAATAAAAGGCTATTATAAAATCTAATGGCAGGTTGACTCTCTTCCTTCATTGTTATGATATTCTTCACAGGCCCTTTGCGGAGTTAGGGTTTAAGCCCTAAGTCTGGATCGGGGAATCGCCCAAAGCGGAAAACAGCTATTTCCTGTTTCCCTCATTTCTTCAGGTCCATCTCCATTCTCTACAACGTTTCCAGACGAGTCTCTATTATGCAGCATAGTTCGCAAGCACATTTCGTTAGACGGCTCAAGAGTTCTGCAGAGAATGCTGAGGCTAAGGCATATTACTCATTTGGTTTTTGGGCGCGAGTGGCCATCGTCAACATGCGCTTCCAGCTTGAGCTCTGAAAATACACCGGGGGGGGGGGGGGGGGGGCATCGAAACCTGCGCCGTTCTCCCACCAACCGATTGATTACCTGCCTGACATCTAGCAAGATGCCGTAACATGTTGGGAGTCCTTTCGCTGCTTGATAGAACGTGCGTGTTTCAGTGCAACAGGCTCTGGATGTTGCCGCCGGGGAGCTCATTATTTTTAATATTCATTTCCTAGGGAAAGGGATATCTTAATGATGACGGATTAATTGAATCTGATCCCGCTTGAGGAACTATCATCACGGATTGCAGTATTGGTAGCCCCATCTCAGTCATCAGAACGGCTTCTAGAGGGTTACATATTGGCGGCATTTGGGGCAGGTTTTCTTTGCAATTGGATATCAGATAACTCAGCCACCATAAGTTAACTTTAGTTTATAATAAGTTGAAAGGTGTTAGGAGGAAGGATTCATGTTCAGTGTGTATTATTATATATACTACTATATATAAATAATCTAGCTAGCGGTACGGTACGGCCTTTTTGAGTGTTGTTGATTTGCTTCTCTCCAACCGCTGAGGTTCGGCGGGAAAAAGATGGACTTGGGCTTTGCTCAATCAAAAATCAAATCTTCCCTTCCCCCTTCCAACCCCTCGCCAACTTCAACCTCTTTCTAATATTCCCCCCAACCCTCTCGCACTTCTTTGCTTCCATCTCTCAGGATCCAAAGTCGCGAGCATTTGAATTATTGCTATCTATCAAATTCGTGATAATCCCAACATTTTCTTTGCATCAAAACCAGCTCAAGGTGAGCGGCGCGTTTCTCCTCTTGTTATGGTCAATGTTTATCATGTTGCTTTGATTGCGCCGCCTCATCCCAGTCTCACAAATCGGTTGAACTCCATCAACCGCTGCCAGAGGCGCGCTCTGCCTAGCTAGCATCTTGTTTTTTTTTTTTTTTTTTTTTCCATTACCCGCGAAAGGTTTGAAAATTCATTTCCGGTTCAAAAGCAAGGGGTGATTCTGCTTTCTCGTGGCTGTTGTCCCTACGCGATCATCTATAAAGCTCAGCGACGCGTAGATTTACCGCTACAAATCACTTCCTTGTTGTTTCCCCCCCTCAAAGGCTCCGAAATGTTGTGAAAAATATATTAACAGGTGTCAAAAGCTTTAACTTGCTGCTTCCCCCATTATTATACCAATAACTATCATATCATTATTTGATAACCGCCAAGTTTTAACTCAACAGAGTCACGTCTCCGCCCAGCGCGAGCAAAAACAACTCACCGAAACCACCCCAGTCCCCCATCCCAACCGTCAAATCCAATCTCAAACCAAGAAACAAAATAAAAATAATTACAATGGCAGTCACCCGCGGCGCAACCGGCAACGCGCGCCCCCGCATCATCGAACCGATCTCCACCTCCCCAGCCTCAAAGAAACGTCGTGCCAGCACCACCTCAAAGCCCAAGGCAGGCAAGGGCGAGCCAAAACAGAGCTCTAGCTCGGGCGCATCCAGCAAACGCGGGCCCAAACCTAAAGCATCGGCTGCAGCGGGCGTCACCAAGAAAGTTGCTAAGAGTGCAGCTGCAAAGACCAAGGGCGCGGGGAAGCCTGGCAGGAAGCCAAAGGGGGTCGTAGCAAAGAGAGGGCCAAAGGCGAATAGCAAGGGTACTGCTGCGAGCGCGGCTGCTGAGTTGGCTGTATCTGATGCTGCCATGGCTCGTCCCGCGACTGCGCCGGCTGTGGCTGAAGTGACTGCAAACTAGAAGGGCTGATTGGGGAGGGAAGGGATCCGTTTGTGTGTATTATCTGTCTGAGCGCGGGAAGTTGATGATGTATGGATTCTTCTTTGTTGGGGAGGGAGGGTTGTATGTAATGGATTTGCGGGACTCTTCTGGAATTTCTAGTTTTGCGTCTGTCCTTGCGCTTTTCTCATTTGATGGGTTGATGTGTTGATTTTTATTTTATTCCCCCCCCCCCCCCCTCCGTGCTTCCGAGAATAATTTATGACGCCCATATCACCATATCACACTCCATCAACCAACCCAACCCAATTTATACCGGGGACATGAGCCTCCTTTTCATGGGGGAGACGAGGGGGGAATAAACATACATTTAAGATTACATTAAGATGGACGGGGATACTTGCGGCCTTATATACGTTATATATATATACGACGAACAACGACGGCAAGATGAAGATACCGAGCAGTTCAAAGAAAGGGGGGGGGGGAGGGGGGATAGTATCCATTAACTAGTTGTTTTGAACATCATCGCAATATCGTGCAATCTTTGCCTCCAGAAAGAAATAATAATAATCATAATAATAATAATAATAATCTAGAGCAAGCACCTTCTGCTTTTCTCCCGCGGAAAATGAGAATCGCTGGCTGGACGCTAGACGGAACTCTAGGGGTATGTATATACGTATTGTACATGGTACATATACGGCATCTAGCGGGCCCCGCCGCCGTCTACAAAACCCAGGAACCGGGAGGAGAGGAGAAAGACATCATGAGAGATACGGAGTAGGAGGTGAGTGTTGATGGAAAAGATTTGTTGTAGATTGGAGATGACGAGTAAACTAGTAACAACAATATTACGACGACGGGAGGATTGTGGCAAAATGGGGGAATACCACAACCAAAAAGGTAGGCTAGGTGTCTTGTTAGGGGGAGAAAAATGGCAGGGAGAGAGAGAGAGAGAGGTAAATGGTAAATAGGTATTCAGATATATACATGTGTACAATGCATGGTGAGGAAAGAAAAGAGTGATTTTGAGATATATATGCGATAATCATGTGTAGATTCCTGGGATTTATGGCATGAGAAGTTAAAAAGAAAACAGAACAAAAATAAAAATAAAACATTTGTTAAAACAATTATGAAATTCATTATTAACCCATGTACGGAGTAGTTAGTCTTTTCTTTTCTTTTTTTTTTTTTTTTTTTTGCTCGATTTGTTTTGATCTGTCTAGGGGAATCTTGTTTTTTTGTTCTGCTTTTTTGATTTGGATTTTGTTTTGATGTAGGGGGTAGGGGGTAGGGGGTAGGGGGTAGGGGGTAGGGAGGGATAGCGAGTATTATTATTAATAGAGCATTTTTCTTGTCTTTTTTTTTTTTTCTTATTTTTTTTTTCTTTTTGTTTTTTGCCATTTAAATCCCGGTGTAGATATGCGGTGCAGCGCAAGACAGTCATCACTCCCCATTCTCTTGATCTTTCTTCTTTTTGGGGGGGGTTGTCAGAATAGATTAAAATCATTTCTGTCGATCTATGAGCTTCGCGGTTCTCTTGGACATGCTATATATGAGACAGTTTGTTAGTTTGTGTCTGTGGCTGCGCATGCATGTGATTTGAAAAAAAAGTGAAGAGCTGTTGTTGAGGAAATACGTACAAATCGAAGAAAGAAAACTGGCTCGGGCTGCTGCCGTACTCGTAGACGAAGCGGCTGGCAAGGTAGCTGCCGAAGATGGAGCGGAGGTAGTTGGATGGGACCTAATTGAGTTTGGGGTGTTAGACATGAAATTTCGTCACACACCCTATGGGTGGACTCGGGAAATATGGGGGAGAATAACTAAAAATTGAAAAAGAAGAAGAAAGAAGAAGACTCACCCTCTCCAAAATCGTCTCCAGTCCAATCTTCTCCAACAAAAGCTTCGGCAACGCATCCCGCAGCACATCCTCTCTCAAAACCGTATTATCCCACAGCTCCGTCTCCTGCAACTCCTCATCCAGCTTCGTAATCGCAAGACTAAGCTTATCACTGATCATACTGCGCGGCATCCCAGTCTCCTCATGCTCGCGCCAGATGGCCTCGAACTCCAAGCGCGCGTTGCGCTGGATGGTCTCCTGGACCTCGCGCACGTACGCGTCGTAGAATGGCGGGATGGTCCCGTCCTCGCGCACGCACATGTGATCCTCGAAGCCCTTGTCGTCGAAGGATAGGGAGGCGAGGACCTCGAGGGATGAAGAGGTGACGCCACCCTTGTTGACGGAGGCGTCTTTGAAGAGGACGCAGCCGGCTTTTTCCAGGCGGATCTTGCTATCCTGGGTTAGGAAGAGGTTGGCGCCCTCGACAATGTAGGGGATAACGGCTTTGCCGTTCTCGATCAGTTTGCTGACGTTGCTGAGGTCAATGGACTCCGGGCGCCCGCCGCAGGGGACGAAGATGTCAAAGGCCCGCCCACCGCGGAGGTGGAAGGTGTTGCGGAAGACGGTGCCGTTGTGGACGACTTCGCCGTCCGGGAGGGTTACGTTGGTCTCGTCGACGAGAACACGGTAGCCCTCAGGGGATAGCTTGGATGCATCATAGTGGACAATCATGGCGCGCTTCTTGGCTAGTCTGACGAGCTCGTCGCGGTCGAGGCCCTGCGGGTCGACCAGGACGCCAGACCCATCGACGATGGCGCAGTACTTCTCGTTCCCGAGGAGGATTTCGTTGGAGCCGAGGTCGCCATCGGGTCCGCCGGTTTGCATTTTGCGGACTGTGGATGGGTCGATGCCTGTCTTGCGGTAGATGCCGAGCACGTACTGGCGGACGGATAAGGTGGTCATACCATATCTGTCATGGGGGATACCGCCGAGTTTGGGGCTCTTGCCTGTAAAGAAGGACTTCCACCAGGGGGCACCCCGCTTTCGCGCATGGTGAGTTGCCCAGTCGACCAGCTCAGCAGTGTTCTCATCAGGACCCATGAAGAGGATCTCATCCCGTCCGTGGCGGTCGACGATGGGGTCTTTGATACCAGGGCTGGCGGGCGGGAGGAGCAGGTCGAGGATACTGTCGATGTATTTCTCAAAGGCCACTCTCGCCTTGTCCTGATGGTTGACGTCGAGCAGGATAACACCCTTGGCGCCGCCTTCGGGGATATCCTTGTTCTTCCGCTGCTGGGTATTGGCCAGGTTGTAATTTTCATCAAATAGCGAGCGGGCATTGATGGCATAGGCTTCCTTGTCACGACTCTTGACTATCCGGATACCGCCACGGGAGATATCGCGGAAACGGAGATGGAAGCCGCGGAACTCAGAGCTAATGATAAGGAACATTCCGTACAGGCGCTGGGGGTATTCGTGTTCGGGCAGGAAATCCGCGTTGAGACGGAAACTGAGAGCGACTTTGGTTGGGGTGTAGAAGTTAGTCTTGAGAACCGCAGCGTTGAAGACACGGAACGAGTTCATGACCATCTCGTCATTCTCGCTGACCACGGTTTTGGAGATCAGCTCGTCGAGGCGGTCGTGGTCCAGGGGCTCATCTACCTGCAGACGCAAGTAGCTGAGCGTGGGGAGGAAGTCATCGGGCACTCCCTCAACCATCTGAACGTAATGCGTTGTGGCGAAATCAAGGTACAGCTTGTGGATGAGTTGGGGGTATTTGTTGATTATCTCAAGGATATAGTCTGAGGTGAAGGTTTCGGTACGAAGTCTCTTCTTGATCTTTGAAAGGAGCTCAGCGTGTGAGCTATTGCTCGAATCGAGGAGGGCGGTTAGGGAGGTGTATTCGGATCCCAGGCGGTTCAGGAACTGCTGCACGAACACCCATACGCAGTGGGCGTAGATAGTTTCTTGTAAGCTAAGACGGCCACTGGCGAAATGGCTCTGGAACTTGTTTTGAGGAATGCAGTACAGCAAGGAGATCTCCTTCATGATCTGATGGATCGCAGCTTCGATGGGTGGGTATTTCCCGGAGATTTCTGCGCCTTCCATGGGTTTCAGGTAGAGAGAGACTACAGTGATACCATTGGAGAAGTTCTCTAGGTACTTCCGCGAGCTTGTAAGGCGGTAGTAGTGGTAGAGGTCAGACAGGGCGCTGAACATGCCCATAGCGGAACCCTGGCGGTACGCGATCACCAGTCTCTTTTCACGGCTGCCTTCAATCTCAAACATCTCAATGACAGGGCCAGATCTAGCCACAGCATTGATAATGATCTCCTGGTAGATGGCCTTTGTGTTGGCGGTAGCCTTTTGCAAGAAGCGCTTCTCACCCACAATTTCAATATTCGTCTCCTCCGGGTCCGGATGCGGCTCGCTGAAGTGACACTTGTAGACGAAGTAGCAACGCAGCTGCTGCTCATGGTTATCTGGAAGGGAGCTGGCGGAACGGAAAGTTTCCACACGATAGGCGTTCTTCGGGGTGGAGCCATTGATGTATTTCTCGTCGATGCGCTGTTCATACCGCGGCCCGTCGATGGCGCTTATTCCAGGCTTGCTAGTGTCGATGTAGACAGCGTGGTCGGCAGCCTCCTTATCCAACCTGATCTCCAGACGCTTATCATCACGGGCATATGCGGCCACCTTGGCGGCGTAGAGGGAGAGGATATGGCTGACGATGGCGTCGACGGTCTCGGTTTGGAAGTACATGTCGTCGATGCCAAGCATGTTGTAGAACCAGTTGGTTTCCGACGAGACGAATTCGATCGGGATGAATCCCTTCTCCTCGAGCTGGTCCATAACTATTTATAATTGTAAATGCTTTAGCCAACTGTCATAGCTGTCAAAGAAACCTATGGCATTCACTGAATGAATAAACGAATAAGCAAGTAAATAAAATAAACTCACCAGCCTCCATCTGCTTCTTCTTCCCCTCAAACTTCGCCGCAACATACCCCGGCCCTTCCTCCGACAACACGCGGTGCGTGCCGCCTGGAATACCCAGATGCGTAGGCTGGGGCGACGGCTGACGGCCCGGAGTGCGGATGACCATATCCAACTGCTTGTTGACGAGGGGGTGTCTCTGGAAGCCGGTGGTGGGGGTTCCCGCGCCGGAGCCCTCCTTGGAGGAGAGCGGAGTGGCGGCGGGTCTCGAGAACATGCTCACGCCGTTGGAGGCGGTCGACTTGGGCTTTTGGCCGTCCGTCAATGCCGTTGCGGCGGCGGGGAGATCGATGTTGGGAGTGGTGGCGGGGTTGACCGTTGCGGGCTGGGAAGACATGGTGGATGTGTTTTGGGGGGGGGGGGGGGGGGAAGGCTTGTAGTTCTCGGTCTCTTTTCTTTTTTATATTTTTTCTGTTTTCTCTTGGCGGGATATACAACGATTATTTCAAGGTGGAAGACTGGCTGCAGTGATTGGCATGGGAAGAGGAAGTTGATCAGGCTAGATAGAGAGTTGGGATAGAGAGATGGACGTGAAGTAGAGAACAAGAAGACAGCTGAGATAGGAGATAGCTACAGCAGCTGGATGGATCTACACAAATAGCAGCAGCAGATGGGAGAATTGGAGGACACTGGAGGAACAAGGAGAAGAGTCGGGGAGCGAGGGGAACCAACTGCCATCAGATAGAAAGGGGGATGTTATTGTTTGATCGGAGGCATTGAAATGCGGGAATGCAGCCGAAGAGAGATATTGTAGATAACTAACTTATTTCAAAGAGTAGTTATATAACTAATCGATCTGGCCATCTGGGGAGGTGGAGGAAAAAATAAAATAATTGAAATAACTGAAAAATAACTGAAATAAAAGGAAAAAAAAAAAAAAAAAAGAAGAAAAAAGAGCTGAAAAAATATATAGAAGTGAAAATATATATATATTTTGTGAGATGTGTCAAATGTGGAGGGAACACACACACCCCCCGGTATTTTATTCGATTTGCTAGGTACAGTACATACATACCTAGGCTTAGTTACAGGTTTACCGAGTTAAAAAAAAAAAAAATTACGTTGGTGCACACCTGAAGCTGAGTCAAGTGACCCGTAAAACAAATACCAACTCTGTACCGCCCCCCCCAAAACGGCGTAATTTATCCCGCGGTATACGCCGGTTGGAGGGTACAGTACTCCGTAACCGTAATGGCAATACACTCCCCATCGCCCGCCCCAACGGCCAATCACGGCGGTTGGCTGGTTGCCAGCAAACCAGGCGGCGGCGGAAAGCATCGGTTGAAGTGGGGTTGGGGCGGGGTTTGCGAGGGGCGGGGGGGGGCGCTCGGGCAAATTAGCAAATTACGCAACCACAGCTGCCAAGGATGCTATTGGAAGGACTGGTTAGTCAGGTGGTGAGGGAATTATTTTCTTCCTGGCTCCGAAAAAAAATCAAATTACAGATCTCCACGTTTCGTATTTTGCGTACGGCGCTGTACGGTACGGTACGGAATACACGACACCGCCATTCAAAGGGCCTGGGCCAAACCGGCTCAGCGGGGCTCAGCGCGGGGGGGAGGAAGAGGAAGAGGAAGAGGAAGAGGAAGAGGAAGAGGATGGGGAAGAGGAAGAGGCAAGCTGGAAACTTCAAACACCAACCAACAAACAACACACTGGTTTTATTTTTGGTGAAAATGGTAATAATGTAATGATGATGCTACCTCCATCCCATGGCGCAACGGGGAAAATGGCGAACGGTCAGGAGAAACTCGGTTGTTATTTTCGGATATTGGGGGGGCCACTGGGTTCCTCTATGTTTTGACGTTGACTTGACGTGGAGGTGGGGGGAAGTGTGCTTATCAGAATAATAATAAATAAATAAATAAATAATATGGAGAAGAAGAAGCATGGCAAAACATGGAGAAAGATTCCTCTCAGATCTGATATCTCAATAATGAAACAGCATCATCTATCATCATCTCCATCACCCCCTTGAGATTCCTCCCTGACCACACGGCAATACAATAATACCACACAATCCCAACAGGATCAGATCCCGCCCCTACCCTTACCAGCACCTTTCCCCGCCTCAACCTCAACCTCAACATAATCAGATCAATAATAATAATCAATCATCAATTATTGGGTAGTTACAGTAATGCAAAAAAAGTCTCTGCTGACCACGGGGTCCAAAAAAAAAAAAAAAAAAAACGAACCCCGTGCCTCTTCCCAAACGTGAGCCAGCAGCTACAATGCCGCCTAGACCAATAACTACCGCCGGAAAAAAGCAAACAGACAGGCCCATCTAGGCATGATATATGATATTGGTTGGGGTGAGGAATGCTCTGTACATGTACATACATAGTACTCCGTAGTAACATTGATACATCGTATATCCCAAGAAAGAGGATAGATACTGACTGACTCTACTCCGTACATCCCTCCCTACCTAGTAACTTTAGGCTACTGGGGCAAAAGAGCTCAGTCACCACCAGCGCACTGCTGGTAGAAGGGCCGATCAACCCCCGGGACCCCAACAGTACCTAACTACCCGCCCCACGTGACAAGCGCCAAGTCTCCAGTGACCGGGGGGAAAACGGTGGAAGCGCTCGGCAAATAAGAAATCTCCATGTTGAAAAAAAAAAAAAAAAAAAAAATCCCCCTAGTTGCCCGAAACGGAATGGGATGATACGGTATCATGGAAAACATTGTTGTCAAATTCTTCTTTGCCCGCCAGGAGATGTGCTGTGTGATGTCATGCTGCCGTGTGCGAGGGGTTGAGGGGAAAGGGGAAGGGAAAGGGGAGGGATGGTCGGCGATCCTTGTTCAGGTGGTACCACCGCCGGGTAGGAAGGGGGCGGGGATGATGTGATGATGCTGGTGATGCGATGGGGAACTTTTGAAGGAGAGGCCGGGCAGACGACGCTGACATCAGAAACAGGAGGAACCTGAAGACATAGAACAAAAACATATGACATATGACTCAGGCGCAAGAATATATATATTCGGAAGCTGGAACGCCCTTCATTGACGGACGATTAAAAAGATCGATGTGACGAGGAGAATGAAAAGAAGACCGTTGCCCGGAGGCGAAGTGCTCAATGTGTAAGTCCTATCGCGGATCATGGAACAGCGACTTGACTGAATTTTACAGGTTTTGCAGAACCTCTTCGCATCCAGTCCTTGATGGATGACAGTCCTCGATGGATGAGGGTGACGAGATGTGTTATTATGAGAGGAAGACAGGAAGGGCGCAGCAAATTAACTACTCAGAACCGGGTTGCATGGATGGAAGCACAAACCACTATGCATTTTAGTCCTCTCGCTGGATGATATATGATGTATGCATGATTTCGGAAATCTACCATGGGGGAAATATGGGGAGTGAAGGACTGAATGTTGGAGCTGTGCACTGCGACTGTTTTCTATGGTAGATAGGTTCAAGATGACAGACAGTGTTGGCCTGAGAGGAGGAACTTGAAGGGCAGACAGAGGGAGGAGGAATGAGACATCATCGACGAGTGGACGAGGTTAAATACAACAGCTCTCTCTCTCTCTCTCTCTCTCTCTCTCTCTCTCTCTCTCTCTGTGTGTGTGTTGTGTGTGTGTGTATATATATACCAAGCAAGAGCTCTACGCATGTTCTTTTTACAATGTCTCACCAGTTCGCGGTTTGACCTAATATCGTTTATTTATGTGGAAAAGATGGGAACTGATCAATTGAGAGATGTGGGCATTATGGGATGACGGTGATCCATCCATCCTCTCTCTATATATATACTGTTATACATTATACAGAGGCGGAAGAAACGGGAGTTGATTTTGATAGTTGAGTGACAGTTCGTCTGATTTAGTTACTCTATATATCAAGCGGCCCATCGTCATCGTTGATTGTAGGAGGTTACTGTTCAATCAACAGTAGAATGTCATAGTTCCCCAGTCCGCCCCACCTAATTTTTTCTCTTCGAAATTCTGTACTCCGCATTCTTTATTTTTTCTTCTCACAGTCAACTTCCAGCTTCAATAACGCTGAAAGGAAATCAAGGCTGGCAGAGAGAGAGAGAGTGAGAGCCGATTGCATGCAAAAGACATGAAAGCAAAACAGACATCTCCTTTTCCAAGCTTTGGTATTGGCAAGCGGGGGGCCCGAAAAAACCCCTTCTTCCCTTCCCTTCCTCCGCCTAGGGATAATACACAATAATACATCCCATCATCAGCTAGTTAGTTAGACCCCACTATGACCTATAACAAGATCCCCTTCTCGAATCTCCGGCATCATCATATCATCCCTCGTTTCTTCTCTAGTCTCGCCCCATCTTCGGGTGAGTGGAGTATATAGACAGACCTCCGCCAACAAGTTTACACGCAAGAAAGAAAGACAAAAAAAAAAGCCAAAGAAAGAAAAACCAAGAAACTTCCCTACTATTTGCCTTGTTGCCGGGCACCCTCGCCCCCCCGACCCGCCGGCATCCGTTCTCCGCCTTTTCCGAGTCTCGGCTCCAAGTCTCCAAGGCAAGCTGCTGGAGAGAGAGGGAGCACTGGCGAGTGCTAGCTAATTTGACGCTTACCCGAGACTTGACTCGACTCGACTCAACTCTTGGGGACGGGGATGGATCGGGAGCTGAGGGAAGCCGATTGCAAAAATTGAAATAATAATAATTTAATATGTAAAAATAAACTATAACTATATATCAATGTAAATGAAAAACGATTACAGTTGAATAATAAAGAGATAACTTACATCAGAAGATAGAGAAAATGCGTGACTCTTCCTCAATATATCTCAAGGTTTTCTTTTTTGACATATTCTTAAGTTATTGTGTACCTTTTATCAATCTCACTTGTTACCCTTAATATACATATACATACATACATATATACATATATATATATATATATATTACTATGGTGGAGTACACATAACTGCATTAAATTTATCCACAGAAGACTTTGCTGCTGCGCTTGTTTCAAAAATACCTAGCAGATTATCTATCTTGACCTGTGAATATTTAACACAGTAAAGAGAAATGAGTAGTATGTTTGTTGCGCTGGTATCAGAATTGCTGATACACAGCATGCATATGAGCTTGCCTTTTTTCTAACATTTCATCTTGATCTATGTGTACTACTTCCCTCTTTTCTTTTTTCTTTTTTCCCCAGCGAAATTGGCCAGGGAAATAAATAGAAAGAAAAAGCAACCTCAATATTCACATTATCAGTTCTTCTCCCCTTTCGCCTGTCGCCTGTCGAGGCGTCAAGCAACCAGTGGCCGCCGGTCCACATAAGTCGACTTATCCACAGAGCTTTTGGATAACTAGAGGTTATATTGGATGCTGAGGTCAGCCGTAAAGGTCTCTCTGCTCTGGCTCCGGCTCGGGCTGCTGCCTTGCGTTGCTAGTAGGGTATATCGTCTTTATCACAGTAAGTAACTACTCATTCAAACAATAAACAAAACGCATCTGTTCCCCAGGTGGGAAAATGAACACAACCAATACACTGCAAACCTGGAGGTGAAGAGATCACGCTGGTGTGAAGCGGTGTGGCCATTGGATTTTGATATCTGTCTCATTCTCATTTTTCTCTTTCCTCCTTCTTTCAGTATTACGTACGAATTATATCATCGGCACAAAATGTGATAGTTGTAGAGCACGTAAGAATGCCCGAAAACCAAAGATGTTAATATTAGATAGGGGATCAACGTAGGTATTTCTGTACCAGAAGAGAAGGTCAAAAGATAAAAGATAGACGATTCTTTTGACAGGCCGACATGAAGGCCCCCCCCCCCCCCCTTTTTTTTTTTTTTTTACTTTTTGGATTGAGGGGGAAAGTTGGGGGAGAACAGGCCTGGACCATGGCCAAAGAGAATATCGAGATTTATATTGTGGTTGGGGAACTCTTCGATATATTTTTCTTTTTTCTTCTTTTTCCTTCAAGAATTGTTGGGAACTCAGGAACTGAGCATGGAATGGTGTTTGTCACGATTGGGCTGAAAAGATAAAGAAAGAAAGAGAGGTGTTTAGAAACATGGGCATTGAAGCTGTTCAAATTCTATCTATAAAGGATGCTGAGCAAGCAAGTTTTGACGCGGACTCCGCCCCTATTAACTTGACTAAATATCTCCAGCTCGCACCAGCATTTCTACCCCTGAACAAGCCGCCGCTCGGGCGCTTCCCGTTTACCAACCCAATGGCAGCCTGACATGTCCGCGCTTGAGGTTGTGTGGACGGAGCAACAAGCACGTAATTATTAACTAATCAACGTCGCTCCATAACGTATTATTAATCAACAGTTGATATTCATGTGGTCGAACTTGGGAAATGCAGCGCATCTTGGGGCCTTTGGACGGAGGCGGCAGCGAGGAGGGAGCTCGCCTTCGGAGCCCGGAGGTAGAGGAGCGTCATGTCATGGACCTTGGAATGCTCTCTCCACTTCGACAAACAATGTGGTTTTCCAGAGAGTAGATTTGCATGTGTGTTCCAAGAACACTAGATATTCGGGGAAGGGGTAGAAGGTATAAAGAGGCGGGCGAGTCGCACTCAAATGGGGATAAAATAACATATCTATCACAGAGCTTTATACCCCTCCTCTGCTCTCACCACAGTGACAGTGTACAACTACTACCTACCGAATAGCCCACAATGCCCACCTACCTCCTAACTCTCGCAACCGGCCAACAAGCCCGCCTAACAGCCAAGCACCTCCTCGCCGCCGGCGCCACAGTGCACGCCGTCGTGCGCGACCCAACCTCCCAGGCCGCCCGCAACTTCGCCAGCGCAGGCGTCAAGCTCTTCAAAGGCAACCTAGACGAGCCAGACGTCTTCCGCAAAGCCGCAGAGGGATGCACTGGCGTCTTCCTAAACCTCGTCCCGGCCTCCCCACCAACACCCTCAGCCACTTCCACCTCTGACCCCGCAAACACGAACCCGAGCGCGAGCATCGTCGACTCCGAACGACAGCGCGCAGCCTCCATCCTCGCCGCGTGCCACGACGCCGGCGTGAAATACGTCGTCGCCTCCACGGCGATATACACCGGCGACCGCCACCTGTGGGATACGCCCGAGGCGGAGGCGATCGGGTATCACTATTCGCGCTCGAAGGCTGGAATAGAGGACGCGGTACGAAGCTCTGGGTTGAGCGGGGGCTGGACGATCCTGCGCCCGGGGTGGATTATGTCAAATTACCTGGTGCCGGTGTCGCCCTTTGTGTACCCGGAGCTGCCGGTGGAGGGGCTGTTGAAGCATAGCTATGAGAGCGGGGCGGGGTTTGAGCATGTGGATGAAGAGGATGTGGGGAAGTATGCGGCGGCGGCGCTGTTGGAGCCGGAAAGGTTTGTCGGGAGAGAGATTACGCTTGCGAGCGGGTGGTTGAGTGTGGAGGATGTGGCGGCGGAGATGAGCAGGGTTAGTGGGCGGGAGGTGAAGGTGTCGAAGCGCACGGCGGAGGAGCAGAAGGAGGCTGTGAGAAAGGGGAATCTGGCGCTCGAGTTTGAACTTTGGGCGAGTCTGGTTGGGGATAAAGTGCATGAAGCGCGCTGGAAGGCGAAGGGGTCAAAGCCGCCGGAGGAGGAGTTTGGGATCCCGTTGACGGGATTTGAGGAGTATCTGCAGCGGGAGAAGGAGGTACTTCTTCGGTCTCTTCCAACCGTGTAGCTATCGCATGATTCCTTAACAGCGGCCGCCCGCAAGGAGCTCTGCAGAATGTTCCCTGTTCCCCCGGTCCATAGCCATAGCTTCCTTTGTCCTATCTAGACAAGACCGGATGAAACCGATATATGAACCCAATATCAAAAATAAAAATAAAAATAATAATAAAAAATAATAAAAAATCTCATGGTTTCACATGCGCAAATGTAAATTATTATTATTATTATTATTATTATTATTATTTTTTCCCGTTGTACGGAGCACCCACCTGCATCAAGCGCATCAATCAACGTTTCACATGAGAATCATTTTTAGGAATCATGAATAGTTAAGTTAGTTTTTACCTGGGATATGATATGTATGGTATGTATCGAATGGCCAATCAATCCCCCACCCCACCACACCCCTTAAAAAGCAAGCAACCATCCCGTCCGTCCCGTCCCCGTTCCACCCCGCCCAAGCAAATAAATGAACGGACGAGTAAATAAAATAACAACATTCCTATCCGACTAATAGCCTAATTCCCGCCCTGGTGTCGTATCTTATATATATTCCATCCCATCTCGTCGCATCCTCCGACGGTCGTACAAGGGAGCCCCGGCATCTGTGTGTGTGTTGTTGTTGTTGTTGTTGTTGGGGGCGGGGGGGCAGGGTGTTTGGTATAATAATGAAATATTCTCAAGTGCTACAAACCGGGACAAAAGACAGACGGGGGTGAGGAAAAGGTATCGTAAAGGAAGGTGGGTGGGTGGGTTTCCTTCATTATTATTATAGTCAGAATTCGCATCGTAAATAAAATATTATTACCTTAGATGCAAGCAAGGCACAAGACACGAGGCAACCTTGGAAGGATCTGATCCTGGAACGGGGATTTCAAACGCGCAATTTCCCGCAGAGCTTCTAGAAGCCCGCTTAGCGCGCGGCACTAGCAGGGGAGCGGGGCAGGGCGGCGGCTGTTTAGTGTGTTCGCATCTTGGTTTGACGAGACGCGGCGGTGGTTGCATTATTATTATTGGGGGTTTCTTGGGTTTTTATTTTCTTATTTCCCCGGACTTTCTTTGCTGACCACGGCTTGGGCCAGAGAGCTGGAGCTGGAGCTGGAGAGAAATTGCAGGGTTACATTTTATTTTATTTTGATTTTGGACGGGGAGGTTTATCCTTTTACTGCGTATTTGTTCCCGTAGGTAGCCACGGAAGTAAGGACATATATTAAGTTAATTAATTATGTTTCTTTCTCTTTCTGCTTGTTGGTCGGGTAGCAGCTTGACAAGGGGCAAGGTTTCTTTATTAATATTAATAATTATTGACTTAACTTACTCCATGCTATTTAGGATGATTACTACTCCGTTGCTGTTACTTCAGCCAGCTCTCCTCCCGTCTTCCGTCCGCCCTTCCGTCTTCCCCACAACAGCCACATGGGAAAAATACATAATTGCAGCCCGCTGATCCTAAGTGAGATTCTACCGAGCTTCTGCTGAGATTTTTGTTGGGGTGGCACTGCGAGTGAGTATGCAGCTCGGTCGAGAGACTTTGCTTGGTTTGGTGATTATAAGACGTTCCCAAGTGGAAAAGGAGAAGAAAGAAGACAAGACGGAGAAGATGCCACTCACTGTGATGTGATCACTACAGAGAACTTCCGGGCATTATTGATTGGTTCTAGTCAATTGGCACAAACGGTTGTTCTCCTGTGCCTGGCCTCTTTGACTTGTTTCTTCTTTCTTTTCTTTTTTTCTTTTTTTCTTTTCTTTTTTTCTTTTTTTCCTTGTTTTTTTTTTTCTTTTTTGCTGATTATGCCTTGAACCAGAGCTCCGGGATAAAATGGAGTGCTAGCAAGGGCCGACTCCAGATATAGCCTATCATATTAGTTAGGTCAACTAACTAATTACTGCGGACGGATGGATATCTGTCATGAGTTCCGAAAACGGAGGAAGGATACAATCGATCCGCCTGAGGATGGGCCTGACAGGTTGGTTAGGCTGTTTGATTCCGCTGTTCCCCGGCCCATCTATCGGATAGGCATGGACTTGGGCCTCCTTTTGGGGGTGAAGGGAGAAAAAAAGAAAAGAAAAGAAGAAAAATAAAAATAAAAATAAAATAAAGAGAGAAAGAAAACACAGGACGGAGTAAGCAGTTGGGAACAGGGTATGTATGTATGGGGAAACCGGGGAAACAAACCTCCCTCCTCCCACAGAAAATAAGCCAGTCATCGGTGACACAGACAGACACAGGAAAGGCCCAAACGAAAAAAAAAAGAAGACACGTAACTAGAGAAGAGGAACAAGGCAACAACCGAGGACTGACGAGCAGCGCGACGCTGACAATTAACTATCATCCTAGTGAGTTTGGTAAGCTGGTTAAATAGTTTGGTCTGGTCTTGCTTGTCGGCGTTTGACGGTGGGCTTCAGTTATTTTATTTATTTATTATTCTTTTTTATTATTGATTGATGATGAGCTGGCACCAAGGTCTCGGGTCAACGGGGCCTCCTTTCAAGCGCCTTCATCCAACCCTTAAACACAACCAACCATGGCTGGCATCCATTAATTTATTAGTAGTTACTGCGTACTGCGTAGTGAGGCGAGACCGGGGCATCATCAACTTTTTACCCAAAACAGACCCTTGGAAAACCCTGGTTAAAAAAGGGGAAAAAGAAACAAAGACAAAGGGCGGTCGCGTGGTCCTTTTTCTTTTTTTCTTTTCTTTCTTTCCCCGGATATTAGCGATTGGCATTTATTTTTCTCAACTGGCGATCCGCCAATGGTCGAATAATAAGGCATGGATGTATGCATGCAGAATTGGATCCAACCTGCAGGAGTTGAACAACGATGATGCTATACCAGGTCATATCACATTTTGATCTGTATTACGCTGTAACGCCGTCTGGTGTCTGCTGTTGGGGCCACATTGCTATTTAATATTGGGGGTGGGTTGGTGGGATACTACTATCCAAGCATGGCTGCCAGAACAAAGAGAGAGAGAAAAATCCAAGGAAAAGGGACAAGACAGACAGAACAGGCATCCATCCCATCCCATTCTCAGCAGCCCCCCAGGCTAGCTAGTTAACGAAATCACTGCGCGACAACCTGACTAGACTACTACTAGAGCTACGACCCTGTACTAACTGAAGGAAATAAATAATAATAATAATGTGAGCCCGCCCTTAGACGTGCTTCCCAGGGGACGGAACAGGGCTGCGGAACAGGTGGAAAGTGGATATGATATCAACAATAATCAGGCTTGAGACGGATCAGAGCAAGGAGGAACTTCAGGTTTCGGGTCTCAATTGTTACAGGTTCCAGCTGAACAAACAAGGCCTGCGAGGGAGGTGTATGAGGCGTATGAGGTTGTATGAGGTGTATGAGGTAGGTATAACGAAGTGCCTGGCCCTGGGAAGCTTGGAACACAGTCGCAGTTCCAGCCCTGACTCTGATTGAGGCGAGTGAGTGATAACTACTCTAATACCAGAAATTGTTTTATTTTTTGTATGTGTGTAGTTAACTAATAACTAGCCAACCGAACCTCCAAGCTTCCCTGATGAAGGCTAGTTAGTAGTAGTAGTATATTGGGTTAGTGATATACGGAGGAGCGTGTTTAGTTACACAGGGGATGAAACCCAATACAACTCCGCTTAACTTATTATTATTATTAACTAGCGAAGTGACCTCAGGAAGAAAGAAGGCTTTACCCCGGTTTTTTGTGTTCGTCTGTTTAAGTTGCTTTTTTTTCTTTTCTTTTTCTGCGGTCTGGGCTGCATTGCATCGTTGGGCGATCACCTTTTCTGGGCCTGTTTGCCGGCGTAAATGGTATTTATTCTTCTTATATATGGAGCCAACCGCCGGCGTTGGGCTTCTTCTTGATTTCTTTTTCTTTTTCTTTTTCTTTTTCTTTTCTTTTTTTCCCCATTCTTTTATATATCATTCTTTATTCTTTTCTTCCTTTTATAACATCTTCTCATTCTCATAGTTACTCACTTCTGGTACTGCTTACGATCGTTAAGCTACAATACCTTACTACTTACTGTCCAGCTTAGAAAATATCTATCGGACACTCGCTTCCCAATTTTACTTGACTCGACTATCAAAAACCCATCTATACAACCAACATATATCGTCTTCTCTCCTCCCTAATCAATAAATACAATATTAACACCGGAAACCAAACCCAACCCCCAAACCGAGAAGAGATAGACAGTAAGTAAAGGAATTTCGTTTTCCCTGGTCCTTAATACCCCCTCGTTCTCGCATTCAGTTTCCCTTCTCCGGGTTGCGAGGCGAGCCTCGGCTCTTGTGCTCCATCGATCTGTGAGCCAAGGCAGCTCGATATATCTGGAGCAGACCATCATCGACGACGAGGAAGAAGATAATGGCATGGAAAGGGAGCTCCGGGGTTGGCGAGGACTGGACACGTGTGGGGAAATACATGAAAAAAGAAAAAAAAAAGAAAAAATATCATGTGCAAAAGCCGCGGACATGGAAATATGTCTATCTACACACTTATCTATGCCGTATACATATGTATACACACACTCCTGGTTCTTTCAGTTCGTTGCTAACGGAATTCCGGCGCCCATCAACATAGTATAGCATAGCATAGCGTACAGCTTAGCCAAATATCCATATACATCACATCATCCGCCTCTCGAGCTTCAGACAAACAATACACCGGCAAACGGTAAACGATAAACGACAATCTCGTCCATCGAACGGATTAGAGAGAGCCAGAAGTACCCGTTGAATAGCAAATATCAAACAAAGGTCATATAAACAAAACACAACTCGATTTTCAATAATTGTTCACTTCCACCCCCGAACCAAACAAGGCATCCTCCTCTCTCTTCTTCCCCCCAACCCGGGAAATATATAAAAAACAATAGGGGAAAAAAAGGAAGAGGAAAGAAGCATTAAAAAAAAACATAACATAACATAACATAACATAAACCAATGCCGGCCACCATGTCCCAATCCTACCAACATATCCTCTCCCCAATCCCCTCAAAGTCCACCCTCGTCAAGGGCACAGGCACAGACACAGACGGCACCACCACCACCACCGGCGCCACCAGCACAACCAAAACCACCAACAACATCAACGGCATAAACGCATCAACCTTCATCCAAGAGATCTCCCGCGCCATGCAAGCCTCGTCCTCGCAGCAACCCAAGTACGCCGCGTACCCGTACCTGATGGACGATGGGGTTGAACATCCGCCTCCGCCGCCCCCGTCGCCCGTGGGGTGGTCGAGGTCTTGAATTGATAAATCGGATTTGCTTTTGGGGGGACAAGAGGGGCGTGTTTTGTTTTTTTTTTTTTTTTCTTTCTTTTCTTTTCCTTTCTTTTTTCTTTTTCTTTTTCTTTTTTTTCCCTCATTTCATTTCTTTTTGTTGTTTTCCCTGTTTTAATCTCTTTTCTTTTCATTCCCCCCCCCCCCCCCCCTTTTTTTTTTTTTTTTTTCTCCTTTGTTTGATCATACCGATTGGGATTTTAAGGCGTATGTATTCTTTTATTTTGCTGTTCTTTGCGGGATTCGTTCACATGAAACGTATAGACAGGTAAATATATATATAGACAGGACTCGGGAGGATATCACTGGGCGTATTTGCTTTTGAAGATTTGATAATTTTCTCTCTCTCTCTCTTTTCCCCTGAATTTTTTTACTTTTATTATTTTTTTTATCCCTAGGTTTTTCTCTCTTTTTTCCCCATTTTCTTTTCCTACAGTGCAGCTCTTCTATTCTACTATGGTGTGGGTGTTGGCAAGGGTCAGGGGTGTGCTTATCACTCTCACGCACTCTACTACCCGCATTCTGCCATATATCTACCTTTCTCCTCAAGGGATAGCATGTCCTGTTAACTTCATACATTATATAGTTACCACCATTTAATCCAAAACCCTCTCCTACTTAAATAGGCGCGAAAACAGTCCCTCAAAGTGTATTTTCTTTTCTCCTTTTTCGACAATGTCGTTGTGGACTAGTTTAGTTATCTGGTAGTTCGAGCCTGGTTTTTTTTCTCCCTATGTCATGCCCTTTGTTGCCCTAAATCCTTGGCATCGGCACAATAGGCAACAGCGGATGGATAGGCCTGGCCTTGTAAATCACCTTCCGCACGCATGTCGGGTACTTGTCTGCACATGCACTGTCAGATTGCCATGGGATGAACAGTTAAATTTCCGTAGACGGAGGTATTATTACATTTTGCGAGTACGTTTGGTCCATAACATGGATCACCCGGCCTGGCGCTACAACGTGAACAGTCGCGACAGGGGCACCCAGCCCAGTGGCAGGGTGGCGGTGCATTTCAGCAACGTTTCACAATAGCCAAGCTCCCCGGCCAGTCGACGGAGGATACTCGCCTATTCCATCGTCTCTTTTCGTGCAATGTACAGAGTACGGAGAATCTCCTTCCGCAAACTCCGTCATTGGACATCGGATCGCTCATCCGCCCGATCCACCGCCGGCATTTGAAGGAGATTGCCTGTCTTCTGGTTGCTGCGGCGCATCAACATCAACCTCCATCCCCACGGGGCCCCGACGGCCTTGTCGTCGAGATATCTGACTCCCGCATCTGCTCCTGCTCCTGCTCCTGCTCCTGCGTCGGCACCGCTCCCACTGGGCCCTCCGCACGCGCATAAATATCCTCCAGCTCCCTCAACGCGTTCACATCACCTTGCAACACGCGTCGATTAAGCAGCTCCAGCTCCGCAATCTGCTCGCCCGTGCGCGCCCAGCCGCGCAGCTTGGCCTCGAAGTTCTGGTTCCGCTTTTGGGAGAATGTGGTGCGCACAACGTCTGACTCGCCTTTGGCGCATTTGGCGTTCATGAGGCGTTCGAGGAAGAGGGCTTGGTTTGTGGATGGGGCGCGCGGGGCTGCTGTTGTTGTTCGTGTTGTTCCGGCAGTTGCCATCTTCCCAGGCGTGGGGGTATCAATATCACTGGTCTTCGGTATCTCAGAGGAGCTGGGGATTAAGTTCGCTTTTTGGCCTAGGATCTTAACGCGATTGGCGGAGATGAGGTCGTAGTCTGGATGTTGTCGGAGGCGGGGAAGCGTGGAACGTTCCTCGGGCATTGAGAAGGTCATCTCCGTCCCGACCAGGTCGACCCATGAACAGGAGAAGATCTGGTTCCGGTAAGAGATGATTGGGTTCTTGGAATGTAGATCCATGATTTGAACCTGGTCTTGGTGTTGGTGTTGGTCGTGGTCTTGGATGTCTGGATCAGAGTCGGCAGGGCCGTTGTCTTGCTGCTGATCGTCACCGCCATTTTGGGCTGCGGCATGAGGGGAGTCTAATGATGTGGTGGGTTCGGTGGGAGTAGATGTAGTGCGCTTCCGCGGGGCTCGAATGGGGCCATTGCATGTCGTCAGGTCGAGGTTTAAGTAGAAAGTCTGGATGTAGCAAAGTGTATTAGTAGGCGGCGGTCGTTTCTAAATATTTGATGGACCGGCAAAAACCAGGGTGATTTTTCCAGACAGGGATATTATTATTATGAATTGAGGATTACACACACCTCTTTCGCGTTATAATCATATTCATATTCATAGTCAGAGTCAGAATCGTCTGATGCGACCATTCTTGAAGTCTGGTCCTGAGAGCGTGGAGGTTGAGTCGAGCACGCGTTTCACTGTTCGCAGAGGGAGGGCAAATGAACGGAGGCGACGATCTAAAATGGCAGCATCGAAGCTTAAGTCACCTAGACAGCCATGCGAGTAGCAGTTAATTTCCGTAGCTGCTTGGTCTTATATATATATATATATATATATATATATATATATATATATATATATGGGGTATCGTATCTGGCCGGCGGGGAATGTTGTTCATGAAGCTCGTCGAGGCATAACTATATATGGACGCGAAGGATGACATAAGCAGTCGAACAATGAGGTCATCGACAAGGGAAAGAAAGTAGAAAGGACAAAAGAAAATAAAGGAACTAAAGGAAAAAGAAATATGAGGAAAATTAAGAAAAAGGAAGAAAAGAAGTCAATAACTTGGTCAAATGGAAGAAGAATATTCATATTTGGATATATCCGGGGGGGATTGAATTAGTAGTGCTGCTCTATAACTATATAAAGATATCATTTGTAGCCATGGATGGAACTTCCTCCGAAATCCGAAAATGAAGACCAATTCAATTAGCTGCTAGCTCTTTGATAGTTAAATACCATTATAAGAATTCTAGTTTTAAACAGCTCGAATAATAGAATTGGAAGCCCTTGTTTTGTAGCAACCGCTCTGAGCTCTTCAGATCGAGGATCGAAGATTCCCAGCTGCGGCGGCTGAAACAAACCTGCATTATTTATTCATCTCCAACATCTTCCATCCATCCATCCATCCATCCATCCATCCGTCCAACTTCTGGTATCACTCATCACTCACCCACAACATACACACACAACTCTCTCTTCTCTTCTCTCCCTCCCTCTATCTCTCTTACTCACTCACACACAACAAACGTCTTAACAACCAAGGTCCAACAACAAGAACATCTGCAACGTGATCAAGCGCCCTTCACTGTCACACTAAATCTCATGGCTGATATTCTTTCTGGAATCAATAACCTCATCCTCTTGGACTCTCTATATCCATTCTTCCGTCTTACCGTTGTTCCTTAAGGTTCATGTACATGTACTTCACTACCAGCCCTAAGGTATACATACCCTCCTATGACTCCCGGCGAATATATCCGTCCGCACTAATAACTTTCAATCTTTTACTGCAGAGGCGGGTGAGCTTAACTGAGAATCCTCTTTCTTTGCATTGCCGTTGGAAACTGTACGAAGACCACCACAGCTGCTGCTAACCATTCCGCCGTCCGCTCCCTCTCAACCGAACCTTTGCGAGATATATTTGACCAGAAGTAGGTTGCTCTTTCATACTGCTACATAGTGACCCCCCCCCACATTCTTCCCATTGGTCAGCGAATTCTCTGATTATGAACCTGTTCTGCGTTGATTTCTAAACTTCGGGCTTGCGGCTCTGCCCGGACCCTGCAAGCTCAAATGCCTCAGCAAGCTGCTGCTGTTGCTCGCATCCAATTGTGCCTGTTCTCTTTACATCCGTTCAGACGGGTTCTGCTAGGGCATATCTCGGAGCCGTATTAGCGCTGTTAAATATCTAAATATCTTGCCTTTGCTATTTGGTGATGGTCTGAACTTTGGGTTTCTGCCCCCTCCCGGTCCCAGATGCTCTGACTGGACATGACACCTTTGCCAACATGCGGTCTGCCCGGGATAAACAGCTGTTGATTTTGTTGAGCCTTTACGTTTCTCGTTCTCCACTGTCAATATATTTTTCCAAATACAATCTCTTTGCCGATCCGGGCTTAGGCGGTGGAGCCGATAGCCGGACACCAAATGCTGTCTTCCCAACCTACGGCGAAGGGAACTTGTCTTACATTTTCCCTTTTGTAATCAAGCTCCACTGTGGCATGCGCTTACTTACTGTATTACATAGTGGCTCTGCGGCCTGTCCTTGACCATGGCGTCCAGCTGCCGCTCCTTCCCCCGACGCCGTCTATACAACCCGCGTATCGCCATCCCGTAATCACCTTGACATCACATATCAGCATCCCAGATGAGCCACGAGATTCTCCTTTATACAACGACGACGGAGAAGAAGAAGAAGAAGACGGAAACCAGACAATTGTTGTCCCCGATCAGTCTGTGTCTGAAATTACTTCGGTGCCCGAAATCCTCATATCCGAATCAGGAGCGAACGATAGACATCCACCAAATGTTGCGCACAGTAATCTTCCAGCAACCGAATCTACATTAACCCCCCAGCTTGCCAACAACCCCTGGAGACAATCAGATCTTTCTATCTGCCAGCAAATGAGGACAAAAACCCGTGCTGCGATCACCATTCTCTCATCCTTAATTGCCTATGTATCGATAAACAGCTTGGCTAGGGCTCTTAACCCTTCCGCTTTCATTTGGTATGACGAGGATAGGGAGGAAAGCCGCTGGGTCGCGACCTCAAATTCCTCGTTGGATCGTAAAGCATGTCGCTGGCTTGGTCTTTGCGGAGTTGCTCACTTTCGAGGAGTAAACGGTCGTTTTGGACATCGCAAGTCTGTGCAGCATGGCCAAATACCAACCGCACATGCCGGTGAGCAGGAAGAGTGGGAATCTTATTGGACGAGCGGCAACAAAACTCGCCCTGAAGATTGGGCCAACGATGAACGCCGATTGCGCGTGATTCCCAACTACGTTCTGGAATATGCCCCCCTGGTCCACCTTTTCTCCGGCGAACAGTTTTGGCCTGGTGATATTGCGGAGCATCTTTACCATATTACACCACAATTGAACTATACCCCCATCCAAGCTCAAGCTGAGCATCCCACCCTTGCTGACCTCAATGAGCTGAACATGTGGCAGAACGGAAGCTATGTTTTCTTGACCAGCAATGACAATGTGGAGGATCGACCACCTTGGTTAGAGGCAAAGAAAAACATTCCGAAGCCTGACGCTACCGAGGACAAATTGGAGTGGCACAGTGGAATTCACGACGTACAGGAAGCTATTGCGGTCAGCGACATGGAGGATTGGCATGATGTTGGAAGCAGTCCTCCAAAGGAAAGAGGGAACGAAGCGGACCCTGATTCACATTCATCACCGATTCCCGCGGAGGCAGCTGAAAAGTACGATATTGTGGATGATAAACTAGCCCCCTGGCCGGATACGAGAGGTATACGCGATGAAAAGAACAACATTCCCGGCCGTAGCAAAGCCCCAGCAGTTTTAATCGTCGTGGATAAAGGCAACGGTATTGTGGATGCATTCTGGTTCTACTTCTACAGCTTTAATCTCGGCAACATAGTTCTTAACGTCCGTTTCGGCAATCACGTTGGCGACTGGGAACATTCGCTTGTTCGATTCCACCACGGGAAGCCCAAGGCTGTATTTTTCAGCGAACATTCGTTTGGGGATGCCTATAGCTATGACGCGCTAGAGAAAATCGGAAAAAGGGTAAGCTCTTCTTCTAAACCTGATATATGTACTACACATTACCTCTGTGAGCAATCCTGACTGAACTCTCATCTTAGCCTGTTATATATTCAGCTACTGGGACACACGCCATGTACCCCACGCCAGGCAGCCACGCTTACATCCTCCCATTGGGTTTGCTGCGTGATCAAACTGACCGTGGCCCCCTTTGGGATCCTGCCCGTAACTACCATGCGTACACCTACGACCATAATAACGACGTTTTACGCGCCGCGAACGTTACCCCCCACGCGCCAACAGAATGGTTCTACTTTGCCGGCCACTGGGGCGACAAGTTTTACCCCCTGGGTGATCCGAGACAGTATAGATTTGCCGGACAATACCACTATGTGAACGGACCATTGGGCCCCAGGTTTAAGAATCTCGGCCGCCGGAAGATCTGCGGGGGTGCTGCGACGGATCCATGTGTCATTAGGAATTGGATTGGAGATAAGTGACGAGGATCTGGAAAAGCTTTGTTGGCAAGAATGGGACGGCGGTGTTGTGAATTTTAGCTCCTTTTCTTTTCCTTTTGCTCTTTCTTTCTTTCTTTTTCTAGGAACGGTGTTAACATGATAGACAAGAGGGTCCGGTTTCGGTGTTTGTAAAAACGTGGGACTCTTGAATGGGGTTCTATGACATTTTTTTTGAGTTTGGTTGTTTTCTTTTTTCTTTTTTCTTTTATGTTTTTCTTTTCTTTTTCTTTTTCTTTTTTTTTGCTTGCAATTTACCTAGAGGAATTGGGGTCGAGGGGAGTTTTTGGGAAGATCCATTTCTTGTTTTCTTCCTTCCCGCCGTTTTTTTTAGTTCTTATTATACCCTTTGAGACGACCGTGCTAGTACTGGCAACCCTTTCTCAGGATTGTACTGTACACCAACACATACATTCATTACATATATACGTACATACACGCATATAGAAGATATTGTGGGTTAGAGGTGGGATGGATTGGGATGGGGGAACCGGATGGTATAGAGATGGTCGGCTGGCTGTTTTTCGCTCTGACATTGATTAGTTATTGCGGGATTGTTGAAAACACCTGTATATATTTTATCTTGTTGCTTAGTTATATTATTTGTTTTACCTACTTCGTTCAACCTGTTGGCAATCTACGTAACTATCCACACCTTGCTGATTCTTGTAACTTCCTAGTCCTTGCTTGATAACAACAGATGTTAGGCATGAAACGAGACTTGCAAAAAGAATCGTCGTTAAAGAGCGTAATGGAAAATGGAGTTGTCATAGGTGCCTTTGTCTTGTTTGTCCGTTTGTCCGTTTGTCCGTTTGTCCGTTTGTCCGTTTGTCCGTCTGGTTCTCTGTATGCTAGTAATATGATTTGTATGTAATGTGTGTATATACATGAAAATGTTGACAAAAGAAGAGCAAAAGTGGAAATGAAAATGAACACTCGCTGTACATATAGGTACAGTTGACTAGAAACCTAGATAAGATGAATGAAACATACAGAAGTAGAAGACAAAAGAGAATGAATGGAAAAGAAGGGTCATTTATCATACTCACCACCCGTTACCACCCCCTAGGTATCATCGTCCTTTGGGGTAAGAAAGGGAAGGGGAACGGAGTGCGGAGGTTCTTAGAATTGGGCAAGCAAGAGTAGTAAGAGGTTTCGAAAAGTGAAAAAGGAGCGAAGGGGACTAAAAGAAAATCAAGACATGTTAACCTATTAGCTAGGAGGTGTTACTGTACTTAGATACTTAGAAGGAGATCAGAAGACTGGTAGTTTAGAGAAATGAGTAAAAGGGAAAAAAAAAAAAGGGGGGGGGGGGGGGGGGGTTTAAAAAGCAAAGCAGAGAAAATCAAGAGAGATATATTTGAAAAAAAATGAGCATGGAAATAAAAAAAAAAATAAAACTCCCAGTTTCCGCCAATTAATTACTTTCATAATCCACCCATACAAAAAAGGGGAAGAAAAACAGAAAACAGCCACTTCAGCTTAGAAAAGAAGCTTGAACTCAGTAAAACTCCATGTCTGTCCGCGCGCCCCCGAGCCCTGGATAAGATATGATAAAAAAAAAAGAAAACAAACAAGCGAAATACCTATAGGAAGAAAAATGGTGGAAAAAAAAAAAGAAAAAAAGAATAGAAAGAATTCTGAGGGCGACGGAGAGAAGGAGTAAGAAATATTATGGAGCAGGCAGGATCAGGAGAAGTAAAGAGAAGTAGATGCGGAAGGTATTAGGAGGTAAAGCTGGATGAGAAGTAACAAGAAAAAAAAAGAAAAAAAGAAAAGAAAAAAGAAAAGAAAAGAAAACGCCAGCCATACGTGTTCCCTCACCAAGCCTGAGTACTACAAGAACAAAAAGGAGTTCGTGAGCAACACAGAAAAACAAAGGAAAAGGTGATATAGACGAGGGGATAAGTGGGGAAAAGGGAAATAAGAAAAAAAAAAAAAATTGGAACAGGGAGTTGATAATGATGTTTAGGATGGGGAAATAGGAGTATGTGAAAGTAACACCATGCGATAACAGTATGGAAACGGAGAGTGGTGATGTGCACTAGCCGGCCTGGTTTTAACCACAGATGCAGATTGAGTGGGTGAAGGCGAACAGAAGATGACCCGGAGAGAATGGGTTCCGCCTCCGTTGAGCAGGTAAATCGAAGAATTCAATATCGGGATCCCGACACGAATGACCTATCCGATATATGGCCATGCCGGGATTGAATAAATGGAATTTAAGAAGTAGAAAATTATCCCGGATGAATATAGGAAACGCAATGCATGTTAAAAAAAAGAAAACTCGCTGTACGGAAAGAAGGAAAAGTAAAGTCGGTTGGGGACCTATTGTATGTAGCTAGTTCGAGCCGAGTACCGAGAGAACCAACATGGATGTACGTAATTCATCGATTCGGTCACGTCCTCGAAGGCCTCTTCCTCAATCCAAAATCCTGCTCCTGCATCTCCCTGATCAGCCGCAACGTCTCTGGATCTGCATCCGCATCCGAAAAGCTGCCGCGAGTCGTGTCACGACTCGTCAGTTTGTTGCGCTGATGCGGAGAGGTCGGTGAGGTGCGGCTATTGCTGTGGCGGTTGGGATGAGGAGAGGGATGGCTTCCTTCAACGCGCTTCTTGTCAACAACGGGATTGTGCTGCTTGGTCTCCCTTGCCTGCTTGAAAGAAGAGGTTGAGGAAGAAGAAGGAAGCGGGAGGGCGTTTGTGCGGTGATGCGAAGAGGATGGACGGGATGAGGAAGAGGAAAGAGAATATGATGATGGCTTTTTTATAATGGAGGTAGAGGTAGATGAAGATGGGATTGTTACTGACAAGTCTGAAGGTACGGTTACGGTCGCGGGTGGAGCGCGTGCTGCCGTCGCCGTCGTCTTGTGTTCCTCAGCAAGAACTGTGGCCTCAGGAACTAGGCGAGGGTGACTGGAAGAGTTTCGGGATAGGGTGGCAGTAGCGTCGTCAACGACAGAGAGTTCCCCATATTGTTGTTGCTGCTGTTGCTGCTCGTTCTTTACGGCCGCCTTCGTTTCGCCGTCGGTCTGGTTAGGATCGACTTCCATATCGTCTGCGAGAGAGGTAGGGGGAGAGACAAGGCTGCTTGCTGGGGCTGTGGTGGCCGGCAAGGAGGAGGTAACTTCTGATGGTGGTACGAGATCCGCTTTCAATGTGGGTGGTGATGCATATGAAGTTTGGCTCTGGGTAAGCTCACTGTGCGCTGTAGCCCCAACCTTATCACCAGAGCCTAGCTTCTCATTTGGCCCATTCATACGACCCTGCAATTGCACCGCCTCAAAGTCCAATTTGGTCTGAGGAAGTTCCTCTCCCGAATACTCAAATTCCGGCTTTTGCCGCTTGTTCGACGTGGGCGATATATTGTCGTCGCTAGATCGAGGACGCTTGGTGGAGGTTGCCGCTCGGGGTTTCGATCGTTCCTGCGCTTTGATGGGATCTATCCGGCCATTCTCATCATGAATACAACGACGCTGAGAGAAGTCAATGGGTTAGACATGACAACACCATAGGGTGAAAAAAAGAAAAAAAGATATTTGGCAGGGGAAAAAACTAACTTTGCTCTTCCGGCATTCATCACAAGCCTTGCTACGGCCCTTCTTTCCAGAATTGGAGGAATTCGGGCTAAACCCTTTGGCCTTGGCGGAGTTGGCCTGAGGAGTCATTAGGAGTGCTGAAGAATCATCCATGGCGTTGGGGAGCATCTCATCCCATTTCCCAGAATGCTGCTCTTTAATCCGATCAACATGTGCAGCAGAAGCAAGGTTCAAGGCCCCAGCAGCTGCCATGTCCTTGCCATTGAGTGGCTGTTGCTTGGCCGTCAAGGATGTAAAAGATTCTAAGCTTTGCTCATCCTTATGCCGACAACGGATCCGCCGTTTCCGACAAGCATCACAGGCAACGCGTTTTGGACCCAGGCCGGTCGGTTTCGATATCGAACGTGGTTTATTTGATTGGATAATTTCATCCACATCAACAAGAGAGGCCTCTCGTTTCGGAGGCGCTGGTGTTCCGCTTGTCGACGGCGCAGAGGTAGAAGTAAAGCCTGTACTAGACATGCCGCTCGTATTGATTTCGGATGATTGATAGGAGGGGCGGCGACCAGCTCTCAATTCCAGGTTGTTATTAAGCTGTAGGCTCTCTGCGGCGATATTCCGCTGTGAACGTCGACTGGGTCTAACAGTCGGCTTCCTGCCCGACATATCAACCTTGGTATCAAGAGAAATGGCACCAGGACGTGTCCAGCTCGCGGCATGCTCATTCCCTCTCTTCCATGCTACCCACACTCCAAACTTTATTATGGTGTCAACAGGATCTGCTTGTCCCTTAGGGATAGATCTCTTCACGGCATTCCTGGTTTCTGTCGTGACGCCATCAACATGGTACCCACCAGCAATCAAAGCAGTCCTCAGGAGATATTTTGCTAGTTCGGGCAACCCATCCAGCTCGGCTTGTGAGTAGAAGCGTGCATTGTAATTCTGCGAACCAGGTTCAGCGCGGTTGTCATTCTCTCCGGATTCGTAGTAAATTGGATACTCGCGATAGAAGCGGTAGTTCTCGTCACGGGAGAATGACTCCAGAACTGTCTGTGGAATCGGATCATCCTCCAAGTATTTGATGGCAGCATACCACATGATTTTCTGGAAGTACGGATAACGGAATTTCTTAGGAACCTTTGTGTCCTTCTCGATTTTCGCAATCTTGATTTGCATTCCATAGTTCATCTTCGTGAGGAAGTTTCCGCCAATGACAAGGCTATCTTCCGGTGTCCAGACAGCATGGATCCAACCAGATGGAATGAGCATGGTGTCACCAGCGGAAAGGTCAACTCGATAGCATTCTTTGGTTTGGTTTCCGAGAAAGGTAGTATCCTGTGCAGCTGAATTACACCATTCTTCGTATTTTTTTAGGTGTTTATCCTTGGGCGGAATGAAAAAGAAACTTTTCTTTCCCTTCAGAATATGGTAGTAGACAGAGGAGCCCCCGAAATCGACATGGAAGTCAGTGTAGCAATCCGCAACGGACATTAAGACGTAGAATTGGACTTTTGGAAATTCCCCTATAGCCTGCGACTCCGCTGGCCACACGTGGTCTTGGAGATCAAGGTCACGCACAATTTTGGGTCGTCGAATGAGTCTCCCAAGAGGACTGTTCGACACCTCGAGGCTAATAACGTTGCGAACGGCCTTTGACGTGGAATCGTCGTAGTAGTAATCTGCCCACCGTTGCATGTTCCATCTCTTGTCCTCCCCCTGCTGTGATTTGACATCAATCACTTCGACGCGTTCTTCGGGTCCATAAAGCTCAGCGACATGTCGAACAGTGAGACCTTGTGGGATGACCATGTCCAACAAATCCTGGCCACAATCGATAACTTCATTGTAGTCAGCGTCATCGTCAGGCATGTTATCCGCGAGTTCATCGAATTCTTCTTGCGTGGAGGCTTCGGGTGGATAATAATCGGCTGAACCAGGAACGGAGGATCGCGTGTTGAGAGATGCGGGAATGATTATCGGCTCAGTCATTCCTATACCGCGCTCGAAATATTCCGCAGTGACGAGTTCCGGACGTATACGAGCAAAATGATCGGGCAAAAATGTGATCTTCCCTTCCTTGATTGGCTGGATATAATGATGCTCAGGCGTTTCAGCGGACGGCATTACATACCCCTGATTTAGACTAGCATAGTCGATGGCCGTTCGTGCGCGGGAGGACTTGCGTACAAAAGTAGTTGGTCCATGCGTAGGGCGGCATCCACGGCAGATAAACTTGTCGACTGTTCTAGTGTCGCGATCGCTTTTGAATCCGGCACACACGATATGGAACCACCTCATACATCCATCGCAATTTATCCAAGTCACAGCTTCATCGCCCTCACTATCAGACGCGACTCGATCCAGGTGACAGGCCGCGCAGGTTGCTTGACCGGAACTGTCGTTATCGGAATCTTCCTCCTTAAAATCGGAGGCAGGTATGCTTTTCGGACGTTGGAGTGGACGCGGTGCTTGTTGGGTATCTGGGCCATTTGCTTGCAAAGTAGTATCATGGTTCTCCTCTGCAATGTAATGTGGATCAACTGAGTCATCCTCGAGCGCCGGACCAATTGATGGGGCTAGGAAGTGGCCGGACGCGAAGCCGTTCATGAATGGTCTTGCGGTGAACGCAGAACCGTCGGACTTCGATCGAATGCGAGATGGAGTACCATTATTGTTGCTCCTAAAGAAAGCAGAGGATGGCTTGTTTTCCGCGGTAATATCCCATCGTTTCGTCCACAGCTCAGCAGGGTCCGTGGCCCATTTAACACCGGGATTTTGGCCGTTCGTCGACTCGTGTGCAGCCAGCTGCTGGGGTCTCGAGGCATCATAGAGTGGAGGGAAATTACTTGGTCTCGCAAAGTTAAGCAACAGTTCTGCATCAGTCTTCATGCTATCAAAGGTAGAAACATGGCTAGTGGCAGGCCTGGAAGCTCCCATTAGCCAGGTAGGTGATGGAGCCTTTTCCGATCGAGCGCGCTTGGATGGTCGTTCGGACTGATCGGGAGCAGGTGCTTGGTGGGTTGTGGGGGATATAGCAGTAGCGGGTTCATCATATGTAAGAGGCGCGAAGGTTGGGCTTGTCGCGAGTGCGATGGTGGCAAGAGTATCGATGTTTGAACCAGACCTTTGGTGGCCGATTCTACCGGTGGGGTTTGTATTTGCGTGGTTGCTGGATGAACCGCCGGGAGGATGGTGACTATAACGATGATCAAGACTTTCCCGCCCATCTTGAAAGGTATTATTATTCCACCCAGGCTTCACTGATGACCCTTTCTCAACAAAAGGAGGATCATTTCGGGGTTGTTGGACGCCATCGCTAGGGTGGGTGTTGCGGATGGAGGAAGAAGAGGAATCGGCGGGAGCGCGAGGTGAGATCGACTCGATGGCATGTCGCGGTGGCGAGGGAGTGCGATAGCGTGATGGCCGCACCCTAGAGGGATTCCGAAAGGACGAGGTATTTGCCATGGCAGCCTTTTTGGCGATGGTAGGCTCGCCGGGGGGAGATTGAATCGTCGAATCAGATGGATTGCGGTCGGTTTCGCGATGTTGATAGCAAAGGCGGGGAAGGCAGTGTTGACCACACAGGTCTAACAGCAGAAAAGAGGGAATGCGCGACGACGCATTCCCGATGGATTAGAGAGTACGGCGGATTCGGACTTATTGGGAGCAGAGAAGGGGTTCTGATGGAGTGCGCAGGGAGGGGGGATGGAAGGCGGAGATGGGAGCAGAAGAGAGCACAGCGGCTGGGTTGGGGGAGTGGCTCCGAAGGTGGTTGTCCGCAACGGGGAAGGGACTAAGCGAAACAGGCGATGGTTTGGCTTGCGGCGGCGGCGGCACTGGGGGGCAACTCCCGCTAGAGCTCTCAACCACCATGGAGGGTGGAGTAAAAGCTGTGGCGATGTTGCGAGTTCCTGAGTGTCGATGATCAGAATAAGACAGGCAGATTATGAATTGAAGTTGCGGTGGGAGAGCAGAGTGAGGTTGAAGCCAGAGCCAGTTGACGTTTGGTGTTGTGGCTGGTATGGTATGGACAATACGCAGCGCTGGTTTCGTTAAACTTACACCACAGAGGCTGCCTGCCCACGCCCAGCGGCGGAATACAATAACGGTATTGTTTTTATATCACATCAACCTCTCGTCGCTGGTTTTCGCCAACGAAACAGACTACGTTAAACAGATTTTTTTACCTAACTTAGGGTAGATAATCTATCCTAAGTTATTTAATATCATTGTCTTGTTGTTATTACGCTGAAATAGATTTCTTCACTGTGTTCTCGAAGTGCTCTGTACGCTGGATCGCATAGACTTCGAAAATCAAAGCAAGTGCCATAGAGGAATCTATCTAACGTTGGGTCCGTCCAAGAGCCCCGCTTGCTGTCCTTTCCTAGTATATCCCTCAAAACACTGACAGCGGCTATTTCTAGTGCAACTCCCTCATTTATGACTTCTCCTAGCAGGTTTACGAGCTTCGGGGTATATAGAGGCATACAAAGAAGTGGTAAGCGGAGATCGAGGGAGGAGAAGGAGTATGCGAAACGTCTACGGCCGGCCTATTGCGCCTTATCCTATAGGTCAAGGGTACATGGTTGGGTGATGTGCCGGAACAAAGAATAGGATAACATGGTATACAGCAGGCCGTTCGTTCTGCTATCCGGCAAGGAGGCGGCTTGACGGTAGTAAGCTCATTTTAGGAGGAGAGCTTTGGCTTTTGGCCGCTAGAAGTGGCTATGGGTTTTCCTAGATATTGGGTACGTAGGTAAGGCCTGATGGCAGGAAGAGGTCATAAATACTGGCCTCAGGCGGCCGCGAACGGTATTAGCGGTCCATTGCATTGCTGCGCATCGTCCGCTGGAGTGAACTCGAAAAGAAATTGAAGCTTCAGCATAGATCTCTTCCGGAGTTGGAGATTGGGACGGAACATGCCATCTGCTCTGTGTGATAAAAGCGTAACAGTGAGTTGGGAAGTATTTAACCAGGAGTATAGATTGTATCGTGAAGGTTGTATCATGCGTATGGTAGAGGCAAAAGACCTACTTGTTTCCCCATGAGAAGTTCCAAGGGAATCAGACAAGCGTTTGAGAATAACGAGGAAACTAACCAGATCCAAGATCTCCACCACCCGGCCAGGAGATTCTGAACTTTAGAATGCACTCCATAAGTGTTTACGCAGTAGTCATACTCGCCACCAACTCTAGCAGATTGACATGGATATCTTGTTAATTTTCCAGTTTGATCTCAAAGGAAAACCTCCTGGAAGTGTAAAGACAGCGGCGTCAGCGCGCATCCACCACCGTCCCCTACCTATCAGAGCCCGGCAAAATAATGAACTATTTGCGAAGGTCCAATGATTCTGCCATTTCGGTGCCCTTCGAAATGTCTCTTGATAAGGTTTATATATGTTGTCTTGTTGAATCAAGACTCCTTAAGCAACTCTCCAAAAGGGGGAACGGCTGTGAACCCGGATTTTGCATCCTTCACTCTGTATCTACAGGATTTCGGGGTGAATCTACAGTGACGTAATGCGCGACTTCAAAACAATATACATGTACAATTAAAGTTAAAGCTTAAAGGTTTTTGCATTATCTCAATCGACTGTTATCCCCGGATGCCTTTCGAATAGCGTTCTGTTCAAAGGCCATCCGACAATGCCAACTGACGATGCAAACAAAGGGGTACCGGTGTAAATAATTACATGCTTCTAGGTTCCCAGCCCATAACCGGAGGAAGCAGGCAGAGCCAACAATTTCTCAGTGATGGGTCCAGTCATGAGGTTTCCAACACCCTTACCAAAGGCCATGAGGCCATACGAAAACAGATGTTCCTTCGACAAAAGCGCGAATTTGGGTTAGAAAACAACATACGAACCGCCAAACAAGCCAAAGAGAATGGCGAATGCTGGCAGTGGAGCTAAGACTGCGCATAGCCCCAGACCAAGAAGAAGCAACCGCGGAGACAAATGTCGTGATGAAGACTAGGATGTAAAAGTTGCCGAACCGGTCGGAGACATGGCCGAACCCAACCTAACCAAGCGTGGAAGCGATATTAAATGCTGACAAGAGAAGCGCGCCCATTCGAGGTGAAAGGTCAGCCAGGGTTGCAAATATCGGCAGATAGATAGAAGGGACATAGATGGCAAAGCCCTGGAACAGGTTAGAGAACATCAAAACCCAGAATTGAGGTTTATGCACATAATCAAATTCCACCCTAGAGGTAAGTTTATTTCCGTTACTTAATGGAAGCCGTCTACCCTTGATTAGAGGTAGGATAGGCACCACTAAGACTGCCTGGGCAATAGCAAGCCCCCTGAGAGCTGTGCGATATCCGTACGCCAGGAGCCATTCAAAAAGGAAAGGTAAGCCCACACCGCTAACCCCACTACCGGCAAAGACGACACCGTACGCAAGGCGCAAAGGGAGTCCCGAGAAAGGCTATGTTCGTTGCGGCGGTGCTGATGACGGGGATATTGGGGTTGTGCAAAAATTGCGGGAGACGGCTGTAGTGCTCCTGGAGGCAATGTTAAAACCTATACTATTAGTATGGGTTCGGAAAAAAAAAGGTAGCCAGCTTCAAATCAAGTGGAGCTTATTCCATATCACGGCCCCAATCAGGAACAAACCGAAAAGAAACAGCCATGCCCCGGCGCCTTTGTCCGCAGGCGGCAACCCCGCAGCGGGATGATCGCACGGTTGGGCAGACGTTCATCAGGTCTGTCAACTCTATGAGCTCAATAGACATAGGTGATGAAAAGAAAGAAAGAAAGAACGAATATAAACTCAGCAGGTGATTGCTATAGTATGCTATGGAACCTTGTGATGGTTAATAACGAGAGGAGATGGGGGGAGGTCGTTCTGTATCTCTAATTCTCATTGATAACCCAGCTCGTTGCGATTAGCCAATGGCGTAGGTGGTTGGATTAGGAGTAGAAATGGTCTGTTTAAAGTAAGCCCTGCTTCTGTAGGCTCATGAATATCAAGAGGGAAGTCGGATTAAGATGGTGGCCCAGAGCTTCGGGCGTCTATTTAGCTGATTTCAGCTGTGAGCAATTGAATAGGTAATTAGGGCGTGTGGGAGTATGGTAAGCATGGCGGCGATGCATTGTTCATCGTTTTGATGCAACGCAGGAGGGCCTTGTCCTATCGTATGTATGTCCATGTTTTATCGGCCATGTACTCCGTAATCGGCACGTTTTCAAGTTTTAAAGCAACTTATTACACCGTTAGGTTGGCCCATGCTTCTGTTTAGTGTGTCCACCCAATACCTAGCTGCCCCCACCACTGGGCCACCAGACGCTGAAGGACAAGAGGAGCAGGAAGAAGACTGCCCTCTCTTACCCGCTCCAAAAAGACGCGTGCTTAATATCTCTGCGTACTGAGAATGATGTTTCCACGGAGCGCAAGCCAAAGTGGGATTTGCGCTGTGGAGGTTGGATGGTTAGTTGAGGCTTGGATGACGTGACCAAAGGCGTGGTTGAGGCTCCAAACGTCTCCACTTCTTCCAGTTAAAGTTTCCCGGCTGGGTCCTTAGTCGACATCGGGACTAGCCCCTTATGTTTGTTACATAATCCACACTATGCCCAAAGCGGCAACAACCCATCCGACCAAACCCAAGATTCCCAGGAGCAATGGGCAAGGCGTTGTATCTCATCTCTCTACTCTTTTAACGATCTCCCAAGGTCTGTGTCTCCTCTGTCTGTCGACAAATATCCAACCACCCGCCCGCTGCCCTTCCCACAATCAGACACACATATAGCACTACTCTGCTCCTAAGCAAATCCCCGTCTCCGCATACAGACCTCGCCTAAGAGATATGAGCCGCAGCACCAAGCTTGCCCCGGAAGCCAACAGGTATGTCACTAGAATATTCTCTCCTCCCTCTGGCCCCGATTGGCTTGAATCTCTCTTTGCGGCAAGCACATAATGATGGGAAGGTATATATGAACGGTACTGACACGGTGTGGAAATCTAGGATCCTTTTTGTGAAGAACCTTAGGTGAGTTAAACCTAGCATCGTCGTAACCATGCCTGCCTGCTCGCCGTGCCCGAAGGGACACCCTTCGAGACTGCACAGATAACTCTTCGCCGCAAGCCCTTCCTCCGGTTCTACTCGATATACGATGGGAAAGAGGCCATATCTAATCGTTTCATTTTAAATGTATAGCTACAACGTCACCGCAGAGGAGCTTTTTGACCTTTTCGGGAAATTTGGCCCTATTCGGTAAGGGAGCACCCACTCTCTGGCCGCCATTGGATCAACAAATATTTGAGTAAAGGACATACCTGCTGATTGCTGATGGAATAAACAGTCAAATACGTCAGGGCATTGCAGCAAACTCGAAGGGCACTGCATTCGTCGTGTACGAGGATGTTGTCGATGCCAAGCAGGCCTGTGATAAATTGAATGGATTCAATTTCCAGAACAGATATCTTGTCGGTTAGTATATCCATAGATACACATCTAGAAAGCGGTGGAATGTCATGGATAATAGAAGGAGCGAGCTTGATTGTTCGATACCCTGGGTTAACAGACCTACTGACTCATCTAAACTACGATTTAGTGCTATACCATCAACCTGAGAAGATGGCCAGATCGAGGGAAGATTTGGCCACCCGACAAGAAAACCTAGAACGACTAAAACAACAACACGGCATCGACTGATTTTTCGTCTTCTTCCCTCGTTTTTTGTTTGCATGCATGTCTCTCTTTCTTGTTAGTTATTTATTTCCCCCCACGGTTATCTTCTCTTTTTCCTTATCTTCTTTTTTCCCTCCCATTCCCCCCCTATCATCATATGATTAAAAACCCCATTCGATGTATTCCTCTCTTCCAAGTGTGACAAATCGTTTTCCAAAGTCACTTATTTGGAGAACATTTACCTCTCCTACCACTACGCCTTGCGGAGCTAGAGAGGTGCACCTCTAATTTATCCTGGGAGGACGGTGTGCAACAATATTTGGGTCTTTATTTTTATTTTATTTTTTTTTATCTTTTTATCGATTGGCTTCGTTGCCTACACTCCTCATTGCCTTCCTCCCGTTTTTTTCTTCTTCTTTTTCATTTTCCATTTTTTTTCTTCCTCATGATATTGACACGTCAGACTCATGTTCATTACGATTAGTACTGTTATTTGTTTATTTCCCCTAATAGGTTTATATAGGGAGGATACGGCAGAATGTCAGCAGAAATATGCAGTTATATTAAGTTTTACAAATAACAAATAAGGAATGAAATACGAAAACTTAGAGACGTAGGAAAGAGGGAGAAAACTGAGTGTTCTCCTCTCTCTCCCCCAGCCGGGATGCTGCCCTCGGTGAAAGCTCATGGAACCTTTCGTGGTTTGGGGTTATTCGTTGGCCGCCTTATTATTATAAAGAATCACACCTTTCGAAGAAATCTGTTTAAGGTTTCTGTTTGACATATTCGAAGATTTCTTCTTCAACTACAGAGTATTGAGGTTAACTATCTACTACGGAGGATACTGTAGTTATAACATCTTGATACGATACTAGACGCGGTGGACCTGGCCAGGCCCTGTGGCGCTGGTCACTGACAGATCACCTGACATCACGCAACCCCAGCCTGTGACCTAAACATCCTCATGCCTCAACATCATAACATAACGTCCACACAGAGAGAACTGAGAAATACGAAGAAGCACCGCGAGCTTGTTTCCACCAGCTAGAAGCCGCCACTATATACCGGGACTTGAAAAGCTATTCATCCCGTATGGAATAAATATCAGCATAGCCTTGCTTGGCATTTCGGTTTGGGATGGAATACGTTCGCAACTTTCGTCCCTCAACCACGGTTAAATAACCAGCCCCGTTCGCTCATTTACCTCGACAGGAAGACCAGGGGCTAACGCGGAAAAGGAGAGAATAACTAAGGGCGGAAGATAAAGAGCAGGAAACAGGAGCAAATAGAGGTAGAGAGAGCGAGAGAGCAAAGCGATTACCCGCCACATGCATTCGAATTCCAGGCTCCAGTCCTTGCCTACTTTCTCCTCTCAAGGCATGACCCGTGTCTTCAGTTGACGGCCTTCTTTATTTATTTAAATACCACCTAGGTACTGCTTGCCATGGCAGACCTATTACCATCACAGACTTCAAAGGTCATCGCCACCATCGCCGTCGCGGCAACCCACACCATCTTCTTTCCGTCCTCCACATTCCCTCCCTCCCCGTCGGCAACATCCACCTCAATAATATCCCAGTATCAAAAACAACAGGGCAGCGGCAACGGGGAAAATGACGGTAGCAATGGCGAATGTGAGCTCCTCGGCCCCTTCGCGCTATTTGTACAGGCTGCACTGGGCGCCCTCGCGCTGCTTTCACTCGTGTACAAGCGATGGCGAGAACGGCCACAACGACCCGTGAAGGTATGGGCGTTCGACGTGTCGAAGCAAGTCTTCGGCTCTGCTATGCTGCATCTAGCCAACCTGCTCGCGTCGATGTTTTCCGCAGGCCAGATCCCCGTGACGGCGACGTATCAGCCGAATCCGTGCTCGTATTACTTGCTAAATTTGGGGATTGATGTATGTGTTATTGATTTTAAACACCCTTGAGATAAGATCATTTTTCTGGATAAGTCTAGGATACAGCGGTGTGCAACAACTAATCAATGTAATTTCTGTATACAGACAACCTTCGGCATCCCCATCTTGATCCTGTTCCTCCGTATCCTCAACCGCGCCGCCCAGTACACTCCGCTCGCCAACCCGCCTGAATCTATCGAATCAGGAAACTACGGCCACCCGCCCCGCGCCAAGTGGTGGTTCAAGCAATCCGTGATCTACTTCTGCGGCCTGCTCTGTATGAAAACATGCGTTGTCGTCCTGATACACATGCTCCCCTTCATCGTTAAGATCGGCGACTGGGCCCTCCGATGGACAGAGGGGAATACCGCAGTTCAGATATTCTTCGTGATGCTTTTGTTCCCGGTCATTATGAATGCGGTGCAGTATTATATCATTGATATCTTTATCAAGAAGCCTGTGCCTGTTGTGAGGCACGAGAGGGTTCCAGGCGAAGATCCGGATGATGTTGATAGTGATTCTGATGGCGTTGATGGTGTCGGGATGGCGGGGGATGATGATCGGCATCGGCGGAGTGCGTTGTTGGCAGGGATTGATGATGGGGATACTGAATTTTCGAGCGATGAGGAAGACCCTGTGGTTTTTTCGGATAGTGATGATGAAGCGAGGGTGAAACAACCCTTTGAAGCTGGTGACAAAGGCAATGGTACTACAAATTAATTGAGCATCCACCGTGATAGATTTGGATACTCTATTTTGAGATATATGCTCACCTGCCATCCCTTTCACTGCCATGTTAGTTTTCTCATAAGAACAAATGCCTGATACACCCTGATGTACTTTATCTTCTTGTTCTGCTTTCTTGTCTACTTGCGGGATGCTTTGCGAATGGCGTTTTGGCGAAAATTCTGGCTATGTTTCATATTCTCCATTTGCCTTTGTCGTCTTCTTTTGGATATCCAAGCATTCGCCTCCTCAAGACAAACCCTGGCATTCTGTATTCTTTTCTGCTTGTATTTTCGCTCCTGTGCGTTATCGAAGCGTCATTTCTCTTCTTTCTCTCATTCCTTGTCTTTTTTAATGGATCCAGCCCAAATCAAAATATATATATATTTCACTTTTATTTCAGATGCATCTTCAGTTTGTTCCAATGCTCACTGGAATGGTGTGTCATGATGTGATACGCCCTTTTTGTAAAAAAAATAAAAATAAAAATAAAAGTAAAAAATTAAACCGCTGAATTGTTATTTTTTAACCCTTTTTGCAACTTTTTTTTTTTTATTTTTTTTTTTTTATACTTAAAGCCCCTTACGTTGCTGGCAAATCCTATCACACCAACGATTTATACAGGAGTTCATTACACTTGATCCTCCTTCTCCTTTGGAGTAGTCTTTAGGTTCATAAATGCCCGCATATGGCAATCGCAGTCTTTGTAGTTTATATTGAAGTAACGGGTATATCAATTTGTGAACTTGAATTATTTTACCCGAAAAGGAGAAATGCTTGGGGTTTTGAAGTTCATGTGACAGCGCGTCTGCAGCCTCAGGCATCAGTTTTTTTTTTTTTCGACTTGGGAACTAAAAATATGAAAAGTGAAGGTTAAGACAAACCACAACTAATTACCATTATGGGTACTTGTCCACACGATTATAAATGAGCTGCTATTTTATACAATTTGGTTAATTTATTATTCCTCCCGCCCATCTCTTGATTCTTTCGGCGCCACCAAATAAGAAACCGCGCAAACTCCAATGCCCTCGATGCAAAAAGTCCGCGTGGAAAGAGCTGCAGCAGCTGCCTCGCTGCCAAGGGATGCAGGCTTCTTCATTGATACTCACGGTGCCTCTGAGGATGATGGCCTGGTTGATAATGCGAGCAGTGAAGATGAACCAATGCCCAAGGATGAGACGGAAGAGAAGCTTGAGCGGTTGCTCTTTGGTGATGCGGCGGGGTTTCATGATGCGTTAAGAGAACATGAGGTTGAAGGTATGGAGCTTGTGCCACGGGATGGAAATGAGGATGGAGAAGGAGGCGGAGAAGAGGAGGGCGGAGAAGAGGAGGGCGGAGAAGAGGAGGGCGGAGAAGAGGAGGGCGGAGAAGAGGAGGGCGGAGAAGAGGAGGGCGGAGAAGAGGAGGGCGGAGAAGAGGAGGGCGGGTTGGAACATGTTGATGATGCCGACGTAGGTGTTGCTTTATAATATATATACTTATCCATTTTTCCAATGTCGACCTCCGGTCAAATGAAACTTTTACTGACGTTTTAATATGTGATATAGCTCTTCTTCCTCGATTCAGGCACTGCGGGAGCTGATCTCGAGTTCCCAATTGTTCAGGGTGCGCCGGATGATCAGCGGGAGAATGAACCCCCTGCGGCGTGGGAAGATAGTGACGATGAGCGGATCACGGTCTCTCTAGCGGGTAATAATAGGTTGCGAAAGCTACGACTCACAGAAGAAGACGATGTCGTCACCGGCTCAGAGTATATACGGAGATTGCGCAAACAGTTTGAACGACTACATCCCGCCCCGGATTGGGCGAACCCATCCAACATTGCAGGTGGACGCAGCGCGAAGAGAAGGAAGACAGGAGCGCAGTCGGATGATGAGAGTGTTTTAGGTTCTGATCATATGGATACAGATGAGGAGGAGGAAATGTCCCTGCAACCGCTAGCACGCCTATTGCAGAATGCTGGTAATCTCACGAAGGGTGAAAATAATGCCAAGAGTGGTGGGAAGCGGAAGCTCCGCCAGGAAGTCCTGGATATTCAACGGATGAAAGATGTTGGAAAGGGTCAGCCTGTATGTTTTCCCTTTCAAGCGGTCATACTCCTAAGTATTTTTCCTTCGTGCTAACACTCACCCTTCAACTGTAGTCCACCATCGAGTCTCTCACTTTCCACCCACACTACCCTCTCCTCCTATCCTCCGGGCCGGCCTCAACTCTCTTCCTCCACCACATCTCACCCAAATCCTCCTCTCCGAACCCCCTACTTACCTCCCTCCACGTCCGCCGCACCCCGATACACACCAGCACTTTCGCCTCTCCTACAGGGAACCAAATATATTTTTCCGGTCGCCGCCGCTACTTCCATGTCTGGGACCTGGACACGGGCAAGGTCGAGAAAGTCAATGGGCCTGCTGACCGTAAAGAAGAACAAAAGTCTATGGAACGCTTTAAACTATCTCCCTGCGGCCGGTGGATGGGTGTCGTCGGCAGCGCGCGGAAAGGGGGCGGTATTATAACGATCCTCAGCACCACAACGCTCCAGTGGGTTTCACAGGTGCGCATTGACAGCCACAATGGCGTTGCTGATTTCGCGTGGTGGAGTAATGGGGAGGGTATGTGTGTTGTTGGCAAGAATGGAGAGGTTAGTGAGTGGGATGGGAGGCAGAAGCGCATTGTTGCGCGCTGGGTCGATGAGGGTGCTGTGGGCGCGACGGTGATTAGCCTTGGTGGAAAGTCTGGAAGAACGCAGATTGGCGGGGATAGGTGGGTGGCGGTTGGGAGTTCGAGCGGGATTGTGAATATTTATGACCGGAGGCCATGGGCTGCGGCTGCTACTGAAATCGAAAAGAAGAGCAAGGGGAAGAAGATTGATGGAGAAGTAGATCATGGCGATGGGCAGTGCGGGATCCCGCATAACCCGAAACCGACGCGCATGCTTGATCAGCTAACGACGCCCACAAGTCATCTTGTCTTCTCGGCGGATGGGCAATTGCTTGTCATGGCAAGTCGGTGGAAGAAGGATGCGTTGAGACTGAGTATGAAATACACCCCTGAACTATCCCTACCCACCTCGTTTCTTTTTCACACATGTGTTTCTTTTCGTACATGGACTATTGCGAAGTCTCAGTTGACTAACGATAGCTTACACACAGTTCATCTCCCGTCATGCACTGTATATAAGAATTGGCCTACGTCCAACACCCCCTTTGGGCGCATTTCGGCAGTTGCTATCGCGCCAACATCGGATATGTTGGCTGTCGCGAACGAGCAGGGAAAAATTCGGCTGTGGGAAATTCATGGCTAGCCCTCTGGTAGGCTCGCATTTTTCTGTACTATATACTCCCGTATATAAGTCGTTTAAAAACGGTATGGCCCTCGAAAGGGGATCATGGGGTTACAAGGGTAGGTGCGAAAGATTCACCTCTATATTTACCAGGGATGGAAAAAAGAAACGAAGAGAGATGGAGATACTCTTTCATAGAGTTAATAAAATGAAAATTGCTACAAATTCAACTACCAGTGGGATGGATTGCCATTCTTTGCTTGATGCAGCAATTGCCTCCTCAAGACTACAATAATTCTGCCTAAGCGCTCCATGTGTCACTCGGAATAGGGGAGGAATGGTCTGGTTTGCTGCATGTCTCGTCGCCGAGGTTCAGATCCACCATTGTGTCCGGGGCTTCCTTCCCCAGGGCTGCTTCCGGTCTATATTTCTTCGAAGGATATTTAGGTGTAGAAGGGGGAGAAATTTTTTTGATTCCCTAACTCAGCGTTGCTAGCGATACGCAAATCGGAGATGTGGCGTTCCATTGTGACAGTTTTTCGAGAGTCCAGGGTTGCAAGCGCGGATCGTGCGGACTGGAAATATAAATCTAATATTAAGACAAACCCGCTGCTAACTTACCTCTGTCCATGAAGTTAATGTCAGACCAATTGGTCTGGGTTATAACTTCCCACTTAGGTAGCATACTTCCTAAATCAGAGTCGGTCTATATGAATATATATATCTTTATATATTGATGCCTTCGTAACTATCTTCTGTATTTTTTTCTCTCTCCATTTACTCCGTACTTTGTACACAATCAAAAAGCCGCTCTCAACACTGACAGCACATCTTCTTAATAGCATCCTTATTTCTAATCCCCACCAGATTCCCCTGTTTAACCCTCCCAAGGGTCAATGCCGCTATAAGTGCCGCACCAACACCGGACCCATCTTCCGCTCCACTCATCACAACCCGATCCGGCACGTCATCCGGCCAGTCCAGAATCTCCCTCAACGCCTTGGCGCCTCTGGCTTTAAAATGAGGGTACTTTTCGAACACTGACCCGTCCGCGCCAACATGACAGTGGGTGATATTCTTCTTCTTGCAGATGGCCGCAACGCCGCAGGCCGAGAGGCGCGCAGCACGCGTGCCGATTAATTCTGCAAGGCGCCTGCAGAATTCTAGCTCTGAAGGCATGGCGTGGATTCCTAGGGTGCGCTCGAAGAGATCACGGGTTTCTGATAGGTTCTCGAAGGGGTCTTCTTCGATGAACGCTAGGAAGGAGGAGTCCAGGGAGTAGGGTTTTCGCAGCTTCGAGACGTCCTGGTTGGCAAAGATGAGCTTGCCCTTGTTGTCGTAGAGGTCGAGGAGGACGAGGCGAAATATCTCGCCGAGGTAGAGGCCTGCGGTCATTTTTTCGAAGGCTTGTTGGCCAGGTCGGGGAGAGTCGCGGTCGATTATGATGTCGTATTGGGTTCGCGGGAGGACGACATACTCGTTGTCGAAGGCGCCGTATTCGCAGTTGATCGCGACGGGAGTGTCGGGGGGTAAGTTGTAGTGGGCTATTTTAGGGATAGAGCCGGCGTTTTCCATGTAGGCGGCGTTGACGCCTGTGCCGAAGATACAGCCGATTTTCATTTCCGGGTCGGTATAGGCAGAAGCAATAAGGGTGCCCGTCGTGTCATTTACCAGAGCCGCAACTTTAATGGGGAGACCCTACACATGCAATTAGCATCTGGTAGCCAAGATCAAGGCTGGACAATTTGCCCAAAAAGGCGATAGCGGGAAGAGAGAGAAAGAGGCTCCAATGTTTACCTTCTTAGCCAGTGCTTCCTCCAGCATTGGGACAACATCCTTGCCTTCAACACCGTCGATATCAAAGCCCTTGGTCCATCTTTGAAGTACACCGTGGTCAACATAATCCTGTGTGGCAGGATAAGAAAAGGTAAAACCCAGTGGCAGATCCGGGAGAGCCGTGCAGCCCTCATGGTAATATTCGATAAACTGGTACACGCAGTCCGCAATGTATTCCCATAGTTCTGACGATTTGCCGCTCTTCAGCTCTTCCGGGATTCGATACTTGGACTGTGTGACATCGAACTCGCCCTTTTCTTCGGAGAGCTCGATTTCGCAGACACGCAAATTGGTGCCTCCCATGTCCAGGGCGAGGAATGTGCCCTTTTCATGGCCAGTGGGAAATCCCAAGACCCAGGTGACATTCATAGGCTGAGGAGGAAGCGTTTGTCAGTAAGCGACAATTGGATGGTCCCTTTGGGAGATGCACAGCGGATGTAAAACGAAAGGGCTGGGGGAAACTTACAATGTTTCCGCCTTCGACGCTGAGGCCTATTGCATTCAAATTGTTAGAATAGCCAAATATTTAATATTGTAAGAGGCTGATCCTCAATATGGAATCCCCGCATTCTCTTCTGCCCCTTCTTCACCTGCCCCTTCACCGCTTCTCTTTTCTTGGGTACAGATATCTATCCATTGGACAAACAAACGGGGATAAGGGGACTCACCCTTCCGTAGCTCTTTGATGAAATGTTCAACAATCTCCTTAAGCTTCGCCTGGTCAACTGTGAAGAGCTCTTCTAGTGTCTTGAGCTGTTCAAGCATGTCCTTGGGCATATCAGCCATTGACCCTGAAGAGAGAAGATTTGTTAGCTGTAGCTGTTACACCTTCGCATTGACATGTAGCCACAAAGACATGAGTTCTAATCCCACGGCTCAGACATATTCCAGATCCTAGACGCTTAATGGGGCTTTTCTGGCGAATACTCACCCTTTCGGGACGGCTTTCGGCGGGGCGCTATAGGCATTGCGATGGCGGCCGATGGTCTCAAATTGGGGGATACTGGATAGAAAACGGGGTTTACTGCGGAGCCCAGGGGCAGAATAATCGAGGTGACAGGTGAGGAGTACGGGACGAGGGAGGAATTGGAGTTGATCGATGTAAAAGTGGATGGGATTGAGGTTGGTAGGATATAGCTTCATTATTTAGTCTGCCCCGTGAAGGTTTGTCGGTGAGATCCAGAACCAACCTGGGCACGATGACATATGACGACAGTAAGCAGCCGGCATGGAGTCTACAAGCTCCAGCCACAGCACTAGCGCAGCAAGAATGCGCGTATGCATGATATATTTCCTTAGTCCTTTTATTCAATTTACTCGTATATTCTATACCTCTTTAATAGGTTCAGGCCGTCCAGCCCTCGGGTTTGGCCCCATTTCAAATCATGTCACATATTTAACGCTGCGCCAAGGTAGAGTAAGTACGTCATGATGTAGCTATTCCCGAAAATCCTGACTCGGCGCAGAAACGGAGAAATTCTCAGAGCTGGCTTCAGATATGCAAAGCAGTTTGATTTCTCTAGATAACTAAGAAAGCGGCATCGTCCTCAAGCAAAGGACAGCAATATGACTTGGAAGAAAAAGGAAATAGACGCCATTCATTAAGGTTGACATAGTACTCTAAACATCCCTAGTTTTGATCGTGATCGTCATTAAATCTTTATAAGTCTCTTTCAAGGTCCATAATGATAAGCAGGAAATGAAACAGGTGTTATCCGGACACTTTCAGGTGGGGGTAAAACCTGATGTCCATTAGTTAGTTATTTCACCGTTCTGTCTCCTGGTCACTTTCTTTATTAGGTTCGCGGCCGGCGGTGGATGAGTTCTCCTGCTTTGTAGCACAATCATCACTAGATTTCGTCTCTGACTTGCTTTCCTGTTGCGGCACAGGGTCGAGTTGTTCTGATTCGGAGGGCTCGTTACCCTTCTTCATTACTCGATCTTCGTCATCTTGGGAAGTGGGTGTGGGTTCGCGCTTGTCCGTTGCATCCTCTCCATTTCCCACCTCACTCTCCTTCCCCTTCTGTAGCTCTGAACGGACCCGGTCTTCGTGGGCTCGCGATATATGCAATGTGTGCTCTACTTCTTCTGTCAACCGCTCGATCTCATCACGTAGCAGCTCATTCTTAGAGCGAGCCGGCTTTTCCTTTTCTTTCTCCATTAGGCCTGCTTTTTCAGGATTTGTCTGTGCCCATAATTCCTCAAGCTCCTCCCGCCAACCCAGCGCCTCTGCCAATTTTAGTACACCATCGTCACACTCGCCTAATAGCAATACATCATCTGGCCTAGTACCGAGACCGCCAACCCTATTGAGGTTAATCAGGAGACGAGGACACCCTTCTTTGCAAAGGCTAGGTAAACTAGCGAACGGCTGTACACTCAAACTAGTGCCCATAATAATGCACAGGTCTGCTGCAGCTGTCAGCGTACGGTTCATGAAGAAAGCTTCTGGCAGTGGCTCTCCAAAGAACACAATATCAGGTTTCACGAGTCCCTGACAATCGAGACATAGAGGTACATCATTTGCATTTATCGCCTTGCGCATTAAATCTTCGGGGTATGAAGCTTTGCATTCGATGCATCGGTGGGATGCATAGCTTCCATGTGCTTCAATGATCATCTCGCCCGGTATGCCGGCTGCCCGCTCCAGACAGTCGATGTTTTGGGTGAAGAGCTTGAGCAAGCGACCTTTGTCGTAGAGGAGCTTAATAAACGAGTGGGTGATCGTTGGCCGATAGCGTCCGGGAAACATCTCCTTGGACAGGGCATAAAAGGGGTAGGGATTTTTGCGGAAGTAGGAGATGTCAAATACGGCTTCTGGGTCCGGGAGGTTTAGACGGGCGAGATTGGCGTAGACGCCGGTATCTGGAGAACGGAAGTCGGGGATTCCTGCCGCTGTGCTGATGCCTGCGCCAGTCTGCGTAAAGTCGGGCGGGGAAATATTAGCATTGCATTTATATGTATTGTATCCGGGTGTTATGAAATCCTTACCAAGACCACAATCCTCCGAATATTCTTTTCTTTAATGTACTCAGCGATCCCTTCGACGGACCTGGATTTCAAGGTTACTGGTGCAGTGCTTCCGTCCACCAGCACGGAGTTTTCGTTCCCCATTTTGGGCAGGCGGCGAGAGGACGAGCCCTTTTGATGCCTGAGCCTCCGGCGACGGCCTATTTTGGCGTTTCTAGAGTGGTCTGTATCTATTTATTTTCAATAGAGATTTGCCGACCAAAGCCTTGTCCTAGCTTCCAACTGACGAGACTGAACGAATGGGAAGAAGAGAATGTGAGGGTGCTAATCTGAGAGAAGAAATGAAAGAATGACGTGAGACTGAAAAATGCAACTAAAAGCCTCACAAATCTATATCACCAATGAATTATATATGTTGGCTGGTTATGTTCCTCCTAGCCATGCATGTCAAGCTTCCCGCTGCTTTGCCCCGCGGCTAGCTCCCCAGCTAAGGGTACATAACTAGTTACGCGCTAGGCGCCAAGCGCCGGCCGTTGATCAACAACAGACGAGTATTCTTGCTGTCAACGCAAGATGGACGGGTATTCCCATGTTCCACCTTTAATTACACCTTTTAAAGCTACATTATGGACTTCAGCTTGGAAAGTCTCGATTACCTAAATCGGGACCGGCTAGCAATGTCCCCACCGGCCAGTACACCTCCTCCCGCTGGTGTCATCGGCCACTCTGGCCAAACGACAGAACCTCCAACAGTTAAGGACAGGGTGCAAGATAACAGGCACACGAACAACACCGAACTTCAAACGAGTGATCCCCGCGAAAAGCAGCAAGCCAATGGCCAGGAGAATTCCACTCATAACCCCGACCCTGAGAACCCTACTGACATCTATAATGCCCGCACTATCGCGGATATCAAAGCCACCTTGTCCCATCTTCACGATCGCGAAGCCGCCGTAACTGCCCGCCTTGATGCACTCATAGCTTCCCAGAAAGATTTCTCCCGCGAACTAGGCCGACTAGATCTGCTCCGCGCCCACCTAGGCTCACAAGCAACCACTGCCCGTACAATCAGCCATGGTATGCTTGCGGACGCTGCTAGCACAGCGGACCGCATCTCCAGCGCCGTCAAGCGCCTCGATCTCCAACAGTCGCGTGTCAAGGCTACACTGGACGTAGTGGAACAAGTTGTGGAGTTGAAAGCGTGCGTGCTAGGCGTAGCTGGCTCAATGGGCGCATCACAGGATTGGGAAATGGCGGCGAGTTACATGAATCGTGCATCGAAGATCCCCGAAGAGGTCATACATGGTGATTTTGCTGCGGAGATCGTGCCTACTGCTGAAGTTCCGGACCCGCCAAGTGTGACGCTAGAGAATGCGGCTGAATCGCTCTGCGGGTTGTTCCTGCGAGAATTTGAACGGGCTGTCAAGGACAACAATGATGCGAAGATCACGCGGTTTTTTAAGCTGTTTCCGCTCATTGGAAGGTCAGCCGTCGGGCTGGATGTGTACGGACGCTATGTGTGTCAGGGCGTCGCGGCACGGGCAAGGGCTAATTTACATGCTGGGGCAGGCGCGGAGCAAAGGAAAGATGGATTCTTTTATGCAAATGCGTTGACCAAGCTGTTTGAACACATTGCGCAGATTGTTGACGGGCATGGGGCATTAGTGGAGAGACACTATGGTCCGGGCAAGATGATGAGGGTCGTGGAGAGGCTGCAGGTCGAGGCGGATGTTCAGGGGGGCATCATTTTGGAGTCTTGGAGCGATGACCGCCATGTTGATCGCAAGTTGACGGACATCAAGTCTTATGCTTTCACATTTCTTGTACAAAGCTTTCTACCTGCTGCGAGAGGCATGGGAACACCTCGAGCAAACTCACCCGCTACTCGCGATGCCGCTTCACAACGATCAAGCGAGGATGAGGGAGTAGATATGAAAGAGATCGATGGACTTTTGAATGAGATGGCTGTTATGTTGGGGAGGTGGTCATTATATTCCCGCTTCTTAGCAGATAAATGCAGTGTAAGTTATTGGGTATTTTCTAATACTTCTTACATGCTACATTGACAGGTTCTACTATTACGTACAAGCTGGAGACGGATGGCTATGGACTAACAAGACCACAGAACGACAATCATGAGGAATTAGAACTACCGGACTTCATTATTCAATCAGCGCTGTGTCAGAAGGTTAGCGATCGGTTAATCCATCCTTTCAACTCAATGACCACGTTTTTCCTCCGGCGGTCGGTGGAGAAGGCTTTCCAGTTGGATGAAGGACCTCCAGAACTAACGCTGAACCGACACCAACCCTTACGTGCCAACCCACCACACATTACCTCAGCCGTGGACGACATCATGTACATCGTCAACAAAGTACTTCAGCAGTCACTACGCACCGCGCAACACGCCGTTATGGCCAGTGTGACGCCGTCGCTGGCCCGAGTTCTTGGCACTGATTTCATCGGCATGATCCAGCGCAAAATGCGGGACGAAAGTTACCCCAGAGGAACGGCAGGTGGCCCTCCGCCTGAAGCCACTGTCATCGCCTTCCTAGTCCTCATCAACAACCTTGACGTGGCAATCGAGTACATCCAGCGCATCGTGAAAAACCACGTGGGGACTACCAAACCAGAAATTGGGAGTAATCGGACTGGCAACGCGGCTACTGGCGAATCCCCGCTGGCCAACCTCTTCCCGCTTGATGACGAGGCGGAGAAAGTAGGCAACATGCTAAAATCATTCTCCTCCTCGTTTGAATCCAAAGCGCAAGACCTCGTCAATGATGGGATTCAAGTTGTGTTCAATAATGTCATAAAGGGCCATCTCCGACCTATTCTAGCAGATTCATTCCGTGACATCGAGTACCAACCCCGGGATGGCGGTGATGATGATGATGATGATGAGAATGGGCTTGCAGATGGAGAGGGGTTGATGGATGAGGCCGAGGGGAGTGCGGTCCGTCACCGGTTCGCAACGGCATGGGCGGATCTTCTAGAACCGATCGCACGAATCCTTAGTGGCCGGGCCTTTGAGCGGCTACTTAGCGTGACTGTGGCTGCACTGGCACGATTATTAGAAAAACGTATCTGGTCGTATCATGGCCGTGTGAATGCGTTAGGGGCAACGCGGCTGGAGCGAGACGTAATGGGGATTGTGAGTGCAGCAGTGAATGTGGGCGGGGACGATGGGGGGGGTCGCAAAGGTGGTAGCGCAGGGGAGGAGGATCGCGCGAGGCTGTATGGAGGGGGACGATATCGGCACCGTGAGGCTTTCGGGCGGTGTTTGCAGATTGTGATGGTGATGGGGATGGAGGAGGAGGAGTGGGAAGAGGTGGTGCGCGGTGGCATGGAGGATGTGGTGGATCGCTTGAGTGTGGATGAACGGGTGAGGGCGAGGGGGATAGTTGTGTAAATGAATATGGTTTTGGGAGGCGGAGGAGATGACAGGAGTGGTGAAATTGTGGAAGAGACACCAAAAGGGTAGGAAACTTGATATTTTTTTTTTATCTGATTTGATATTTTGCACCCTATTTTTTACAGTAGACGCACGCTCCGCAATAAGAGAGTGGAGGAAATGTTTGTTCAGGCGCATCAAATCCATGTTTTGTCAAAACGTCGCATAATGTGGCTGTGGCCTTTGAGCCTACAAAATATTATTATGGCAAGTGTACGGAGTACGGAGTAGTTTCATTATTATTATTATTATTCCAGTTGAAGCACACGCAACATATATATTGAAGGGTAACTTACATTGGATGTACATGTACAAATGTATTAGATAGAAGCTTTTGATTCTATAGAACATATCAAAATGTACATATTGTTGTATGTACAATATTATAATATCATTAGCACAATATATCTCATCTCATCTCATCTCAATATTAGTTCCTCCGAAACCACCCGACCAAACCATCATAGACCCCCAACAAAAAGCTTCGAAGTTTGATAAGATAAAGAGCCAAGATAAACAAACTATGTATGTACTGTACTGTACTTGTTATTTGGAGTCGCGGCAGATAGGAAGGGAGGGGAGGGCTACATATATATATATATATATATATATAACCTAGTGTAGTTGTTGGGCGGAACCCAATGGGAGAGGGACAACTTATCTTCCTTGTTTATCGAGAAACAAATGAGGGAAGGCCTTTTTGTCTGCAGAGTTGTTTGTGTTGTCTTTCGGGTTGGGAATGGGAATGGGATGGGATGGGGTTTTTCTCTCTTTTGAACAACCCCCCCCCCCCCCCCCAAAAAAAAAAAAACAAAAAAAAACAAAAAAAAAAAAAAAAATCTCAAGGGCGATACATGAATCTATGTATTTTGTTTTCAACCTAGAAGTGTAGAAGTGCACAATTGCCCAATTTGTTTTGAATTATTTGGTTATTGGAATATAAGGACCCTGTTTTGCTTGATTGCTTTCTTGAATGAAGCCTTTCAACCCGTTATCGGCCAATCAACGAGCCTCAACGAGCCTCATGAGAGAATACGAAACACTGCAAAGGTTTGTACGTAGTTGTAGTGGTGTTTTTTTGGGCGGAACGGAGTTGTATTCGCCTGGTATTATTATTTTATATCTTATTATACTATTATTGATATTAGCAGTGAGAGGAGAGCGACAGGAAGCCGCATTCGTCATATTATTTGGGATGGATATAAGAATACCTAATAATGAATCTTGTTTTTTTTTTATTATTATTTTTATCTATGACTGACTCCGTAGTTACATAGTTACTACATACTACATACTACATACATACATACTTTGGTCTAAAATAAGCCTTCAGTCGTTATCTTCATATCTCCCGTCGTCTTTTTTCTTTTTTTTATCTCTCTCTCTCTCTCTCTCTCTGTTATCTCCTTCCTCTCTTTGTTCAGTAAAAAAAAAAAAAAAAATAATTCGCAATTTCGGGCCAAACCGATTCATTTTCGTGTCCCGGAACTCGAATTGAAATTCGATTCTTGATTTTGTTATCTCGTAGATGTAGTAGATGTAGATGTGTAAACCCCCCTGAATCCATACGGGCTGTGATTCCCCTCCGCGCCGGACAATAAGTAATAATAATAAGAATAATAATAATAATATATACTCCTCCCCGCATGTCATTCGGGACTGCTTAGTTCTCTCCTTTGCTCGTTCTTCATTTTTCATTTTTCTTTTTACTCCCCCTTAATTTTTAGCTTCTCTTCCAGCATCCACCACTGCCCGTTCTTCTCGTCTTCTACTACCACTCCCCCCCTCCCCTTCTCTCCCTTCTCTCCCTTCTCCCAGTCCATTGTAAGAAGAAAGTCCCGCCAAAGCTGTACTTTGTTCACATTGAAACTGTCAAGACTAGACAATCACTAGGGTTATAACTAGACGAGACGTGAAAATATAGCATAGAATCGAATCTGGTAAACCCACCCCACAAATACATACAGAAAAGGCAAAGAAGCGGACCTCCGGGGAGCAACATGTCGGCTCTCACGGGCCGCTATGCCCCCGACTATGCTTCTTACAACTGGACCGGTGCGCCGGCAAACTTCACTTTCACAACCAATTCGGACCTCGGGGGAGACTCTCGTGCGTTTCCCAAACCCCAGAAGAGAGGTCCCCCAGATGCACTAACCCCCCCCTGACTAAAAAATCAGGAATCGAAAACCTAAACAAATGGTTTCAGGCTGGCGATCAGGCGTACATAATCGTCGCCTCAGCGATGGTCATGGTCATGATTCCCGGGCTGGGCTTCCTCTACTCCGGCCTGGCGCGGCGAAAATCAGCGCTCAGTATGATCTGGGCATGTATGGGTTCCATGTCTGTCGTGACTTTCCAGTGGTACTTCTGGGGGTACTCGTTGGCCTTCTCCCCGACCGCGACGAATGGGTTTATTGGCAATCTAAGCAACTTTGGGCTCATGAAAACACTCGCGGCTCCGAGTCCCGGCTCGCCGTTGATACCTGGGCTGCTGTATGCTTTAAATCAGGTGTGTGAGATCAATTCTTTTTTTTTTTTTTTTTGTCGGTGGTGGTTGGTGGTGGTGGTGGTGGTGACGGTGGTGGTGATGGTGGTGCAGGCTGACCTGAGGAGGATTTGCTAGATGCAATTTTGCGCTGTGACTGCTGCCATAATAATGGGATCCGTGGCTGAGCGAGGTCGTCTGCTACCCGCCATGGTGTTTACTTTCTTTTGGGCTACGCTCGTCTATTGTCCCCTCGTGTGCTGGGTATGGAATGTCAATGGGTGGGCTTACAAATGGGGCGTCTTGGACTTTGCAGGCGGTGGCCCAGTTGAAATCGGATCCGGTCTATCTGCGCTCGCGTACTCGATGGTTTTGGGTCGTCGCCAGGAGCGCATGATGCTCAATTTCCGACCACATAATGTTTCACTCATTCTTCTGGGGACCATCTTCCTGTGGTTTGGATGGCTGGGTTTCAACGGCGGTTCGGCTTTCGGTGCCAATCTGCGTGCTGTCATCGCAACCTGGAACACTTGTTTGACCGCTAGCTTTGCGGCCATGACCTGGGTACTCCTCGACTGGCGGCTCGCTCGGAAACTGTCCATGGTCGGGTGGTGTTCTGGTACCATCTCTGGTCTGGTCGCTGCAACTCCAGCCTCTGGTTTCATTCCTCCGTGGGCTAGTGTGATTCTGGGAATAGTTACAGGAGTCGTTGCCAACTACAGCACCAAAAGTCAGTTCTACCCTTAAACTTGAAATGGTTCTTGGGGCAGGCAAAAAAACATATAGGATTTCGACTAACCTTTCTGTAGTCAAATATTGGATCCGCATCGATGATTCTATGGACATCTTCGCCGAGCACGGCGTTGCCGGCATTGTCGGGTTACTCTTCAACGCCCTCTTCGCCAGCGATGCCATTGTCGGCCTCGACGGCGTAAACACAGGAACGGGTGTAGGGGGCTGGCTCATTGGCAATTACAAACTCCTATACATCCAGATAGCGTACATTTTTGCGGCAAGTGCGTACACTTTCGTAGTATCCGCCCTGATCGCCTACGGCATCAACGCAATCCCGGGTTTGAAATTGCGTGCGTCAGAACAAGCGGAGTTTTTGGGAATGGACGACGACCAACTGGGTGAGTTTGCGTATGACTATGTCGAGGTCCGCCGCGACTATCTCGCATGGGCGCCACAGATCCATGGGCAGAGTCAGGAGGGCCAGGACGAGTCCAGCGTTCACCTTCATGGCACTAATGAACACAGCGAGACGATAAAGTCGAGCATAGCGATGAATGGTCGACCAGTATCGGCACCCACGCCTGCTAGATCAGACAGCCAGCGTGACGAAAGCCCTCCCTCTGCTCCACAACCGGCTATCGTTAGCCATAGTGAAAAAGGAGAAGTGGGCTGAATCTTTTCATGTTTTTGTTTTGTCGTTTATGCAAATTTCTTCCTTTGCTTCCATAAGTTTTCTTTTGCTTTTCAAGGAGCAGTATGGGATAGCATATCACTTTGGTTCGTCCATTTCTGTTGGCAATTATCTCCGGTTATGATTTTTCCCTAATTTAACCTGGCCTGTTATTCTTTTCATAGTTATATTAGTCATATTTTTTGATGCTCCATATGCACGTACGACGATTCGACACAATTAAAATCGAGTCTCGCTCCACACCTTGATGGCCGAAGATGACGACTCAAGGAGAGCATAGAGCAATCCCTGATCCGCCGGGCATCAGAGTCCTCCTACTAGAGCTCATATTTAAAGTTAGAAAATACAAGGACATGTTTAGTCCTTCGCAAGTTTTGAGTGGTGATTAGGATTGTTCTTAAACTCGAGGAGTCGAGTCAGGGTCCTGATTAGACGCGGTAACATTAACAACGGCCCGAGCTTCCGCGCGCTAAAGAGCACACCGGGTAGGTAGTTAAGCGACTTATTCAAACCGTCATCGAGAACATGTGGTTCAACTCGATCATTTTTTCAACACCTAGCACAATAGAGATGGGATGTGCTGCCAAAGGCGGATGGGTGATGTCAGATATACATCAAGGTTACTTTGCGCAAGGAATATCATATCTTGATGAGGCTGCGAGGGTTGGTCGACCCTTGCCGGAAGGATAGCTAGCTTTCCTGCGTAAATGGGCGCCCAGCTTGATTGTTTGACAAGAAATATTGGGCGATATACATAGCGTATAGGGTATGGGTGGAGATAGGGATGGGGAATGGAACTTCTTCCCTTCGCGCTAGCTATAGGTAGAAATTGTATATAGTGCAAGCGCAAATATATCATTATGACTCTCTCAGTGTGCATTCCGTTCGGAGTAATGAGGGAAGCCTGTGATCTATGTCTAAAACCTTACAGAAAAGTTAACGGGAGAATCGCCCAACAACCCACCGAGCGACAAGCAGGATATTTGATAGCAAAGGTGTAACGATAATAAAACAAAGACGCTCCAAAGCGTGATATACAAGAAGACAAAAATAGAATAAATATCTCGTCATTACAGACACGCCCTCCTCCCCACGTTATCTCCTCATTCCAACATAAAAGGTCTCACACATTAACACTATATCCACCTATCCTCACCCCAGAAATCCCCACTCCACCGTTCCTCTTCTGCCATGCCAAATACTTCCTCCCCTCATCCACCCAAAACACCGTACTAGAAATACACACAAGCACACACAAATCCCACAATCCAATCGCCTCTGTCTGGAAAATACCCTGTAAAAGTGGCAAATAAATAACGCATGCCTGGCCCACCAGCGACCCCAGCACGGCATAATTAAACATCTTATTGCTAAAAAGCCGCAACTCCCCGCGCAGGATGGACTTGGTTTCCGATCGGCACGTCAGCGCATTGAACATGTCGAATAATACGAAGCAGGTGAATGTCATGGTTGTGTCGCGGCTGGTGACAATGCGGGAGCGAGTGCCAGAGACTTCGTCCGTGTGGTCTGACATTTCGTGGACGTAGATGGCCAGCGTGCCGAGCATTATTAGCATTGCGGAGGTAAGGACGCGGCGGATCAATGGTTTGGTAAGCACGCGGGCGTGTTTGGAACGTGGAGGGCGGCTCATGATGGATGGATCGACAGGCTCGACGCCGAGGGATTGGGCGGGGGGCCCATCCATGAGGATATCTGTACACGGAGATTGGGTTTAGCACCAGTCTGCCTTCTCCGATGTCGAATGAGAGAAGAATAACAGGGGAACATACTGATCCATAATATCTGCATTGCATTAAGCGGGTTCTTAAGTCCCAATGTTGTACTGATGAGCACCAGGCTCAATGCGGCAACGCTGGTGCTTAGCTGAAACGTGATAAAATTCTGGATATTATAGAAAATACCCTTGCCTTGCTCGATGGCTCGTAGAATCGTTGAGAAATCGTCATCTGTCAAAATCATATCTGCAGCTTCCTTGGCGACATCTGTGCCTAACCGGCCCATCGAGATTCCAATATCTGCTTTTTTCAAGGCGGGTGCATCATTGACTCCATCGCCTGTCATTGCAACGACATTGCCGCTCGCTTGAAGCGCTCGCACAATCTTCATCTTATGATCCGGGCTGGTCCGTGCGAATATAGAGGTTGCAGAAATCGTCTGAGCTAATTCTGCAGTACTCATATGATCTATGTCTTCTCCCCTTAGTACCTCTCTCGCCGCGGGGGACGGATTAACAGGCATTCCCAGTTTCCTCGCAATAGCCACTGCCGTTGTTTCCGCATCGCCTGTGATCATAATGACCCTGACTCCACCAGCCATCAGTTTGCGGATAGCTCGGTGAACGTCCTTTCGAGGTGGATCATTCATCCCAACAAGGCCAGAAAACACAAGACCTGTGTAAAGTTCATCATTTTTGGACTGGCTGTGTCGGAGCTGTGTTGTTTTCTCCAAATAGCCGGGTGTTGGGCTTCGGCTACCCAATGGGCGAGACCCTCTTCCGATATCTCTAACAGGACCGCTTGCGAAACCAAGCACTCTCAGCCCTTCTGCCGCCATGGACTCAGCTGCCTGTCTCACTATCTGCCGTCTCGCCTCGTCTAAAATTACTTCCCTGCCGTCTTTGGTTAAATAAGTATCACAACGCTTGAGAACTTCGTCTATAGAACCCTTAATGTATGCAATTTCCGGACAGCTACCGTTGCTAAACCCATTTTCTGACAGAGGACCACCGCTGCCAATGATCACTCCCATCCATTTTCGTTCCGAGCTAAAAGGAGTCTCCGCGACACGGGGGCTTATCCGGTCTCGAATGTCATCCTCGGCGAATGCGTCTAATAGATCTAAAATAGCGACATCTGTAGGTTGACCAACCCATCGACTTCTAATTGCACCCGAGGATTGATCCACAGTTGAGGATAATATGGCAGCGGAGGCAGCTGTGGCCGGCGAATTGGCGTGCGCGCGAGATAGTCGAGCATTATTGGCAATGTTACCTACACGGAGGATGGTTCGTGCAGCAGCACTAGCATTCACTGACCGGCTGTCTCTGTTTACGTCGAAAGGAGCATCAGAATCGAAGTGCCACATTTTCGTAACCGTCATATGGTTGAGCGTTAAGGTGCCGGTTTTATCACTGCATACGACGTTGACAGAGCCTAAGGTCTCCACACTAGGTAGTCGTCGCACGATGGCGCCTCTTTTCGCCATTCGAAAGACACCTAGAGCCAGCGTAACAGTGACGATTATGGGAAGCCCCTCTGGAATCGCAGCAACAGCCAAAGACACTCCGATAGTGAACATATCCAACAAATTTCTGCCTTGTAACAGCCCAAGCAGGACAATTAACCCAATGACTGCAAATGACATGTAACTCAGCTCTTGGCCCAGGCGGTCCATTGACAGTTGAAGCGGCGTTCGTGGGCTTTCGATTTCTCGAAGAGAGGCAGATATGCTCCCAAATTCGGTATTAGGTCCAGTAGCTATAACGATCCCTTGACCATAGCCAGACCGCACCAATGTGCCCATAAAAGCAATGTTATGCTGTTCATTTAATCGAAGATCGGTCCCAACGGTTCCAGCAGCTGGAGAATCGTAATAAGGGGAATTGGACCCTGAATTTTCCTTTAGCGACTGAAGCCCGCCATTAGATTTCCCCAGTGATTCAGAAGATTTGATAACAGGTTCATTTTCTCCAGTAAGGTTAGATTCGTCAATGGAAAGGCCGGTAGAGCTGGTGATGCGGAGGTCAGCAGGGATTCGATCACCAGTTGAGAATAGAACCAAATCCCCAGGAACTAATTGGCCTGCCAGAACTGTTGTAGACGCCTTTGGGGAGGACGTCACTGGATGTGGCCCATTCGCTGCCAACTCTTGCATCTCCAACTCTTCCACATCATTTGCAGTTTGAGATGCAGTATATCCGAGTGACCCAGAGTGAGGTACATTGCGAATCAAATGAGCATAATGCGGCACCATCCTATTTAGTGCCTCTAACGACTTCTCCGATCTGTACTCCTGCACAAACCCAACACTGACGACAATTGTAACCGCAAGCGCAATACTAATTGCATCGTCATAATTGCTCATGAAGAAGGAAATCGCAGCAGAAGCCAAAAGCAACAGTATCAAAGGCTCCTTAAATTGCTTAAGAAACCGTAACCAGAGAGGCTCCGGGTCCTCGGAGGAGAGTTCGTTGGGGCCATCCCGCAGCAATCTCGCGTGGGCATCGGCCGGGGAGAGGCCATGGACGAGCGATGTTTGTAAACGGTCAGCTACTTCCTGCGGACTGAGCTTCGAGTATGTGGATGTGGTTGAAGACGATACGACAGTACTCGTTCGATAGGGAGAGGGAGTCTGTCGGGCGGAATTGGGGACGGCGTAGAGAGGGAGCGGAGGAGGGGCCGGAAATCCTGACATAGCTCAGGATGCGGAGGAATCAGTACGCCAGTCTGGCATCCCGGGACAGTTACGGGGCTGGCAAAAGCCGGGGTTACGGTGGGAGCAGAGAAGGCATATATCAATGGGGTGCGCTTCTGATATTGGCGGCCGCTGGTCAGAAGACGGGATGTTGCTGATGAATGTGGTAAGTCTCGGCGCGGACCCGTGGACGAACAAAGCACGTTTCAAAGTCCGGACGCCAATACTAATATTAGCAGGGCGCTGCAGATCGGGATGGAATTGAGGGTAGTAAGCGAAGAGGAATTGGGGAGATTGCCAGAGTAGAATCGGGGAGCTGAGAGGGAATTCTTCTTCATCTCCGTTGGCTAATGGAAAGCTGTCTTTAAAAATAATATCGCGGATAGGGCTTGGCCACTTGGGCTCGCGGCTCTCGAGATTATGGGGCTAAACTCAATTAGACCTAGCCCTTCTTCTGACTTCCGCGTCTGGTCCATGCCAAGCCGCTGCTGACTGATGCTCACTCACGTGATATTCCAGCCACCGCATTCTTCTCTTTTGGGAACAAAATCCTGGGATTTCAAACAAACGCGCTTCCCAGATCCCCCAACCCCTCTCCTATTTCACGCCGCCGCCCCATCGCCGACTCATCATTCCACCGATTCCCATTCTATCTCTGCGTTAGAAGCGTCGAACTGTGCATCACTCATCACTTTGATTAAATTTAGATACGTTAGTCGATTCCCGTTGCCCTGTAGCATAGGGACCTGTCGCGCGAGGTCGCAATTCGTGGGCCCTTGATCCCCAAAGAAAGCACCAGCGCGTCGATGACTGCGGGTCGACGTACTGGTCGCACTCGTTGTTGACTCTCTTTCTCGCGTCTGGAATCACCTTAAGAATACATCTTTCCTAATAGTACACGGCATTGTTGATCCCATACCTTCAACATGTTTTACTCGGAAACACTATTATCGAAGACCGGGCCGCTGGCTCGAGTCTGGCTGTCCGCGAACCTCGAACGCAAACTGACAAAATCTCACATTTTGCAATCTGATATCGAAAGCAGTGTCAGCGCGATTGTCGATCAAGGCCAAGCACCCATGGCGCTGCGGTTGAGTGGTCAGTTGTTGTTGGGTGTTGTCCGTATTTACAGCCGGAAAACTAGGTACCTTCTCGACGACTGCAATGAAGCTTTAATGAAAATTAAAATGGTTCGTATGACGGTTCATAGACTGCCGGAAAATAATTTGCTTTGCTAATACCATATTTAGGCTTTTCGATTGACCAACAATAATGATCTCCCCAGCTCTGTCACCCTTCCTGCGGGTGGAATTACACTACCAGATGTGCTTACAGAGTCTGATCTGTTTATGAACTTGGATACATCTGTTTTGTTCTCACAGCCTCAAATAGGGACTGAAGGGAAACGGCCTGCATCGTCACTCGGTTGGTCCAGTCAACTTCTTCCAGACAGCACCCCTACTCAACGATTCGCGACACCCATCGAGAGACCCCACTTGGAAGATGATACCGGTCTCGTTCTTGATTTAGGCGAGGACGACATGCCTTTGGGCCACGACATGAGCATTGAAGTGGGACGAGATGCACCCGCTCCACGATCGGCTGGCGATGACCTTTTCAGCGACGACCATAGGCCATTCGACGATGATTTAGAGCTCCATCACAGTGATGCCGGAATCCAGTTTGGCAAGCCAGGCACTGAAGAAGATGCCCATGACAATGTGGATAACTTCTTGCAGCGAGATGATGATGTGTTAATGGGTGGCATTGAAGAAGAACTGGGGGTCCCGGTTGCCGAAGAAGACACAACGGTGGTACCTGCCGAAGAACCCAGTGAATTTCTTAGGGATTCCCAATCTCCGCTCTCCTCTGTGCGGTCTAGTGTCGTGCGAGAGTTTGATGACTCTTTTATGAATGAGAATGAAACTATCCGCCAACCCCAAAGAGTCAAGAGAAGAAAAATCATCCAACCAGACGTAGATACTGTGATCTCCAGCCATCAAATCAAGGAGCAACAAGCTGACCGATCGAGTATCTTGAAACCGGCCTCAATTTTGCCACGTGACCCTCTTTTGCTGACTCTGATGAATATGCAAAAGAACGGGGATTTCGTGTCAAGCGTTATGGGTGGCAACAACCAAAACTGGGCGCCAGAATTGCGTGAGATGCTGTCAATCGATGCTGTGCGCCAGGCGAGCGAACTTAAGCGAAAACGGGACAGCGGCATTGCCGATATGGATGTTGATGGTGCTGACAAAATTCCGCGACTTGACCTTGGCGAGGAAGACGGTCTCCTACATGCGGACGAAGGCGTTGAAATTGGCGGAGATACCACCTTGAACCAGCAATCCGAAATCCACCTTGCTGGTGACGAGGAACGACCACATGACTTGTCCGATGACGAAGCTGCCGTTTATCAAGCGGACGGCTTTAACGACTCAAGTAGTGTTGTTCATCCCGCAGAGAGCGGGCCAATCTCCCTCGGCACACAGCACGCTGTTCACCTGTTGCGTGATCGATTTGGTGGCGAGCCACCATCCGAGGGCGCGGCGCAGTCGAAGAAAAATAGCGTTGTTTTCCAAGATCTACTTCCCGAAAAGATCACGAGCAAGAGTGATGCGACCAAGATGTTTTTCGAGGTTCTTGTGTTAGCTACGAAAGACGCTGTTAAGGTTGAGCAGAGTCCCGGTACGATTGGTGGTCGTCTAAAGATTCGTGCCAAGCAGGGTCTATGGGGATCGTGGGCAGAAACTGAAGCGGGTGGCGAAATAGCCACCCAGGCACCGGAGGTTACAGTTTGATTTTTTATGTCCATTCAAAAGGCTTTTGATTATCCTCTGGATTGTTGCCCTAATATCAGCTTTTGGATGGGTTCTTGAATGTTCCTACCAAGATACAAAATACTTTGGCGAGTTCTGTCCGCCTTCCTTGGTCACTTTCTCTCCCTTCAATTTTAAATGTCATTTTCTTGTCTCTTTCTTTTTTGACCTGAAAAAATCTTGGCTTCGGACTCCGGGACGGACTGTTGCTGATCGTTACTTAGTTCTATGTTTTACTGTACCAAAGGTTGAGAAATAACGGTTGTGTACAGTTTGTGGTGTTACATCATGTATGATTGCTTCTGCTCGTGCGAAAGTTGACTTGAGGCTGGGTTAGCCTTCTTTTTTGCTTCTTTGTTGTCTTTCTTTTCTCTGGATGTCCCACTGCGGCTTCGTTACCAATTTTTGTCACAGGAAAGGGGCGCAATGAAATGGCGTTGACAGTTGGGTTTTCTTGGTATATATAATAAAGCTTGGATTTCTTTTTTCACCTATTTTTCTGAAACAAGCGGGTTTCGTCCGGGAGAAACAGGGGCGTTGCGAGTTCTTGTCGTAATAGACAAACATTGCAGCGCAGCGGCGCCTGGCGGTTAGTTTAGATTTGATCATTAGTACAGTCGCCGTATTCGAACCAATATCAATCACAAGTATACTTTTACAGTTCATGAATCTTCGCCTTTCCCTGCATTTATCGTAAAAGCTTCCCCTCTGGGGTTGAGTGTCGAAGGGTTGGATGGCAACGGAGTAAATTTCTCACGTCGAGTTTCCAAGTTCGTATTTCTCTGCTAAATATGTGTATATATTCCATTTACCAAATGGGGAGGAGGTCGTTTATAACAATGGATTGAGATGGAACGCAATCTTGCCTGGGAGGCGAAAACTCCTGGACCCAATTTAGAAGATAAAAGGAATTGAAAACAGAATCTCGCATGTCCTTCTGTTTCTGTAGGTGTGGTTAAGGGGGGTTGGGCGTTTTATATTCAGGTCAACTGGATATAAACAAATAATTAGAGGTTATTTTGCATTTACTGATTATTTTTAATTTAATTTTTCTTGATTGGTTGACGTAGATGTTTGGCTTTGGCTCACCCGGTGGCGATCCGCGGGGTTAGAGATGATATCATCGACAATGGGTGGATAAATATATATGCGCGAACATTTTATGGGGGAAGCTTATTTACGTTACAACATTCGACATCCAGCGCCATGACTTTCCGTGTGGTAAGCCTCCAATTTGGCAGGAACTATGTATGTTTCGGATATTATTATCCCTTTCTATATAAAGTATTTGGGCATGTATCAACCGTTTACATCACTGACAGTAAGTGGATTCGTTCCATGTTAGCTTAGATATTGCCAAAGCACGCATTCAAAACGGCACATTAATTTCTGTCATCCTGATACAGAAGAGGGGGTCAAGTGATACGACAAAAAAATATGTCCACTTCTCGAAGGATCTCAGAAGGCAGCGACGGAAGTTCCACCGATAGCTCAACCGACCCAGCTTCTCATGACTCGTCGGCGCACGTATATCATGATACAAAACACCAACAGAAGTTCTCCGGGTTGGCGGACCAGAAGCATGCCGCCGAGCAGCGAGAGGAAGAGAGACGAGATGAATCGCCGCCGGAAGATCGTAGTTTCGTGTATAGAAAACCAGGCGCGGGGAACTTGTTAACAGAGTTTCTGGAAAAGTAAGCGCGATATCTATACTGGATATTTTTGATTTTTGCTCTCTGCCATTTCTGCGAAAGCGTGCCTTGATATATTTAATGAGTATGAAATGCTCGTTTGCTGAACTTTTTGCTCGCAAATGAGATTCAAGTGATTCGCCTGAGTGCCGTTGGTACTTATTCCGGAAAAACCAGGCATCGCTTATAGCGAATGATTTTTCATTCCCACACCTATCGAGATTCGATATTTAACGGGCTATCACGGAATACTGTCACTGCGACAGTGCTTGTTTGGTCTTTTATACCACTAGTCAGAAGTCGGCAAATGTGGGATTTCAATATTTTGTGTAACCTCAGTCTTTATTTGATTGGGTCTTATGAGAGGAATTTCTGGGTTGCAGAGTATAGAAACTTGAAGCAGTATTCAAGTGTACACGCTCAGGTGAGAAAATCGAAGAGTTGTTGCTCAAATTGTTCAGTCTTAGTTGTAGCATTTAGTTATTAGATGCCTCTCGCAGGAGCCAGAGGACACAAGGATAGTTTGGCGCGGAGAGGAGCTTCCGAGGCCCCAAGAATCCCTGAAGGCTCAATGTCATGAAACATTCTATCAATTCGGCGCTTGAACAGTAAAGAATGTGATGCCACATAGAGGTAGCAGCTGCGCCCACAATTGAAGCCGTGCAATTTTGCCATCCCAGTAAGCTATGGGTTGATGCAAAAGGTGGAGTCGAGATAGTTAAGCTTATTTGATGACTAAGTTAACTAATCCCACGTGGGGTGGTTAGCCCTAAAACGCAGCTGGCTGGGCCAGACACCGGACGGTCAATGATCATTGATCAATGGCCGAACCGAGTCGAGGACCGGGCCGAAGTCAACATTATTTTGGATACCTATAAGAATGGATAATTATTGTGCTGGAGTGTAAACAGAAAAGTGTGACGAACCCCGATGGATTAATGATATGAATACTGCCCTGTAGCACTATCAAGTTCTAGTCGATGAGGTCATTTGGCCGCTATTTGGGTCTTGTTTCCTCTCGGTAAGTCATGACGGCAGACGTCGAACTTTGCGACAACTTCCAACGACGTTATTAGACGGCCCAGTTGCCTCGAGGGATGGCTCTTAGATATGATATAATTGTATGAATGCCGCGATTTACACCCTCATTCGTTTCTATAAGCATTCCTCATGATTCACTAAGATAATTCTTGCTCACCAATTCCCCCCTTTGCCATTTTTAACTAATCCAACCCGTTTGGCTGCTTACTGAGATTAGCTTGTGGTATCCCCACCTAGCGGCCCACCATAGAAGAACGAGCATCAGCTGCCTCCAACATTTATTATTGGCGAAAATTTACAAGGGCATCTGCTCTTCGGGGCATGAATAATTAGACGGATGCTGCTTTTTTTCTCCGGTAAAGTTCAATGTCTCATTCTCACTCCTGATGAGACGTGATCTGAAGCTGTACTAATCCCGGCGGACATTCGATTGCCCCCAGAATCTCTTGTCGTGTAGGGCAATTGAGCTCTAACTTGAAGAGATGCAAGAGACCTATGGAGAGCCATCGAGTAGGACGGAGGAGAGCAGTCAATCAAGCGATCAGGATGAGAATCGGGATCAGGTCCGTAGCAGGGGCGAGTCACATTTTGAACCAATTTGCCGGCCTAAATTGGATAATTACTCTAGATCAATAAGCCAAGCGACTTCACAGAGCTCCCACTCACTACGTCGAGTGTATTCCCTTTCTGACGGATATACCCATCCTGCCGTTGACAATGATCGGCTTCACGAACCCGAGGAGGATGAGAAGGCGGAGGAAGTGTCGGCTGCTCCTGGAATGGAGTATATTGTGAAGTGGGATGGACCCACCGACCCTTCCAACCCGCGGAACATGAGATTAGGGAGGAAATGGGTCGTTGTCCTAGTTTTGGCTGTTGGGTCTGTCTGTGTGTATGTATCAGTGAACATTTTCCAGGCCTCGCGATGTTGCTTCCCCGGATCTTGAGAGGCTAATCTTGAGCTTTTGCTGGTTAGTACATGTACCTCGTCACTCTACACCATGACGTATGCGCAGATAATGGAAGAATTCAATTGCTCTCGGATCGTTGCGACACTGGGATTGTCCCTTTTCATCTTCGGATTGGGAGTTGGGCCACTGGTTTTGGCGCCATTATCAGAGGTAAGTACTTCTTCTAGTACATGTACTGTACATGCTGGTACACACAAGAAAGAAAGCTGAGCATAATGTGATGTCTTCTAGTTTTATGGCCGAAGGATAATATACGTCACTTCGTTTACATTCTTTTTAATATGGCTTGTACCGTGCGCTGTAGCCCAGAATATCGAGACTATGCTTGTGGCAAGGTTCTTCACAGGAATTTCAGGCAGTGCTTTCCTGAGCGTCGCAGGTGGCACTGTTGGAGATATGTTTGCTCGGCATGAACTTGCAGCGCCGATGATGATCTACACTGCGAGCCCATTCATTGGACCAGAACTCGGCCCTCTGTAGGAAATCCCTCCCGTGCACTGTTTTAATGAGTACAGTGTTAATGAGCTTTTTAGATTGGGCGGTTTTATATGTCAGTATACCTCATGGTATGTAATGTGCCCTACTTGTTCTGACATATATGGAATCTGACCTTTTATGCAGGCGCTGGGCATTTTACATGCTGTTGATATGGGCAGCGTCTATTTTAATCGCCATTGCCCTGCTCGTCCCTGAGACTTACCACCCAGTGTACGTCATGAAATCCCAAGATATTTTGCGCGATTTCCGCACAATTACTAATTTTGAAAAGGCTATTCCGGCGCAAGGCTATCAAGATCAGGCGGGAAACAGGCGATAAACGCTGGAAAGCTCCGATTGAAACGTTAGACCGGTCCGTGGGCCAGATTGTCCTTCGATCTATATATAGGCCGATGCTGCTGTTAACGATGGAGCCCATGTGCTTGAGTCTTTGTATTTTTTCGGCAATCCTGTTAGGTATTCTTTATCTCTTCTTCGGAGCTTTTCATCTGGTGTTTTCGACACTTTATGGGTTTACACTTTCACAAATCGGCTTAAGTTTTATTGGTCTTTTCGTTGGAATGATTTTCGCCATCATGAGTGACCCATTCTGGAGAAAAAATTACGCTCGACTAGTTCAGAAGCGTGAGGCGAAAGTTGGCAAGTTGGATCAATATGAGCCCGAGTGGAGGCTGCCACCAGGTAAGGTCCACCTTTTTATGCTGGTAATTGTAATCATACGAGACATTAACAGAACTTTGTTAGCAATTGCTGGTGCCCCGATAGTGTCTATTGGCATTTTCATTTTTGCCTGGACAATATTCCGAGACGTTCACTGGATCGCACCTATAATTGGCAGCGCCGTATTCGGTCTGGGGTGAGTTCCTTTCCTCACTCTATTTTAACATGTATTGGTACTGGATTTATAGCTAACTATTATGGGCTACGTATCCCAAAACCATGAGCCACAGAACCATTCTTGTCTACTCTGGCATCTTCACCTTTCTAGTTGATGCCTATCCTTTATACGCTGCTAGTGCTCTAGCAGCGAATAGCTTCCTCCGGTCAAGTTTTGGTGCTGCTTTCCCGTTATTTGGAATCCAGAGTATGTCTTCTTTCCCATTACGCGACACCCTCTTCGCCGTTTCTTGCGTCTCTTACCACTCGAGAGCGTTCAGGAAATATCCATGTTCCCGAGTTATATAGCTAATGTGCCATGCAGTGTACAATCGACTAGGATTCAACTGGGCATCCACACTCCTAGCTTTCCTGACTGTCGCAATGGCTCCTTTCCCGTGAGTAAAATAGTACATTGTTACAATTATCTTCTCCTTTCCTCTTTCATGAATTTTCCTTACCCCTCGATATATTCCTTATGGGTTATTTTCTGCCAATATCTCACCCTGGCTATGCACAACGCCACTTGTAACTGTTGAAGATTGGATCCATTCCATCGCCCGCAGTCCTCTGCAGTTTGTGGATGGCGTGAGACTTGAATACTTCACTTGGAAAGAAATGAAGGACAAAAGAGCCAATTATGAGGTTATCTTATATTCCCACCATCCAACTTGTTCCGTTCTACTTCTGTGGATTGCCCTCACGTCAGAAATAAGTTACCATCAAATATGAGAGAATGGTTTCCAGCTAACCCCTCTTGCCTTCTAATAACAGATACATATTTTTCCGTTACGGCAAGCGGATACGAAAGAGGAGTCGGTTCGCCAATTCAACTCATTGCTAGTCATTGAATTGAAAATTACATGTTCTCCCCACAGCTCTGCGTCAAAGAGAAGGATAAAGGGTGTATGTAGGTAAGTCATAAATCGCTACATTAGTCATGCGGCCGAATAGAACATTCTGGTTTGGGCATTTAATTGATAGTGATGTATAAGGGGGCTTCTGATCCTTTTTGATTATTCTGCTGATTATATTAGTTGCATGTACAGATAGATATAGATCAATTTGCTGTCTTTCTTTTTATTTTCTAAATCAAATATGACTGCGGTTACCTTTACTCTCCATCCTTGTCTCGCATTCCATAGACATTCCAATATGTGTTCAAATATATAACTAATGGCGAGTATCATATGAATAAATGTGGTCTAGGGATGGATATTGGTGTCACTATCATTTGGTTTTCCAACGTATATAGGCAAGGAAATTAATAACTGTGCTCTTCTTCGTTTGACAAATGAGCTATTCTGTGTGATGTTCCCGGCACAACGCAGCAGGTCTATCATCCATGATGGTGACCTATTACTGTTTTCAAGCCGTACCTATTTCTTCATATATGCTTCACAAGATATATTAGGCAAAATAGCATGGAATCATAAAGTTGATCATTCTTGGTAGTCCTCATAAATACTAGCGTATATGGCCCGTTTTTGAGCCATACTTAGCTATCCGAGAAGTCATACGCAACATTATAAATGACTCAGGATGTAAATGAGTGTGTAAACAGGGAGTAACTGCCCGAGAGGGAGAGTAATTCAAAAAGAGTAATGATAGTGAAATAGACAGCGGTTTCGCACATTGACCTTGGCAGTTTCTTCTGCCTGTCCGATTTTCTGTTTTTTTCTGTTTTTTTCCTTTTTTGGACGTAGGGCTGTTAGAATTCATTTCACGAAGCATCAAGCCATTACAGAACTCTGGGTATGCTGCGATCTGCCATATTAAAAGAGTCCGAATCCACCGCTTCCTCCACTTCCATCGCCTCTCCTGCCGCTACCACCAAGGCGGCCGAGCGTACCACCCAATACGCCAGTAGCAGTATCCGTAAGGTCCCCTGCAAGGTTGACAAGGTCTCGTGCTCCGCTGTTAGTAATCCCAGATACTTCCCTCAGGCTCTTTGTGGCACCGTCGCCTAGAATCACATCTCCTGTGGCATTGACTGTGCCGAGAATGGCACCAGTTCCAGTTAAGACCAGCGCCCCCGTACCGACGACCAAAAGCTCAGCGACATCCCCTGCTAGAGAGATGAAATTCTGGAATGCTCCGAACACTGTTTTTGTCGCATCAGTCGAGTATTTGGCTACAGTATGTGCAACAGCCACAGTGACGGCGGGCTTATCATTTTCCGTGTTGGGCGGCACAATTTCCCGGCCGGTGGCCTAGTAGCTTGGATTAGCCATGTATACACCATTGTCGAAAGAGACAGTGGACTACACACCGAAACTATCTGAACATAGAGGCGCTTTTTCAAGAACTGTTCTACCTGGTTCGCGTTCTCGATGTCAATATTTTCATCACCTGGATAGAGGGGGAAGAATTTCAACATGTGGCTGATAACCACCTGTGCGTTGCACGTGGCTCTGGTCATCTCGAGGATCGTGCAGTTTGAGCAGACTTCTTTCCCGTCGGAACTAGAAGGGGCGCTGAAGTTATAGACATTTCCAATACAATCCTTTGCAGGGTCCTTCTTTTCACCATATTGAAGATATATCTTCACGTTGAAAGGCATGCCGGAGAAGAGAAATCTAGATCTTTTCAGCACTGGACAGCGGCAGGGTCTTTCAAAACATGGGAGACATACTTGTAGAAGCTGACATTGACAACAACTTCAAGTGCTTCGACCTCACCTACTCCCTTTTTTTTGAGGGTATCAGCCTTATGGCTGGCATATTTCTGGTCTAGCAGCACGTGGATTGCGTCGATGTGTTCCTTCTTACTGCCATAGTTCCATCTCTGCAGCTCCGGATAGGTGTAGTTGAATACGGTATGGTTACGGACATCGTCAGAGGTATAAAATTTACCCTGGCTGCTCCGGAAAGGCGCAAGTGGAGTGGTTGGTCCAACAGTGATCCGTGCTGCGTCCTTCTCCGAGGAAACGACTTCTCCCTGTGCGTTTAACATATTTCCAAGTGCATCTTTCAGTATTTCTGTGGTATCTCCGAACCACTCATCCTCATGGATATACTGCCATATCGAATAAAATCGTTCGACATTCCTATACCATAATCTATCAGTGGAAAAAACGTGAAAACGATCATTAAGCATATAATCTTACGCGTGGTGAAGCCAGAAAAACGGATCAAAAGAAGCAACAGGGACTTGTGTCATATGTCCATTGTTGTCCCCGCCGACAAACAAATGCACATTATTATGTATGGATTCCAAGCTTTGATACCACTGGCCTGTTTTCACTTGATCGTCGGTCTTGGGAAGCTCTCCATTCGTGGCAAAATCGGCATATTTCAGCGCGTATTCGAATAGGCGCCAGATATTTTCAGCCGCATCGTGCTCCTTTTTCGAAATCTCGGGCTTAGTCCCGGGAAGGAACCAGGGCATAGTGTTCGTGAAGTTGTTATAAACCTCAAAACTCCTTATTTCTCCCTCACGCCACTTTTCAGGGAAGTCTGTACTCCACACTTTACCTTCCGTCTCCGCCTCCTGCTTCGTCAGATAGTACATGTTTTCCGGGCACCTGCTGAGGCCAACACAATCTCCGTACTAATTGGAATTAGAAAATTTCCCTTATGGGAGACATAAGAAACTTACTTCCACGTCGTCGTTGGGTCCGACTTTCAGTGTCTGAACACCAAAATCGCCGAATGTTGTCTTTCCTCCCTGCGGCTTTAGGACATATTGGTAGAGAGGATTGTCTATCACTTGCGGAAAGCCAGGGACAAGGTTTGGAACCTTATTTTCTTGGGAGGTTGGGGGGAGCCATTTGGCTATAATCTCCTGTTTTGACTCTGGCGGGGGAGCAGCCCAATCCCAATATGGGATCCTAAACGTTTCAGTCGCCTTCTTGTACTTCTGGTAATCCTCATGATTCTCCGGGATTTTGGGAAGGATCTCTGTTGCAATGATTTCTTGGATGAGTTGCTGGGGAATATTAGCCTATATATCGGCATGGGAAATAAATTGGCTTGAAAGAAGAAGTACCTCGTAAAGAGCAACATAAGGACGATGCCAACTTGGGAAGAGAACAGTACTATGGGTGCAATAGCCTGTTGGTTTAGGTCCATTTTTTGGCACCTCCTCGCCGTTCCATGGCAGATATGGCATCCCGTGAATCCCTGCAAACGCAAGTCAGCTGGGAAACTCTTTGGACCTTGTGGGACATGAAGTTCTACCTGAAATCTGGAAGTATGATTTAGGATGGTCTGCCGGTCTATCATAAAAGATCCTCAATGCTAGGACGTAAAGACTCCATTTGTGGATGTCCTTCTGCAAGTCGTGGATCTCCAGACGAAGAGGGATTTCACCACGGGGACCTTTTCCGGAGTGGACACCCGTAACCAGAATAGGTGCCATTGTATGTCGACGAATTCAAGCAGGTAGATGCAAGGCTAAGAAATAGAACTAGGTGTAAGAAATTGATATGAGACCCCAAAACGAAAAGGCTTCCTGCCGGATGAGTTGTTAATTTGAGAAGGTTGCAGTTTTATCCAGCTTTTTATAGCGCACAGGTGAAGCAGGAAGCTCTCTCGCTCGAGCGAAAGTCGGAGATCGGCCATACCCCCCAAATTCTGTGACCAGCCAGTGGGAGATCCGCTTCAGCCTCGATACTATGGCCTGTAGGCCAGTTTGCAATTCGATGTATACAGTTGAACCATGCGGATCAGACTTAAATTTGGAAGTTGCACGGACTCGCAGAGCTGACAGGTGTGCAGCAAACTCGTTTTCCAAGATTTCAAAATAATTGGTAGACGGGAGCCTATGGCATGGCCAGACCAGAGGAGTAAACAGCTGTGAAGAGGCTCGAAAGAGCTGATCTGATCAACACCTGTTCCCGTAACGCTCTCACATTCGCCTGAGCGCCCAATCTCCTGATGAAGGGATCCGTGGATGCAGCGTGATGGTAAATGTGCAAAAACCTCTCACTAGTATTGCGGTAATTTCACCCAGCGTTAAAAGATCATTTTCTCAACGATTAAGTCAAGGCAGAGGCATGCCTCCCATTTCTCGTTTGTGTCAATCAATGTGGATTTCCAATCTCCGAGTCAAATTAATAATGCACCACACCCTGTAGTTGCAACAAGGACAGTTAGTTAATAACTCTAGGAATGCTGAGGTTGCTACTTACCTTTCGGTTGCATGGTTTGTATTCCCAGGGTGCAAATGCGTCACCAAAGAATGCTGCTACCTTCTCGCAGGGCATTTTGACTATCCAAAAATCTGAAATCTCGTAAATTGACATTGTGATTTTTTCTATTTCCCCCAAAGGTGGCGTAGACAGGGTATTCTCAGCCCGCCATGTCTCCAGAAATCAAGGCAGATCAAAGATGGCTGTGCGTATCCCCAGGTTGCGCGTATCCTCAAATTTTAGACGTCATGTGCGACATGGGCTCGTGCATCTCTCTCTATTCCAACGAATCACATCGAAAGGATATTCGGATCAAACTATGAATCAGTATCCTCAGCACCTCCGATTCTATTTTCGAGAGAATATATCATTTTAAAGGATTGAGGGGCTGAGCTTAGCCATCTTACTTGTTGAGTTTGTGTGAGGGGTAGCTATGTCGTAAAGGCTTCATTCTTTCTGTTTCACCAACATCGAGTTGCTAGTGCTGCAGGGTGATGTTTCTTATCGCAAGTTCGACTCGCCACTTCCAATCCATGTCTTTCTCCGATCGCTGGGAAGTGGTCATTTGTTGAAGCAAACCTCAGTTTGGTGATAGTTTTGAGTATATGTGATAAACCCAGGTTTAACGTTCTGCAGACCAGGATACGAGATTTTCTGCAGGAATTCTGCAGATGACAAGGCTTCGATGTCTACCCACCGCGAGTAGTCCCCGCACTTGCATACAAACCAGGACAGAGTAGTTGGAGAAAAAGTTAATCGGCATCGGGCTGCCTGCTGTTATTCTTTCATATTTGATGATATACTTTCGTCATCAGTGTTTTAGGCCCTTTCAGGTGGGGTGATGATCAGAATCTGATATTCTAGCAAAACGATTGAGAGAGTGTCTACAGATATGTTCTGTTAGGATGGGAGGGTTAGAATTAAACATTGAGCTAGAGAAGAGAAGGACTAGGAACAACAACATGGCATCTCTGCAATTATAGAAATTGTTTAGATTCCTACGAATCTCGCCCGTTAAGTGGTGTATTAGACCGATAAGAAATGAAGGCTATGAAACCATGCTGAGTGTGCGACAAGTGCCCCATCCGCCGCTGATAAGCTCAAGCTTAGGCCGTGAATCTCATCAAATCTAGGGTTTTGCGGTTTCCGAACCACACAACAACAAGGTGGAGGCATGGCAGTGACTGACTGGATAAATATACTCTATCTTCGTTTAGTACGTCAGTAGATAGCCAATTGGAAAATCAAGGAGCCTAGGAATGTATGTGAACGCAAGAACTTAACTAATGGCATGTCATCCCCTATTTGAAACCCCTTCCTTGTAGAACGTAGTTCTGCGAATTGCGTTAGCGATAAGCTGAAAGAAATTAAATCCCTTTCAAAAATCCATTCGGATGATTTGGGTCAGGCAGACTGTTCAGCCTAGACTCGATTCCTCCACTCTGGAGAACTTTTAAAGCCATGCGCTAGAACATTTCAGGAATAATTTGAATGCTCAGAAGCATATAGTACGGGTCCCTCTCTCTCCCATCCGCCCACATTGGGAGTTGCAATAAGGGATAGCCTTGGATGCCCCAGCTAATTAAATTTTAATGCTGCGGATCTCCCAAAAAAATAAGAACACCTGCTGTGATACCTCGAAATAGAGAAGTTGGATCCATGGATTCCCTTCTGCATAGCCTAATCAAATGAATTGGCGACTGATTTTCAAGGTATAGGCAATACCTCACTCCATTAGAATATAAACTTGCTTTGCCTTACAGCGTATTTCTTATTTTCATGGATCACGGTGTATAAGCCAATCCCAGCCCATCCTTCACTTATCAAAGAAAAACGGTACAGACCCTAAATTCCACAAAGAGTTGTACGGGATGTGCTATCGAGGCTAAGAATACGACGATCCGTAATTCACACGGAATGTTCCAATTAATTGGAAATATTGGACATTCTGTGGGGTGATGCTAGTGCGAATCGCGTCATTCTCTCGCTGAGAGTATCCTTATGATGTTAAGTTCGTCGTAGACTGCCGATGGGAAGCCGATTGATGTTATAGACGCCCTGGTTGGAATCTACCAATTTGGTCCCCATCTTGAGCAATAAAGGACAGAAAAGTAATTTGAGAAATAAAATGGGATGAATAAACAATCAGCTGTCTGCTCCCATGCCAATATACCTCAAAGAACGTGGATAATTTCGGAAACATAACAGTTGCGGTATGGATGGCATAAGGAGCCCGATGATAGAACGGGAGCTGGCCATGGACAATCAATGCATTATGGATGGGTAAGCCCTGACCCATAGAGCCGTAGTTTTACCAGTGGTAAGCGTTTCTACCCAGGCAAGGAAGGAGGGGTGGCCCGTGCAAGGAGGAGGGTATCATAAGCTCGTTATCATGACTTTTTTTCGTTGGCTGTTTGGCTCATCTGCATGCGGCACGAATAAATCCTATCCTATGCCGCTGTAGGACTAGTGGTGATTGTATGAAGTTGCCATAGAGTGGAAAATGCACAAAAGGTAGCAATCGTGAGCAGAGTGTTCCACCCAGCCAATGGAGATGTTGGCGCAGCCGAATTTCAGAAAGCTAGTCAAACATATCTAAATATATGTTCATGGGGGATCTTCTTTGGAGTCTATTCCGCGCGTCATCCAGCGGTTACTAGCATGAGAGCGGTGATTCTTTTGGTGGTCCAAGCATTTTTAGCGTGCCACCGAGGGAAGAGCAGTGGACTTCTTCTGCTTTCTAGGTTGAAGAGGGTAACTAGGCAACCTCAAGCCATATTATCTGACTCCAAACGGACAACGTTCCAAACAAAAATCGCTAAATTTTACCCCAAAGAAGCAAATGACCAGCCATCTAGGATCCACGTTGACAGACAAAACCAAATAGCTGAGATGCGGAACTCTCCCTAGGATGCTTATTGCATATCCTAAGAAGGGTCTCGAACTCATCTTTGTCGGCTTGGTCCTAGCCTGATATGACACAACCCCTGTTTGCTCGAGCAAAGCGGTAGTGCATAATATACGGAGTAAAGTTCCATGAGAGAGATAGTCCTGCTAACCGAGACCCAGAGATTAGCAATGGACAAAGCTATCGAATCGCATATTCTTCGTTTCCGTCCAGCGAGCTGAAGGTATCCCTGTAGATCTTCAGATTCCACCACACAAAGATAGAGGCGTCGCTCGAACGGCAGTAGGTTCGATAGTTAAAACCAACATGTCCATTCTTCAATCGCATTTCTGAGCCGGTTATGCAGGATTGGGGTGGGGGCCTTTCACCAGGGTTGCATTGCATTCGTTATCGGGGAAGCGGGTTCCCATATAAACCTTATCGAAAACGATATGGGGCCCCGTAATTTTGTAATTAATAGCGGCAACTATTCGATCCTGTTCGGACTACGCAATATATCGTTGGGTCAGATGCACATTATCGTCATGCTTACCTTACGGCGTAAGTTAGCATTCGTTCCAGCAGTATAGACTCATACACGATATAGCTAATCAAATTCACTCCTCCTAGCAATTTGTCAATCACAAACGACTTAGATTCACTGCCAGCTTCACCTCTTGAACATCGTGACCTTGGGAAAAATTCATACAAGAATATAAGCAACCAATGTCTTTTTCTCAGGCAGCATGTAGCAAAGAAGTTCATATTTGATTCTCCATGTTTAGCAAACTCTAGATTTTCTAAATCACTCGAGGGTCGCCATGAGCGGCGGGCTAGTCGTTCAATTTGCATGACTCTTTCAGAGCTTCCACGCTGAGGTAGCTAGTTTGTATGACGCGTATCGACGATTCAATCCATTCTTAAGTCTGACTAGAAGAATAACCCTACTGTTTCTGTGAAGGTAGTGGTGAAATCGGCCTCGCATCACTTTCTTCTGGTGCCGGCTGACTCGGGGATTTTATCGGCCCGATTCCGAGTTCTCGGTAACTAAAGCGTGGGAGCAGGAACTCCGACGCGATACGTATCTGTTAACATGGACAAGAAAATTCATTTCAAAATGAAAGATGGATCCCGCTTCATTCAGGATACCCAACAATTACAAAAAGTGATGTATTCTAAGACAATTCTTCGCACTTTAAAGCAAAATTCCTCAATAGATTTTCTGCTTACTGCCTTCCCAACATTTCTTATTGAATGTTGTTTTCTTCCCATTTTAAAACGCAAGGAGATATCAGGTACCCTCTTCAGGAAGCGAGATAGCGAGATAGCGAGGCATGTCTAATTGCCGTGTCTTCCTTCCTGGGTGTTAAAAGCTGCTCAATGCAGAAAGCCCCTGAAATACCCTCTAGTTTGATTTCAATACTAGAAATTTTTTTCAATTTTGTCCACATTGGGCGTCTTATACTACTTGTCACAGTGTTTGGGAACTTATATTTGAAAATTTAGCCATACCAACCTTTCTTTTATGCTATTCACGCTCTCCTTCAGGCCGGATGTCTGTTATCGTCCGTCTATACAGGGCTATCCCCCTAGCATTTATTCCAGCGTGACACACATTTCACTACGTTTACGCGCATACACGTGCTGGAAGCAGGGAATACTCGCACACATATACGATGCTATCATTTTCGTACAACTCTTGACTCTTTTTGGATTGCCGCCATCTCTCATACACCTGTAGCTGTTATCCATCTGTCCAAGACCATGCACATGCCGGACACATGCGACAGGAAAAGCAACAGCTTTTCTTTCTCCTCTCTCTCGTGGATTTATCATGGCTGTGTTCTGTGTCTCGGATGTAGAGTAGGTGTGGACGAGAGTGACAGATAGAGCAAGGCAGGACAAGATAACGTTTTATGTCCAACTACAGGAAACAGGAGTAAAAACACGAATAAAAATAGAATTGCGACATTATGCAGTTTCAACTTGGTTCTACTGCCATACAGGTGAAGAGTGTGGGAGGTCTGAATGCATGTTACACGCGCATCGCACGACAAGTATGCATTACGCACTGTTTATCCTGACGGCTATGTCTGCAACTTGATAATAGACGATTCGTATATCTCGTATCCAGAGTAAGAAAATAGTGAACAATGAAACGAAAGGGTGGCATGACCATATCCCACAAGGTCTTGGTACTGCTTGGTTGAGAATAATTATGGGAAGTTCAAGTAGCTATAAACGGTGAAAGAAATGGGACAGTAAAATAGGAAGGGAGGTTAATCCACTGGAATATAATCATTGCCATTATTGTGATTCGAAGCCTTTCCGATACATAAAGAATAGGCGAGGAAGTATGGGGTAGATCGATTAGATATACATTATATATCCATACAATGTAGACGCTCCAGAGGAGACGATACCACCCCTGGCTGTATGAACAGGGGTCAAATATATCTGTCAAAACTAGGTTCGATTCTTCAATGATTGCAAGTAATAAGCAGCAAATGAATACTGAGAACTGCCCACGAACTGAAACAGAGTAAAGAATTAGAAAAAGACCGATCAAAAGAATGACAGACCTTTCTCATTCAAGACCAAAGCGGAGGGTGGAAACTAGAGAACACAGGAGAATTAGACCCATACGCGAGGTCTGAACATGTATGCCGTGTAGATAACGATACCTAGATGTAGGGATGGTAGGTATATTTGCAATGACCTAGAAACTACATAGCGGCGGTTGCTTAATAACTGTATAAAGATAGTAGAGTGGTTCGGGCATGGTGGCAGGTATTTAACAATGGCTCCTGCTCCTACATATGTGCGGAAGCAGGAGAACCGTTCCATGGGCCGTCGCAGATGTCTGTGAAATGGTTGACACAGCATTGTTTCAGAGTTTGTACGCCGAAGACATGTAATGAAGACGTGAGTGTGATATACACAGCCGTAGAAGCAAAAAAAGCGGAAGGGAAGAGAGATATCTCGGCCACCAAAACGTAAATTGGAATGTTACCCCTTTTCGATTCTCGGCTCTTGGTCCTCAGCATCTGCTAGATCGCATAGAGAAGTTTTTTTTTTTTTTTTTCCTTTCTTTCTTTCTTGTTTTTTCGATGTAGAGGCGGTGTGCATGGGTATGTAGCATGTATGGCGCGGGTGGTACGCCGCGCATACTTCGTGGTGCTCTACTGGTGCACATATGGGGGTATGCGATGTTACCATGCCTCGCACTCGACGGTTACTCTGCATGCCCTGGTAAGTTAATTTGACAACACAAAGCCCGTTTGAGGCAGAGAAATGTTGCGTCAAAGCTTCAGAGTTTAGCCCAGACACTCTGACCAACCATCCCCAATGGCTGGAATGCCCCGATCAACTTATCCTCTCCGCTTCAAGTCTCCTCCCTCGTGGTCCAGTATCTTCACTTTGCTTGCCCAGACTGCCTCGCCTTAAAGCACAGCAGATGGTCCCACTTTCCTCACTTCCCGATGTGCTCATACTAAATAGTGCTTCAAAAGCATTT